GAAACACATAAGTGTTGTACCCTCTAAGAGCTACCCCACTACAGCCTAAATAGACCATAGCAGATATAAGTTTGACAGCAAGACCATGATGACTACACTCTGAAACAACCTTGGTTTCGCCTCCTTGAACGTCGTTGGGGGCCCCACTCCATCGACCTATTCGCAAACGCTCGCAACGCGTTGTTACCTCGCTTCTGCTCGAAGGTGCCCCATCCCAAGGCGGAAGCGGTCAACGCATTCTCGACGGATTGGAGTGGAGAGCACGGTTTCGCGTTCCCACCCCCCCACCTCATCCCAGCAACCCTTCGGCACGCGCAACGCACCCACGCTAAGATCACTCTTGTGATTCCACAATGGACAGGGGCTGCTTGGTGGCCCCTTGTGCAGCCGTCTCCCCAGACATGGGCCAAGGGGATCACCAGTCACCTAGCACTTGCAAGCGGTAGTCAATGCCTTCACCCAGGCACACACACATCTTCGTTCTCAGGTGCTGGATTTCCAAATAGTCCCATCCTTGCATTGGCTATAAATTTCTCGATGTAATTGCATGCTCTTATTGATGGCAGAAATCTTAAACAACCTCCAAAAGCAACTCTTCGCGGTCATCAGCCAAGTGAGGGCACCCTCCACCATCCAAACCTACGAACCTTACTGGCTCAAGTTCCGAGCCTTCTGCAAGAAGGTTTCGCTGAGCTACCTGCCTACCACGGACTTGACACTCGCGCTGTACCTCGTGCACGCCCTCAAGCACAAAGCTACGCTATCTGCTATCACACTAACGTGCTCCGCGGTATCCTTCGCACACAAAATGACTGGGACGGCGTGTCCCACCGACGGCCCCTTCACATCGCAAGTACGCGAGTTCGCCAAGCGCCACGCACCGCGCCCCAACCGGACCAAAGAGCCAGTCTCGCTCCACCAGGTCTATAGCATGGCTCAGGAGTTTCTCACATCCCACATCCCATCCGAATTTCAGAAAGGTCGCATCCCCCTCTTGATGTACACTGGGTTCCTACGCTACTCCGACCTGGTCGCGTTTCAGTGGCAGGACATTCAATTCGAGGATACGGCAATGTGGATTCTAATCCCACACTCCAAGACTGACCAGGAGAGCAAAGGAGTGTGGGTCCCAGTCGCGGCAACAGATGGGCGATACTGCCCAGTCCAAACCACCCAGAAATTCATCAAGATTGCCGGCTATGACTCATCAACCGAAGGCCCTCTCATCCGAGTTTTCCCACGTGGCGCAAAGGCAACACCACAAGACAAATCTCCCTCATACCCCACTCTTAGGAACTGGTGTTTGGAAGCCTTCCGCAAGATCGGGCTCGACCCAAAGCACTTGGGCACCCACTCATTTCGCAAAGGGGCAGCAACGACAGCTGCCGGAGTCGGGATCACGGATCGAATGTTCAAACGTCTAGGCCGCTGGCGCAGCGACACCGCGAAGGAGCTCTACGTCACAGTCGCTCAAGACCAGCTCGTCGCAGCATCCCGACTGATCCAGGACCCCACACGAGCCCCATCCTCCAACCAGCATCAGCTGTCTATCCAGCGACAGTGCTGTCCTCCTCTGCACATGTCTCAGCAGACCCAGATGAAATGAAGCACGATGCCTATTACAAAGTTGCAATAAGCAAGCTTTCACAATATGATAATTTTTGAAAGTGTATTCACTTTCTAAAATTTTGTATCGTGATAGTGAAGCGATTGCCAACGCAGCAAAGGCAGCGTCGCATCGCTACTCGCCCTCTTTTGGCTACAAAAGAGGGGTTGGAACTTGGAGGTCATTTGGCCTCACCCACGTTCTTCTTTTCATATTTTTAGTTTGAGTTCCCCACCCTCCCACCCTATGTAGTGAAATTGCATGTTGTAGACCGTTGGACGAGATTGATGTACTCTACCCAGATGAAATGAAGCACGATGCCTATTACAAAGTTGCAATAAGCAAGCTTTCACAATTACAAGGAATAGCAAAGAGAGTGTAACTGCTGTTGCGGTTCGATACAGCGATGACTCGGGTAACTGCTCAATAGCGAGTCAGTTATGTGTCCTTGATGTCGCGCTGCTTTTCGGCGAGTCAAAGGTCGCTGACCTTTGACCTTCACTTAACCTCTTGCTGTCGTCTTCTTGTCAACCGATTTTGGTCGACCCGCTGTTACTTCGTTGTAATTCGCTTCGCTTACGTTGTAGTGTTCGTTATTTCAGAAGCGCGAACTAGATGTCTCCAACAATTTTTTCTACCCAAGTCATCTCAACCATATTTCTTCCCCATCGGCCCTCCACTGGGTAACATATCAGAGTAATCTGCAAAATAATTGCACTGGTTCCAACTTGTAGAGCTGCCTTGAGAACTTGTATGTATGAATGTATGTGTCGTGTTTTGAATAAATGTTCAGGGACACACAAATGCAACCCGGGTGTTCTACTTATATATCCGGGTTGCGCTCACTTCCAGGCTACCACAGCCCCTTCCAATGTTACATGCGGGCGTACCAGGTTCCCAAAATCTGATCTCCTCAACTGGACCACAGCTTTACAGCTCGTGGCTTTTCTGGTAGAAAACGACGTCTCCCTCAGATGCCACAAAGTGGTCCTCACCAAACGACTTGACCAAAGGCTCCAGAAGGTGGAAAGGGAAGGGACCCTTGCAAGGCTCTGGTTCACGATAATAATTTCCAAGAATAGGCTTGATGGCCGCCGTCTGCATGATATCCGGGAGGAGAAGAGGTTAAGCATGCGGTTCCATGCATTGAAATCATGGGAGGAAGAGGAAGATGAAACTGAACGCAAGAACAAGCACTTACTGCTTCTGTCAGGTTATAGTGGGGGATTTGGGGAAACAGATGATGCACCACGTGAGTCCCAATGTCGTGGTGAATCTTGTTGAACATCCCGTAGTCTCTATCAATAGTTGACAGGCCTCCCCTCAGGTATGTCCATTCCTGTGAAGCAGAAAATTCACCTTCAGCATGCCACAAGGATGTGCTGTAGCTGATAAAAAAACGAGAACTCAGTGGCTCACCTTGCCCCTGTACCAGGGAACCTTCTTGTTGTAGCCATGGTGATGAAGGTAGGTGACCAGGTCGAGCCACATCACGTTAATCTACGCATAAGGACAACAGATTTGGTTTAAGATTCGCTTCATTAATTGGTTCTATCGACTTAGTTAAGCGGTTCATTCATTGGTGGTTCACTCACCCAGTATGGCATGAAGTAGAGCTTGAACATGACGAGGGGACCGAACGTGACAGAGAGAGCGCCCAAGAGAGCAACCATGCCCCACCACCACGTTGCCGAGGTGACAACGTCGTTGTATTCGGCCTCCGTGAACAGGTCGCACTTGGGGTCGAAGTGAGATCCCGTCTTGCCTGGAGTGCGCAACCACTGAAGGGAGCACATGACAGTGTCAGACATAACACACGATGAAGCGTGATAAAAGCGGATCGCGAGGGCGAATCTGACAGTGAAACATACCAGGTAGAACGGGAAGGCGACGAGGGGAAACGGGAATTTGAACCTCGCGAGTTTAGACCCAAGGTCCATTTTCTCGTAAACTTCCTTCGTAATCTGAAAAAACACGGGAAGGCGTGAGCGGCGTCAATGAAGACACGCAAGACACTAAGAAGGATCTAGGTTTATGACATGGTGTAGTGCTTACCGGATACCAGGACTCGTCGTTCTCGACGTGGCCGTGGTTAGCGTGATGTGTGCGATGGCTTATTCTCCTGCAACGTCATATAGGCGGGGAATTAAGTATCGAAACACGCAGCACGGATTCCCTTGAAGCCTGAATGACACACTCACCACCCGTGGTAAGGGACGAGGATGAACGCGTGGCTGAGATGCCCAACGATGTCGTTGAGACTGCGGCTGTCCGAGAAGCTTCCATGGCCACTGCATTGGGAATGAGACACCACGAGTAAGTAACACCGTACTACAACCAGATCTCGAGATCAGCGCAATTACTCGATGATCAAGCGACATACCAGTCGTGGCCGACGACGAAAAGCGCCCAGAACATGGTCCCCTGTGCGAACCAATAGAGAGGCCACAGGGTCCATGAATCGAAGTACAGCGCCACGGCACCGAGTGTGAAAACGATCAGGAAATCGCGAACGAAGTAAGACAGCGATCGCATGGGGCTTTTCACCCAGCAATGTTTGGGAATGGCGTTGCGTAGATCCGACAGGGTGAAAGGGGGAGGAGCGGAGTAATCGAAGTCCTTGGATTTGAGAGGAGCGTCGGTTTGCCCATTGGCAGCCATAATGGGGGAATCTGCTGTCATTCTACAGAGTCCCAGCTCACGGGCTCAGCAACTGAGCAAAACTGATGTTAGGAGGAACCTAACAGCAGTACATGCAATTGTACCCCCCTCACCGTTGTTTCGGAGGAAACAGGGACTCGCAAGCTCCAAAAGTAAAACTCAGTGAAACAACTTCGAAAATGGTTTCACACGGGATGGGCAAACCAGCGGGACCACTCTGGGCCGATCACCAGGCCAACTCAGCGGAGGCATCGACCACGGGGATTCGTTTCGAGTGGCCCTTGACAGCTACGGGATGGGAGACACACAGGCCGCCAAAGCTGGGAAACTGGTGGACGAGAGGGGAAATGGAGCGGAATTTGTGGGCAGGGCCTCGACTGCTAGTTTGGCGGTCAGCCCTGGCCAATTGGGTCACGCGCCGAGCCAGGTGATCACGGACGATGATTCGTCGGACGTAACATACTAGGTAATTCACTGTATATGTTCTCCGATGAATCAACCCAACCCATTGGGAGACCTGACCGTGAAGGTATTTTTCTGGCAGAACAACATTGATCCACACAGTGCGGAATTGTGTGTCCATAACTGTCGAGAAATGTTCCGAAATAAAACACCTATTTCCCTAACAATCGTTCAGTGGGTGAACCCGTGCAAGAGCTAGCTTACACAGTACATGCCCAGGGTGCTCAGGGTAAACACCATGCTGGATACGACCATATTTCCCACGGTCCAGATGCGTCGGTCGAACCGTGAAGGTACAAACAAACGTACGCTATTGAGAATTCGTTTGTATCTACTTTGCATTTTCTACCTCACATACACAACAACCAGACATTTCACAAGGAATACCTTTTTCGAGACATGTCTGGTTACCCGATACGCAACAAGCTAAATATCTCGCTTCTGCGACGCGCCCTAGTGAATCTTTCTCCTGCCGACAAATCTGCAACTCACACGTGCTCATGCATCGACGGCCCTGTGAGAAGTCGGTCCCATCCGATCTGATCGTACGATCAACAGTTGCTTCGTGATGGTCCCTTCCACGCCCGCACCTACCCCCGCCCAGTCATCCGCGGCCTTCGAATAATCTCAAGGGTCGGCTCGGCTTCTGCACTCCGTTTTCCTTCTGCTCCTTTGTTCTTTGCTTGCTGTAGCTTGGCAGAAACAGACTTCAGAATCGACCATTCTCACCAGAGCTCCGCATTCTTCAGCTAGAATCCACATGCACTTAGCGTAAAATATAGAAGCTCTGGACTTTTGAGGACTTCACATGGCAATACTACCACGCATACACGCTACATACGGGTTCCTAAGAACTTGTCTTTCGCAGGGGCACGCGCAATAGCTATCAAGCACGTCAGTGTCACATATGGCACGTGACCTAGTTTCGCTCACGCACTCAGCGCGTGGTACCGCCGACGTACGGTTCGACCCGACATTTCAAATGTGTTGCATTTTATCGTCTTCAGAGTGCTAACTTCTCCCGTTAAAATCTAGTAACCGTCGCAGGCGTGAGCAATAGTAAACCTTACTTGACTTAGAGGCTCGGAGCCTCAACAATAATCGAACGGGTAATAGTGGCGTGCTCTTTTGGCTATTCACATCCGCAAACGAAGATTGAAACGCCGCATCTGAATCTGAAAACGCAACGTCCCGAGGAAATTTTGTTTGCGTGGCATCATGAGCAGCAGCGATGGGCTTCCGCCCAACTGCCCGCCTGACGGTTTCGGCCTTCCACGTAAGACGCTACTAGCAGCACTGCCACGTAAACAGCATTCTCGTTCTTCCCGAGTTCCCCTTACCAATCCAAGAACCGCCATCCTTTTTTCCGCTCCCCCACCTCAGCGGCTCCCCCCACATTGGCCCCCCTTCCTCCCCCCTTCTTCCCCAACCCCGCCCCACCCCAGCGGCCTTCCCACATTGTCCCCCACCTTCGCTCCCCCCACCTTCGCTCCCCCAACCTCCGCTCCCCCAACCTCCGCTCCCTCACCCTCCGCTCCTCCACCCTCGGCTCCCCCACCCACGGCTCCCCCCACTTTGGCTCCCCTCGCGCCGCTCAGCGTCCCCCCTGCCCTCTCCCTCCCTACCGGGCAGAATTTTTTTACAACAACTCGGGCAGCTGCGCGCAGCAGACGTCGTTCTTTGACGGGCAGCCCGTGCTGTCGGTGGGGGTGGGGTACGCCGTGGTGCTGGGCTTTGGTGCTTTCTTTGCCGTCTTCACCTCCTGGCTCGTAAGCAGCCTCTTTCACTCCCCCTTTCTCTCTCTCAATGCTTGGTGCTGTCGGTGGGGGTGGGGTACGCCGTGGTGCTGGGCTTTGGCGCTTTCTTTGCCGTCTTCACCTCCTGGCTCGCAAGCAGCCTCTTTCACTCCCTCTTTTTCTCTCTCAATGCTTGGTGCTGTCGGTGGGGGTGGGGTACGCCGTGGTGCTGGGCTTTGGCGCTTTCTTCGCTGTCTTCACCTCCTGGCTAGTACGGTGCTTCCCTCGCTCGTTCTCGCTCTCTCTCACTCACTTACTCACTCTCTCGCTCGCTCGCTTGCTCACTCACACACTCACACACTCACGAGCGTGGTGCAAATTCAACCCATCACCACAATGCTCGTTCTGTCCACAGGTGTGGCTGGATAAACGATACGTGGGCACGCGGCAGAGCAGTGAGTGGTTCAACACAGCTGGCAGGAACGTGAAGACGGGGCTTATAGCGAGTGTGATTGTATCGCAGTGGACCTGGGCTGCCACTATACTGCAATCCTCCAACGTTGCCTTCCAGGTACCGTGCTTCACCGTTCTGTATCGTGCTTTCATGTCCTGTACCGCGCTTCATATCCTGTGCGTTGGGCTATGCCATCAGCTCTTTCGTGTGAGACCATGCTTGCTCTGTCTAGACAAGGCAGTGACTCACCCCATGCTTGTATTTGCGTGCGGATGGATGTGCAGAACGGAGTGAGTGGGCCGTTCTGGTACGCCAGTGGAGCAACGGTGCAGGTGGTTCTGTTCGGCATCATCGCTGCTTCAAATTAAACTGCACGCCTGTACATACTCATGCTCTCACACACTCATGCCCTCACCCCCTTTCCCCCTCCCACACCCACACCCCAACAGAACGGAGTGAGCGGGCCGTTCTGGTATGCCAGTGGGGCAACGGTGCAGGTGCTGCTGTTTGGCATCATGGCTGTGGAGATGAAGCACATGCTCTCACACAATTATCCGTATGCCCTCATTCACTCACAACCCCCAAAACAGAACGGAGTGAGCGGGCCGTTCTGGTATGCGAGTGGAGCAACGGTGCAGGTGTTGCTGTTTGGCATCATTGCAGTGGAGATCAAACGCAAGGCCCCCAACGCCCACACCGTCTGCGAAATCGTCCGCGCCAGGTGAGGCCAGGTGATTTGTCAGGTGATGGTTCAGGTGATTGTTCAAATGATGAGTCAGGCGATTGTTTGAATTATTCCTCAGATGATTTTTCAGGTGATGGTTCAGGTAGGGTTCAGGCAGCGGTGCAGGTGATTGTTGAAGTAATGGTTCAGGTTGCCACAAACACTTTCGCACGTTGATGAGTTAGAACGCCTTTTCCAGCCCCATCATTGCGGATAATCTATTGTTTCAATCTCTTCGTTTCGATCTGCTCACCCATTCTTATCCACAAATCCATCCATGCGCACCAGGTGGGGCACAGCAGCGCACATCTGCTTCCTCTTCTTCTGCTTCCTCACCAACACCATCGTCACAGCCATGCTCGTGCTGGGAGGCGCTGCAGTCGTCACTGCCCTCACAGGGCTCAACGTGTACCTCGCCTCGTTCCTCGCACCCATTGGAGTCATCTTCTACACTCTCGCAGGAGGCCTCAAGGTGAGGGAGTGAGCCAGAGTTTTGAGGCGCCTCAAAAGTGGCCTCAAGGTGAGGGAGTGAGCCAGAGTTTTGAGGCGCCTCAAAAGTGGCCTCAAGGTGAGGGAGTGAGCCAGAGTTTTGAGGCGCCTCAAAAGTGGCCTCAAGGTGAGGGAGTGAGCCAGAGTTTTGAGGCGCCTCAAAAGTGGCCTCAAGGTGAGGGAGTGAGCCAGAGTTTTGAGGCGCCTCAAAAGTGGCCTCAAGGTGAGGGAGTGAGCCAGAGTTTTGAGGCGCCTCAAAAGTGGCCTCAAGGTGAGGGAGTGAGCCAGAGTTTTGAGGCGCCTCAAAAGTGGCCTCAAGGTGAGGGAGTGAGCCAGAGTTTTGAGGCGCCTCAAAAGTGGCCTCAAGGTGAGGGAGTGAGCCAGAGTTTTGAGGCGCCTCAAAAGTGGCCTCAAGGTGAGGGAGTGAGCCAGAGTTTTGAGGCGCCTCAAAAGTGGCCTCAAGGTGAGGGAGTGAGCCAGAGTTTTGAGGCGCCTCAAAAGTGGCCTCAAGGTGAGGGAGTGAGCCAGAGTTTTGAGGCGCCTCAAAAGTGGCCTCAAGGTGAGGGAGTGAGCCAGAGTTTTGAGGCGCCTCAAAAGTGGCCTCAAGGTGAGGGAGTGAGCCAGAGTTTTTGAGGCGCCTCAAAAGTGGCCTCAAGGTGAGGGAGTGAGCCAGAGTTTTGAGGCGCCTCAAAAGTGGCCTCAAGGTGAGGGAGTGAGCCAGAGTTTGAGGCCCCTCAAAAGTGGCCTCAAGGTGAGGGAGTGAGCCAGAGTTTTGAGGCGCCTCAAAAGTGGCCTCAAGGTGAGGGAGTGAGCCAGAGTTTTGAGGCGCCTCAAAAGTGGCCTCAAGGTGAGGGAGTGAGCCAGAGTTTTGAGGCGCCTCAAAAGTGGCCTCAAGGTGAGGGAGTGAGCCAGAGTTTTGAGGCGCCTCAAAAGTGGCCTCAAGGTGAGGGAGTGAGCCAGAGTTTTGAGGCGCCTCAAAAGTGGCCTCAAGGTGAGGGAGTGAGCCAGAGTTTTGAGGCGCCTCAAAAGTGGCCTCAAGGTGAGGGAGTGAGCCAGAGTTTTGAGGCGCCTCAAAAGTGGCCTCAAGGTGAGGGAGTGAGCCAGAGTTTTGAGGCGCCTCAAAAGTGGCCTCAAGGTGAGGGAGTGAGCCAGAGTTTTGAGGCGCCTCAAAAGTGGCCTCAAGGTGAGGGAGTGAGCCAGAGTTTTGAGGCGCCTCAAAAGTGGCCTCAAGGTGAGGGAGTGAGCCAGAGTTTTGAGGCGCCTCAAAAGTGGCCTCAAGGTGAGGGAGTGAGCCAGAGTTTTGAGGCGCCTCAAAAGTGGCCTCAAGGTGAGGGAGTGAGCCAGAGACACACACGCGCCCCTGGAGTGGACTGGAGTAGAATGAGGTGGCAGGCACCACCATGCTCTAGCTGCTATCACGGGACTGAACATGTACCTTGCATAGTTTCTTGCACCCATCACCTTCCTGGCGTCATACATACACAGTGCCATCGTGCATGGCATATTCGTGACCTTCGTGCTGCTCTCCTTGTCCCCGTGCAACCTTTATCTCTCCCCCCATCACACCTCCACAGGCCACCTTCCTGGCGTCATACATACACAGTGCCATCGTGCATGGCATACTCGTCACCTTCGTGCTGCTAGTCTACTGCTTCAGCGGCTACCTCGGCTCGCCTGCTGCTGTCTTCAACAACCTCGAGTTCGCAGCCAGCCCCACAAGGGACTGCCGCCTCACCAACCCGGGGCAGGTGAGGCCGTAAGTATTTGTAGGAGTGCATATAAGCATCATGTTAAGTAAAGGCCCCTCCCTCGGCTCGCCTGCTGCTGTCTTCAACAACCTCGACTTCGCAGCCAGCCCCACAAGGGACTGCCGCCTCACTAACCCCGGGCAGGTGAGGCCTTGAGCGTTTGTAAAATCTCATAATAGTACCCTAAGCATCAGGTGTAACGCCCCTTTCTCAGCTCAACTGCTGCTGTTTTCAACAACCTTGAGTTCGCTGCCAGCCCAACTAGAGACTGCCGGCTCACTAACCCTGGACAGGTGAGGCCTTCAATTCGTGCAGTTCTGCACTTAAAGCGCTTAGGACTGTCTTAGAAGCAGTATAGCATCACAGTTTAAAGCCTTTGTCTTGGCTCGCCTGCTGCTGTCTTGAGCAACCTCGAGTCCTACCAGAGACTGTTGCCAGTCCCACCACAGACTGCCGCCTGAGTTGCTCTTCTCTTCCTCCCTCCCCCTCTCACACTCACACACACACTCCATGCGCACATGCACGCCTGTCACCACTCCATGCGCACATGCACACCTGTCACCACGTGTGCGGACGGACCAGTGGATGGCAACTACGAGGGGACCGGTGGATGGCAACTACGAGGGGTCGTACCTGACCGTGCGGTCACCGAGAGGGGTTACGTTTCTCATCACACGCTCTTTCTCCCTTTCCCCCCCCTTCCCCCCTCCATCTCAAAAACCCACACCTCAACCCCTCACCAGGTGTGCGGGCCGATAGACGGAAATTACGAGGGGTCGTACCTGACCATGCTGTCACCCGGGGGGTTCATGTTTGGCATCACAGGGCTTACTTGCTCTTTCTCCCTCCCATTCACGCACTAAACCAGGTGTGCGGGCCGGTAAACGGAAACTACGAGGGGTCGTACCTCACCATGCTGTCTCCCAGGGGGTTCGTATTTGGCATTGCAGTGCAAGTGCTCTTTCCCCTTCTCCTCACATTTCCCCCTCCCCCTCTCCCCCGAACACACACATGCACACTAAACCAGGTGTGCGGGCCGGTGGATGGTAATTATGAAGGGTCATACCTGACCATGCTGTCGCCCGGGGGGTTCATGTTTGGCATTGTCAACATTGTGGGCAACTTTGGAGCCGTCTTCCTCGATAATGTGAGACCCGCGCTTCTGGCATATCTCATGCAACAGTCGTTACTTTTTGTTCCCTCGTCGGCAACTTTGGTGCCGTCTTCCTCGGCAATGTGAGACCCGTGGTTTCAATCAACTCATACCATCAGTTAGAGCTGATGCTGTTGCTGATGCTGATGCTGATGCTGATGCTGATGCTGAATCCTGATGCTGATGCTGATGCTGATGCTGATGCTGATGCTGTTGCTGTTGCTGATGCTGATGCTGATGCTGATGCTGATGCTGATGCTGATGCTGATGCTGAATCCTGATGCTGATGCTGAATCCTGATGCTGATGCTGATGCTGATGCTGATGCTGATGTTGATGCTGATGCTGATGCTGATGCTGTTGCTGTTGCTGTTGCTGTTGCTGTTGCTGTTGCTGTTGCTGATGCTGATGCTGATGCTGATGCTGATGCTGTTGCTGTTGCTGTTGTTGTTGCTGTTGCTGTCGGTTCATGTTTGGCATCGTCAACATCGTCGGCAACTTTGGTGCCGTTTTCCTAGATAATGTTAGAGTCTGGCTTCGAAATAGCTTCGAAAAGGTATGCTTGTATTGCAGATTCTCAATATGTATTTTGGGATAGTTTGGAGAGAGGGGAAAATGAGGAAGGATTTAGAAATTTGATCACTGCATGTTATTTTACATGGTGTTATTTGATCACTGCGTGTTATTTTACATGGTTTTATTTGATCACTGCATGTTATTTTACATGGCGTTATTTGATCACTGCATGTTATTTTACATGGTTTTATTTGATCACTGCATGTTATTTTACATGGTGTTATTTGATCACTGCATGTTATTTTACATGGTTTTATTTGATCACTGCATGTTATTTTACATGGTGTTGTTGTGAAGGCTGCGCTGGTTGATCACGTGTGAGTCTGAAAACGTATTCTCTGTTGCCACAGCTGATATGATGACAATGCATCTGCGAGTTCCAAACCTCATTTTCCTCTCTCTTCCCCATTCCAGGGTTATTGGATGAGTGCCATAGCATCGCGCCCCTCCTCTGTCCCTCGACTTTCCATCCATTCCACACCCTCCTCCCCTGCCCCCTTCCCTTCCCCCTCTTCCCCCTCATCACACACCCCTCAGGGTGATTGGATGAGTGCCATAGCATCGCGCCCCTCCTCCACGCACAGAGGCTACATCCTGGGAGGCCTCGTCTGGTTCGCTGTGCCTTTCTCCCCCGCCCTTCCGACTCCGTCCCTCTCTCCTTCCCCATCTTCACCCCCTCTCCCAACCTTCTCCCATCCCTCCCTCCCCTCAGGGATATTGGATGAGTGCCATAGCATCGCGCCCCTCCTCCACACACAGAGGCTACATTCTTGGAGGCCTTGTCTGGTTTGCTGTCCCTTTCTCCCTCGGCACCTCCCTCGGCCTTTCCTGCCTCGCCTTGGGATTACCGGTCACTCTAGAGGAAGCTTCCCGGGGACTAGTTCCCCCTGCAGCAGCCGTGGCTTTGATGGGGGATGCAGGGGCAGTGCTTATCCTCGTTATGGTGTTCATGGCTGTCACTTCTGCTGGGTCTGCGGAGCTTTTAGCTGTTTCGTCGCTTATGACTTACGATATTTATCGGACGTATATCAACCCGAGGGCGACCGGGCGGCAGATCTTGTTTTACTCTCGGGTTTTCGTGCTGACGTACGGGCTGTTTATGGGTGTACTGGCAGTAGGGCTAAGCGAGCTGCGGGTTTCCCTAGGTTGGATGTACCTTGTAATGGGCGTGCTTATAGGCAGTGCGGTTATACCTGTAACGAACTTGCTTTTATGGAAGAAGGCAAACGCAGTGGGGGCGATAGCCGGGTGCATTATCGGGATGATCTCGGGTGTAGTTTCGTGGATTACTGTAGCAGTGGTGATGTACGGCACTGTAGATCTCGTCAGTACGGGGGAAGAGGCACCCACGCTGACCGGCAACTTGGTGTCGCTCTTTGTGGGTGGCATCGTGCACGTGGCTCTCAGGTGGGTCTTTTACACCTCTCTTACCATTTATCTGCTTTGTCCTTGCTCGTGTCCCCTGCCTCAGATACTCTTGCTTACCTTCATTCTCCTCCCACCCCCATGCCCCTCCCAGCCTGAAGTATCCAGACGAGTATAGTTATGCCAGCACAAGAGCCATAACGCTGGTGGCTAGAGACTGGCACTCCGACATCCCCCCCTGGGAGCACAACGAGACTCGCCTCAAGCAAGCCCGCCACTGGATAGTCCTCTGGGGAGTCTGCCTCTCCGTCGTTCTCCTGGCCCTCTGACCATTTGCCTTTCTCCCTCTCACTCCCTTTTCCCTTCCTCTCCTTACCCCCTTTTTTTCTCTTCCCACCCAGCCTCAAGTACCCAGATGACTATGACTACGCCAGCACCAGAGCCATAACGCTGGTGGATAGGGACTGGCACTCCGACATCCCCCACTGGGAGCACGACGAGACTCGCCTCAAGCAAGCCCGCCACCGGATAGTCCTCTGGGGAGTCTGCCTCTCCGTCGTTCTCCTGGCCCTCTGACCATTTGCCTTTCTCCCTCTCACTCCCTTTTCCCTTCCTCTCCTTACCCCCTTTTTTTCTCTTCCCACCCAGCCTCAAGTACCCAGATGACTATGACTACGCCAGCACCAGAGCCATAACGCTGGTGGATAGGGACTGGCACTCCGACATTCCCCACTGGGAGCACGATGAGACTCGCCTCAAGCAAGCCCGCCACTGGATAATCCTCTGGGGAGTCTGCCTCTCCGTGGTCCTCCTAGCCCTCTGGCCGCTCCTTGCCCTCCCCGCGGGGGTATTTTCCCTGGGGTATTTCACTTTCTGGGTCGTGATTGCGATCACGTGGGCCGTGGTTGCGTCTGTGGTGATCATTTTCCTGCCCGTTTACGAGAACTGGCGGGGGTTAGTTCTGGTTATAGACGGGTTGTTTACGAGTGATATCCTGCAGGAGAAGGTTGACGATATAGGGCTGCGATTGGCTGCTATCATGGCTACCATACCTGAGGCGGAGGCTCGCTATCTACAGTACAAGCGCGAGATCTACGATCTCCGGCATAGAAGCTCGGGAGTGCCTAGCAGTACTAGCGAAGGAAAGAGCCCTGAACAAGGTGCAGGGCAGGTGCAGGTGCAGCAGCTGCAGTCGTTTCAACAGCAACAGCTTCAGCATCAGCAGCAGTTTCAGCAGCTGCAGCAGCAAGGTCAGATTCAAGAGGTTCAGCATGAAGGGCTGTATGGCCCATAGTAGACAGAGTAGAGGTGAAGTGCAGTGATGGTGGTGAGAGACACAAGCAACGGTGAGGGCAACAAGGTGTGCCCTGCTGGTGGCAATGCAGCTTCTGATCTGCTATAAAAAACCTGTTTTGTTGGCAGGGAGAGCTTTCTTGCTGGCCAGGCCTGATTGCAATAACAAATAAAATAAAGTTATATAAGCTTCTCCTCCACGAGATAGGCAATTGTTACATAGTCTAGAGGCAGCTTCAACCATTTGCACCCTACACCTGCTCTCGGTCTCACCCCCTCAACATCAGAAGCAACAGCATCAGGAGCATCAGCATTAGCAGCAGCAGCAGCAGCCGTCATGTTCTTAAAGCCCCTCGTGAAGCAATTGAGCTCATGGTATCCTTGCAATTGAGCAGCTTCACTTTCCCAATCCTCCTTCCCATCTCCCTCCTCACCATCCTCCTCTCCTTCCCGTCCTCCACTTTCCTTCCTCTGACCTTCTCCCTGGCCTTCCCCCTGGCCTTCCCCCTGGCCTTCCACCTGGCTTCCCCACTCCCTTTTCCCCTTCCGCCTCCGCCTCAGCCTGAACTGCTTCCCTCCCAGAAACCCCTTCTCTATAAAGTGCTTCACTATGCGTCCCCCCTCCCGTCTCACACGCCCTTCCAGCCCCTCATACAGCTCAGAATCCATATCCACATAGTATCTCACATCCAGACAAAGCCCGCATGCCGCAGCAGCTTCGGCTAATTTTCGAAGCACGAGCTGAGGCTCGGTGGCTGGATGCCTGCTTCGGGCATAGGCTCGGGCGACAGCGTTGAGGTTTCCGAACCCAAAGATGTGGTTCGGCTCGAGAGCATTGCCTTCACCCCACTCGTTCCAAGCTGCAACAAAGAAGAACGTCCCATTTGAAGCCCCCTCTTGCACCTCCACTGACACTTTTTTTACTCCACCTGTATCCGAGCCTCTTTGCCCTTTCTCTGAACCTTCCTGGCCTTGACTTAAGCTGGGTTCTTGAGTCCTTGTGCCGTCTGGGCTGTCGAACCTTGCCCGCTCCTCAGCTACGTCCTGCCGAGCCAGCCTCATCCGAGCCTCCATCCTTGCTGTCAAGTGGATCGGGTCCTCTGCCACATCCCCGAGCCTCCACGACAGGTCTGTCGAGTGCCTGGGAAAATTATCCCATGCCACGTACGAGCCTCGGTAGTGGTTCGGATGAAGCCGAACCGGGGATGGGGTTTCGCCGAACTGAAACTTGCGGTAGTTAGGTTCGTATTCCGCCACGGCTTGGATAAGGGAGCGTTGGTTCGGTGTGCTGTTGGTGTGTGTGAGGCACTGGAACAAATGCAGGCCCGGGAAGCCTTGCTGCCGAGCCAGGCTGTGCCAGAGGTCAAACATCCCCCGAGCCTCAGGTTCGGGAATATCGCCGAGTTGGTAGATACCGAACATAGGCCGGCCTGATACCTGCTGAGATGGAGATGAGACCGTAAGTGAGCGAGAGCGGAGGAGAAAAGGAAGAGAGACGCATGGAGAAGGGCAAGAAGAGGGGCCAGGAGACAGGGAAAGGAACGAGGAGAAATGTTAGCTAGAAAGATCGTCAGCAGGAAGCAATCAATGGAGCCAAACCACTCAGGACAAGCATTGTTGAGACCTAGCTACCTACCCACCCAGAGACGGGTTGAAGAGCACACCTTGATGTAGTTCGGATGCCTGAAGAATTTCAACAGCCAGTCGAAATGCTCCTTCCAGCATTCCTCATCCCCATACGTCTGCTCCAGCAACACTCCGTTCCCTCCCGCTATTGCCCCATCCCATCGGTTTGTCCACGGCTCATTCGCCCAGATAAGACAAAACGGGAGGTTGGGCTCGCCGTCCTCTAGCATCCGGAGCAGAGGCTCAGCGTCCGTGGTTCGGCGGCAGCCGAACCAGTAGTGGTGGTAGCACAGGCCATGAAACCCGTACGCTCGGGCCAGAGCTGAGGTTCGGCGGCGATGGGAGCGAGAAAGGAAGTTATAATACCCACCGGAGAGGGGCGAGAGGGGGTGGGAGATTGGAAGTGCGTTCGGGATGGGGGAAGAGAGGGAGTGTAGAGCGGTATGGGGAGGTTCGGGAGGAGTTGCGGGGCCGATGGGGTGTGCGACAGGGCGGAAGGTGGTGGGGTGGAAGTAGGCTCGTTTGACGTTGTCCCACTCGGTGAAATTGACCCCCCAAAACTCATCGTTCTCTCTGCATGCGTGGAACTGGGGAAGGAACACGGGAGGATGGAAAATGGAGGGGAACGGAGGAAGAGATGAGTTGGTTTTGTGGCTCTGCCACCCATCCCACGCAATCATGGCAAGGCAAGCAATCATGCGCTGGACCTCATGAAGCATGGTAACTCAATCAATCAGAGAAAAAATGCCCACCCAGCAGCACCGCACGTTCATCCCACCGCACATCACCTCATCAAACCGCACATCACCTGTGGGAAGACTATCGCAATGAGCTTCAGATCTGGATCGACAGCCACCTCGCTGCCGCCCGCTCCCCGTTTCAATTCTCCGGGCAGCAGATGCAGCTCTTCGGGCGGCGACAGCAGCTCCTTGGGCGGCAGGTGCACGAGTGGCAGCTGGCGCAGCAGCGAGAAGGCACACCCCCGCCGCAGATGCCGACACGCCGGGTTCTTAGTGAAAGGCGGCCGTGCTCTGGGCTAGAGGGGGCAAGGCGGGGGGAAGAATTGGAAGGCGCGGAGGGGGGTGAGGAGAGGGGGAAAGCGCGGAGTGGGGAAGGGGAGGGGGGCAGAAGGGAAGGAAAGGGGATGCAGGAGATGGGAGAGGGAGGATTGGAAAAAGGGATGATGGAATATGAGGGAAGAACGGAGGGACTGGGGAAAGCATGGAGTGCAGACTAAGGGGGGTAGGAAGGGAGGAGGGGGGAAATGGGGGGAGTCAGGAGGGATGCTTAGACAAAGAGGGTGACACGTAAGCGGATAACCACGCGACGACACCAGACCAGCCAGCCTCACATGTTCCTGACGAATCTGAAGTCAAACGATGTGTCGAAAAACGCCCCTGCGATTCCCGGGTAGTCTGCGCGGGTAACCCTATCCTGATTGCTCACTCCCGCGAGTAAATCATGCCATGCCACCTGGCGGCTGCGCTTCAATCCGCAGCGCGCCGCTGCTGCGTTCATGGCGGACCAATAGCGGCGCGCGAACCACGCCACGATGGCGCGCTCCGGTGGAGGGAAGGGCGGAGGATTGTCCTCGTAGGAGCTACTCGTGCCATTGCTGCTGCTGCTGCTGCTGCTGTTCGTAGTGCAACAATCAGCGGAGATATGCTGATGCGGGGACGCCGAATTGGTAGAGTCGCCGATTGAGGCGGAGAGGGTAAGGGAGCGAAAGAGAGGAGAGGCCGGGAGGACGGGTGGAGAGGAGGAGTGGAGGAGGCGGAGGAAAACGACAAGCAAGCCCAATTGCAGCGCAATGATGACTGCAGCTAACGTCAGCGGCACGCATTGGCGGAGCCGGTGCGCCTGTAGGGTTGAGGCCGTTGGTCCTCGCATCAGGACATTCCAATAGAATGCGCCTCGATACTACTAAAGAGATGGCATACCGAAGACTAGGTTTTTATCGTCACGGAAACAACACTTAGGAACTAGAGTCGGAGCACTCGCGTCGTCAACAGCCATTCAGTTGACCCATCAGCAAGAAAGAGAACTAGTACTCTAGGTAACCTCTGGAAGCCTGAAGGCAAAGCGGATATGCTCATAAGGAAATTGAAACATGCTGCATGGAAGTGGAGGTAACAGTGGAACTTTCGGCCCTGTTCGATTGGCTAACACCGACGGCCGCGGGATCGCGGCTGTTTCGGTTTAGGATTTTTTTCCACGGTCAGCCCGTAAAATGGTGAAAAGGGGCTTTAAAGCTCCTCAACCTGGTGGCACAGTGTTAGCCTGTAGAACGCAGCCCAGACAAGAAGCCTTCGCCCTCTCAGAAAGACACAGGCGAAGGTTTAGCCCTCGCCTAGCCTAAGGGTTCGTTCTTGGCTGGTGTCAGGCTCGCTGACACAAGGCAATTGGACGTTTTTTATCATTCCACGTCATCGTCGTCAAAATCTACTGAAATCTCAACCCTTCACGGCTTCATGTCAAGATTCTAGACACCAGCCAAGAACGTACTGTTACAATCCCAAGTAGGACTTAGCGAAGGATCGCTCATGGTTGATCGCAGGCTAGTGTTGCAGCGGAAGAGTTGACCTCAGGTCAGAGTGAATGTAAATTACTGAGATTGATAATAGCATGCATACATCTACTTTATATAGGAAATACAAAGGAATACGAAACGACCTAGACTAGCCATGTACTCTAAGGGACGCATTTCTTTATTACAGCGAAGTTCAAACCGTGCGGTGCGGGAACCCGTTTCAAACATGTTCCCGCTCTTCCAGTTCAAATGTTTCTGCCTGCATCGGTCATGGTCAGACAGTTACCAACGTCGCTTCGACTCTTCTGACTCATCGACTTCGTACTCGATAGAGTCGGCTCCTGCAGCATACATGAATGTCTTCTCATAAAGTTTCATATCGTAACACGTACCCTAACCCTCGCCCCCCAAAAGTGGGGTTTGCCAAAGGGCTCGTCAAGTGTTTGCAGTGGGAGGGACACCCACAACGTGAACCCAAAACAAAACCCGCAAAACCAGACTGTTTAAAAAAAATATGCCAATCTAAAACCTAATCTAGTTGTGTCTGGGCCAATCTTCTTGTGAGGCGAGCGATTTGTGGGGAAGGCCTTTTGTTTTACCGGTGTTGTTACCCAGACCCCTCTAGCGAGCAGCCCAAATTTGTCTACACAGCCTGCGAGACCCATGTAGAAGGGGGCGAGCAGCTTCGCCTTGTGGGCCCCGCTCCTTCCGATCTCTAGGGGCGGGGCTTCCGATTGGGTTGGGCGGTCGATCAGCTCGGGGAAGTTGCGCTGAACCCTCCCCTTAAAGCTGTCGCCTACATACTTCCTGCAGGAGGCCTAGGTTTATCACTTGAAAACACGGTAGCACCAAGCTTCGCTCCAACCTTGAGTGGCGAGGTGCAGTCACTGCTTTGTGACTTCTGAAAATTGGGCGAAACAGGTTTGGCTTCTAGTTTTCGCGCCAATCTCCTTCCCAACCGGGATTGGTTGCACGTTGTGGCGAAATCGCCAACACAACCCTCTCCTCCCGAAATATTTACCCCCCAACCGAACCTTTCACGAGACTGGCGGGATTCGCCAGTTCTGTTTGAAACATTCGCTCCTTCATTTCTGGAAAAGGATCATTTCGTTCCCCAATCAGCATCCATCCTAGGGTGTGCACCCGAAATGCCCCCAAAAAAGACATTTTGAATGTAGACCGCAGTTTTTACACTAGCCTAACACTCTCCTTTTGCAAGGTGTTAGCCTATTGAACAGGGGTTCTATGGTTGATCTAGAATTTGGAAACACGCACCAACTGGTTCGGCTGGGTTTTACAGCCAAGTGCCGAATGCGCTAGGGCGTGTTCATAAAAAAAAAAAGTACCAAACCAAAGCATTTGAATGGCGAGCAGCGAAGGTTACACAACTAACACTCACAGTTTCGACCCCGGGTTCAAAATCTAGGATGATAACCAAGAGCGCTGCCGTCGGTGCGACGGCATCAACTAAATCGACGTGGCACTGCTTCCCTGGGTGTTGAGCGATACTGGAGCTTACCTCTTCGTACACTCTTCGATTTACATGTACGAGCTCGACGTGTTGTACCTGCGCTAGTGAAGTTTGGCTACGATGTCGCAAATTTCGTCAGGTGGGCCGGCAAGCTCTGTGTGTTTGTACCACATGTTACATAATAACAACAGGATATACAACAGTGGAAACCGAGTCGCAGGGGCTTTTAGACGATGTGCGGTTGCTCAGGTGCTTACGGGAGATGGCATCGCGCATGGGACGCAAGTTGATACGAGAAGCTTGGGCATCAACTGTAGAGCCTAATGGGATGGCTATTGACGCCGCAAGGGTTACAATACGAACAGATCTCATCAGCATAGACCCTTCACCTGGCTGTTGTTCCGATCAATGAGAGTCACATTACGATGGAAACCTAATCTTCGCTATGCCATTTCCTTAATCGTATCGAGCCACGTCTTATCGGAGCGTCCTGATGCAAGGGCCGACGGCTTCATCCCTGTGGACACACCGACTACGCAAATGCGTGCCGCTGACGTCAGGTGCAGTCATCATTGCGCTGCAAGCGGGCATGCTTGTCGTTTTCCTCGGCCTCCTCCACTCCTCCTCTCCACCCGTTCTCCCGGCCTCTCCTCTCTCTCGCTCCCCTCCCCTCTCCGCGTCGGTCGGCAACTCTACCAGTTCGGCGTCCCCGCATCAGCATATCTCCGCTGATTGCTGCACTAAGAACAGCAGCAGCAGCAGCAGCAACGGCACGAGTAGCTTTTACGACGTTATCGAAGACGCTTCTAACGAGGACAATCCTCCGCCCTTCCCTCCACCGGAGCGCGCCATCGTGGCGTGGTTCGCGCGTCGCTATTGGTCCGCCATGAACGAAGCGGCGGCGCGCTGCGGGTTGAAGCGCAGCCGACAGGTGGCGTGGCATGATTTGCTCACGGGAGTGAGCAATCAGGATAGTGTTACCCGTGCAGACTACCCGGGAATTGCTGGGGCGTTTTTCGACACGGCTTTTGACTTCAGATTTGTTCGAAACACGTGAGGGTGTTAGTGCTCTGCACTGTCATCTGCTGACATGTCAGCACTCTTTTTTGTCTTTGCTGCATCCCCCCTGCATTCCCCCTCCCCTCCTCCTCCCTTCCCCTCATACCCCTCTCCTCCCCCGTCCCTCTTGTTTCCACCCTCCATTCTTTTCCCACTCGCCCCTCTCCCCACTGTTCTTCCCTCAAATTCCATCATCCCTGTTTTCCATCCTCCCTCTCCCCATCTCCCATTTCCCCTTTCCTTGCCCTTCTCTCCCCCCTTCCTTCCCTGCTCGTTCCCCTCCCCCAACCCCCCTCCCCCTGCACCTCCCCCCTCTTCCCCCCGACTCCCGCCCTCTATTCCAGAGCGAGCCCGCTCTTCTCTAGGAATCCAGCAGGTCGGCACCTGCGGCGGGGGTGTGCCTTTTCTCTGCCACTCGCGCCCTTTCCCCCTCTTCCCCCCTCATCCCGGCGCCCTCTATTCCAGAGCGAGCCCGCCCTTCTCTAAGATCTCGGCATGCTGCCACCTAACTTCTGAGTTGACTCAAAAGTCTTCCCCCTCTTCTTCCTGCCTCCCCCCCTCTATTCCAGAGCGCGCCCGCCCTTCACAAAGAACCCGGCGTGCCGCCACCTGCGGCGGGGGTGTGCCTTCTCTCTGCTGCGCCAGCTGCCACTCGTGCAGCTGCCGCCCAAGGAGATGCAGCTGCCGCCCGAAGAGCTGGAGCTGCTAGAGCTGCCGCCCAAAGATGTGCAGCTGCTGCTCGAAGAATCGGAGAGGGGAGCGGGCGGCAGTGGTGTGGGCGTGAAAGGAGTGGCTGTGGATTCGGATCTGAAGCTCATTGCGATAGTCTTTCCACAGGTGATGTGCGGTGCGATGGGGTGATGTGCAGTGTGGTGGGGTGGGGTGATGTGCAGTATGATGGGATGCTTGTGCGGTGCATTGGGGTGATGTGTGGTGCCGTTGGGTGGGCATCGTCCCTCTGCTGAATGAGGTATGCACAAAGACGTTCAGAGCATGCATGCTTGCCTTGCCATCGTCGCATGGGACGGGGCACACAGAGGCATGTCACCTGCTCTCCTCCTCTCCCATTCCTCCTCCTCTCTCCGTTCGTTCCCCCCCGTATCTCCATCCTCCCCTGTTTCCCCTACCAGTGCCATCCGTACTGGGAGAACAGTAGGGGATTCACTCCCACAAGTGACTGTTCTCCCACTTTCCATCCATACTGGGGGAGCAGTCACTTCTAGGAGTGAATTCCACCAAGTGGGGCAGAAGTGGAAATATGTGCCTTATGCTGCTCCTACCCTTCCTGCTCTTTTCTAGTTCCACGTGTGCACGGAGAATGACCAGTTCTGGGGCGGGGCGTCAATTTCACCAGGTGGAACAAATATGGACATCTGTGCCTTCTGCTGCTTCTCCCCCGTTCCTGCTGCCTCCCCTTCCTGCTGCCTCCCCTTCCTGCTGCCTCCCCTTCCTGCTGCCTCCCCTTCCTGCTGCCTCCCCTTCCTGCTGCCTCCCCTTCCTGCTGCCTCCCCTTCCTGCTCCCTCCCCTTCCTGCTGCCTCCCCTTCCTGCTGCCTCCCCTTCCTGCTGCCTCCCCTTCCTGCTGCCTCCCCTTCCTGCTCCCTCCCCTTCCTGCTGCCTCCCCTTCCTGCTGCCTCCCCTTCCTGCTGCCTCCCCTTCCTGCTCCCTCCCAGTTCCACGCATGCAGAGAGAACGATGAGTTTTGGGGAGTCAATTTCACCGAGTGGGACAACGTCAAACGAGCCTTCTTCCACCCCACCACCTTCCGCCCTGTCGCGCACCCCATCGGCCCCGCAACTCCTCCCGAACCTCCCCATACCGCTCTCCACTCCCTCTCTTCCCCCGTCCCAAACGCACTCTCGATCTCGCACCCCCTCTCGCCCCTCTCCAGTGGTTACTATAACTTCCTTTCCCGCTCCCACCGCCGCCGAACCTCAGCTCTGGCCCGAGCCTACGGGTTCCATGGCCTGTGCTACCACCACTACTGGTTCGGATGCCGCTGAACCACGCTCGCCGAGCCTCTGCTCCGGATGCTAGAGGACGGCGAGCCCAACCTCCCGTTTTGTCTTATCTGGGCAAATGAGCCGTGGACAAATCGGTGGGACGGGGCAAGAGGGGGAGGGGGAGGGGGAAGGAGTGAAGTGCTGTTGGAACAGACTTATGGGGATGAGGAATGCTGGAAGGAGCATTTCGACTGGCTGTTGAAATTCTTCAACCATCCAAACTACATCAAGGTATGGAATTATTTTCTGCAAGGCTGTGCAATTCTTTAGGTAGCTTGGTCCCACCCATGCTTGTCCAAGCCAAGCCAAGCTGCCTCCCTCAACTGGTAATTTTAACCTAACTGACGATTCGTGTATATCTGATGTAAACTAACTAACTTCTCTTTTCCTTTGGCTCTTGATGTTAATATTGTGTTTCTTCCCTCTTTCCTTACGTTCACTCTTTCGCACTCGTCTCCACCCCACCAGGTATCAGGCCGGCCTATGTTTGGTATTTACAAACTCGGCGACATTCCCGAACCTGAGGCAAGGGGGATGTTTGACCTCTGGCATAGCCTGGCTCGGCAGCAAGGCTTCCCGGGCCTGCATCTGTTCCAGTGCCTCACGAATCCCAACAGCAAACCGAGCCAACGATCCCTTGTCCAAGCCGTGGCAGAATACGAGCCTAACTACAGCAAGTGGAGGTTCGGCGAGACCCCATCCGCGGCTCGGCTTCATCCGAACCATTACCGAGGCTCGTACGTGGCTTGGGATAATTTCCCCAGGCACTCAACGGACCTGTCGTGGAGGCACGGGGATGTGGCAGAGGACCCGATCCACTTGACAGCAAGGATGGAGGCTCGGATGAGGCTGGCTCGGCAGGACATAGCTGAGGATCAGGCAAGGTTCGGCAGCCCAGACGGCACAAGAACTGAAGGACTTAGCTTAGGTCAAGTCCAAGAAGGTTCAGAGAAAGTGCAAAGAGGTTCGGACAAAGGTGCGGTTCCAAAAGAGCCACAGGAGGGGGTTGCGAATGGAACGAGTGGGGCGAAGGCAACGCTCTTGAGCCGAACCACCTCTTTGGGTTCGGAAACCTCAATGCTGTCGCCCGAGCCTATGCCCGAAGCAGGCATCCAGCCACTGAGCCTCAGCTCGTGCTTCGGAGATTAGCCGAAGCTGCGGTGGCGTGCGAGTTTTGTCTGGATGTGAGATACTATGTGGATATGGATGGTGAGCTGTATGAGGGGCTGGAAGGACGTGTGACAAGGGAGGGAGGACGCATAGTGAAGCACTTTATAGAGAAGGGGTTTCTGGGAGGGAAGCAATTTAGGCTGAGGCGGAGGCGGAAGGGGGGAGTGCAGGGGGAAGCGGAGGTGAAAGGGCAGGGGGGACAGGGAAAAGTGAATGGGGGGCAGGAGGGGGAGGCAGATGGGGAGGATGGAGATGATGAGGAGGGAGATGGGGAGGGGGTTTGGGAAAGCGAAGCCGCTCAATTGGCGGGGTACCATGAGCTCAACTGCTTATCCAAAGGCATGGCTATGAACAGGACTGGTGGTACCAGTAGTAGTGGTGCTGCTGCTGCTGCTGCTTCTGCTGCTGCTGGTAGTGCTGATGATGATGGTAGGGAGGGGTTTAGAAAGAGTGCAGATGTTGTAGGGTGCAAATGGTTGGAATTGCCTCTAGACTATGTAACAGTCGCCTATCTTGTGGAGGAAGAGCTTATGTAGTGGTTTTTTTTAGCTCGTTCTTGCAATCAAGCCTTGCCAGCAAGACCTAATACCTTGCCAGAAGCACATATACCGCAACTGGGTGTAAAGAAATAGAAGTCTCCAAGCCAAGGCGAAGGGGACATGATTGTAGCGAACATTTTGAAACAATTTCTGAAACTTTCTAGGCTCGAGGCGCCCGTTTTTGGCAAAAGAACGCAGCCTTCATGAAGTTCATCTTTCCCCCATCCCAGGCGCATCAGCAGCCTAAAAAGCCATTCCTCGCCTTATGGTCGTCAGGTAAGTCTCGTTTACATACGCCCTCCTTGGCACGTAATCGGCATAGTTTGGTGCTCTTCGGCGCTGTCGGTCTTGCAGCGAATCATCAATTAGCGTGTGGTCGATACGTGCAGTCCACACGCGTGGGATTATTGCGAATAAGCAGCCGATTCGATGGATGAGGTAGGTTCTGCGAGGATAAGAAACGACTGGAAGCGTCGTTATGCGAAACCGTTTTTCCTTGCTTGATGCGCAATCTAAAGCCTACGCAGCTCGTCACTACCTCCTTATCGTCCATCCATGTCGTCCCATTCACCCGGTGTTTTAGTTTATACAGCTAGTACTGATTCGAGTGTCTAAAATCTCTTCGTCATAACGAAATGCATTCTTCGGGATGTCTCTTCGGAGCAATCATTGTTTCATATCTTTCTCGATCAGCAGGCCTCATGTCACGTGAGCAGTGCTTCTGTATCAGGATCAATGGCATCGTAAACCGCGAGCGATATAGGTCCTAGCACACTAGAATTTCCATGTTCAAGTTTATCCTGGTATTTATCTGCTGTTTCTGATTATAGGATGATTTCGAGTTCGAAGGACCTGTCGATTCGCGAGTCGGGGCCACCAACGGTCAAGAATCTGCCGCCGCCGCTCGCACGAAGATCTCGACTGACCGTTTGAAGGCTGGCGGTGCTGTTTTGTCGGGATTCGATGGGGGAGGCGGGGGAGGGGAGGTGGAGGAGGTTGGGGAGGAGGTGGAAGAGGTGGAGGAGGTAGAAGAGGAGGTGGATATATATCCTATGGAGGATGAGCAGGTGGGTTTGTTAGATGGTTACCACTCCAAGGATTTTTTGTTTGCTGAATTTATGGCGTCTTTTCTGCGTTGCTCCCTGCCTGCTGGGTCTTATGGTTCCTGATTCTTCGTCCGTATTGCATGGTTGATGATGCATGGTGCATGGTGTTTGGTGCATGGTGGATGGTGCATGGTGGATGGTGCGTGGTGCATGGTGCATGATGGATGATGGATGATGCATGGTGGATGGTGGATGATGCATGGTGGATGGTGCATGGTGTATGATGCATGGTGGATGGTGCAAGGTGTATGGTGCATGGTGCATGATGGATGGTGCATGGTAGATGGTGCATGGTGCCTGATGGATGGTGCATGGTGCATGGTGGATGGTGCATGATGCGTGGCTGTGGAGCATTGTGCATGCCACATGATGCATGATGCGTGGTGAATGACGTATGACGGATGGTGCATGGTGGATGGTGCGTGGTGCATGGTGCATGATGGATGATGGATGATGCATGGTGGATGGTGGATGATGCATGGTGGATGGTGCATGGTGTATGATGCATGGTGGATGGTGCAAGGTGTATGGTGCATGGTGCATGATGGATGGTGCATGGTAGATGGTGCATGGTGCATGATGGACGGTGCATGGTGCATGGTGGATGGTGCATGGTGCATGATGCGTGGCTGTGGAGCATTGTGCATGCCACATGATGCATGATGCGTGGTGAATGACGTATGTTACACACCGTATGCTGCATGGTGTATCCCATGTCTCCCTCAGGCGTCATTCCCTGCTGCCGTGACTGCAGCAGACGACCATGCCACCACCACCATTCTCACTCTTCGTGCCTGGTGCGTTGAGTTCTGAGATGACTTTTGAGTTCATGCAAAAACCATTCCACCACCACCATTCTCACTCTTCGTGCCTGGTGCGTTGAGTTTTTCTTCCTGTACAATCTAGGGTTTCAGGTCTTCTCACAGCTAGTGTCCAACCTTTGCGCTTCTTTCTCTTCGTGCACAACGCCCCTGCAGTCACAGAAACTGACTGACCTGCTCTCACTATGCCTCCGCCACGTGTCACCCTCTCTCTGCCTGTCTCTCTTCCACATGGCAGCATGGAGGAGAAGGATGCTGCCATCAAGAAGCTGCAGGTGCGCTTACACGCATTCTGTCAGAATTCTTAAAACAAGGTCTCTGCTGTCCTGACCTACTTCTCCCATCAACAACCAACAATACAATTGTCCTGACCTAAATCCGTTAGGACTCACCAACAGTGACTGCTCGTTCTGACGACTCCCACCTGTTCCCATCCGTTACAGTCACAATTGGATGAGGCACACGCGGATCTGCAGAAGTGGCGCTCGGCCTTCCATCCCGCCAACATCCTTGCGACTGAAACTACCGCTGGTGAGCCGCCCTGCCTTCCTTCCTTTCCCTAGGATCCGAATTAAGCGGCACACAAGCACGACCTTTCATCCCGCCAACATCCTTGCCCCTGAGACCACCGCTGGTGAGCTGCCCTGCGCTGCCTCCTCACGTACTGCCAGTTCCCCTGCCTTCCTGCTCCCTTGCGGATTTGCACAAGTGGCGCACGCACAGCCTTCCACCCTGCCAACATCCTTGCGCCTGAGACTTCTGCTGGTGAGCTACCCTGCCTTCCCTTCCATGCCTTCCTCCCCCTGGGGTCCGGAATAAGTGCCACGTGTGCACGGCCTCCCACCCTGCCAACATCCTTGCGCCTGAGACCACCGCTGGTGAGCTGCCCTGCCTTTCCTGTTCCCCTAGGATCGGGATTCAGTGACACACAGGCACAACCTTCCATTTCCTCAACATTTGTCACCCTCCTTTCCATCCTCTCCACTTCCTCTCATGTCCTCCCCTCATCTCCCAAACAGAGCCAGCAGCGGTGGTGGCAGCGTTTGAGACAGTGCGGGAGGCAGAGGCGCAGGTGCAGGAGAAGCTGCTGGCAGCGCGGAGGAGGGAGGCCGCCATGTTGATTCGCCTGGCGGGCAGGGAGCAGGAGGTGGTTGCTGTCAAGGTGGGTGGGAGGGTCGGTGGGTGGGTGTGAGAGCGGGTGTGTGTGTGCATGCCTGCTCGTGTGAGAGCGGGTGTGTGTGTGCATGCCTGCTCGTGTGAGTCCATGCTGATCGCCTGGCTGGCAGGGAGCAGGAGGTGGTTGCTGTCAAGGTGGGTGGGTGTGAAAGTGGGGTTCTGTAGATGTGGTTGGATGTGAAAGTGAGAAACGGAGCTAGGCAGAGGGAAGGCATGCTGGCATATGATGGAACGTGCTGCAGGTGGCATAAAGGCTTCATTAAAACCAATCCCATATTTCTACAGCGCCTAAATAAGAGGCATGCAAACTTGTTCGCTCCTCCAACGCCTTGCACTCCTCCAACGCCTTGCACTCCTCCAATGCCTTGCACTCTTCCAATGCCTTGCACTCCTCCAATGCCTTGCACTCCTCCAATGCCTTGCACTCCTCCGATGCCTTGCACTCCTCCAATGCCTTGCACTCCTCCAATGCCTTGCACTCCTCCAATGCCTTGCACTCCTCCAATGCCTTGCACTCCTCCAATGCCTTGCACTCCTCCAATGCCTTGCACTCCTCCAATGCCTTGCACTCCTCCAATGCCTTGCACTCCTCCAATGCCTTGCACTCCTCCAATGCCTTGCACTCCTCCAATGCCTTGCACTCCTCCAATGCCTTGCACTCCTCCAATGCCTTGCACTCCTCCAATGCCTTGCACTCCTCCAATGCCTTGCACTCCTCCAATGCCTTGCACTCCTCCAATGCCTTGCACTCCTCCAACGCCTTGCACTCCTCCAACGCCTTGCACTCCTCCAACGCCTTGCACTCCTCCAACGCCTTGCACTCCTCCAACGCCTTGCACTCCTCCAATGCCTTGCACTCCTCCAATGCCTTGCACTCCTCCAATGCCTTGCACTCCTCCAATGCCTTGCACTCCTCCAATGCCTTGCACTCCTCCAATGCCTTGCACTCCTCCAATGCCTTGCACTCCTCCAATGCCTTGCACTCCTCCAACTGCCTTGCACTCCTCCAACGCCTTGCACTCCTCCAATGCCTTGCACTCCTCCAATGCCTTGCACTCCTCCAATGCCTTGCACTCCTCCAATGCCTTGCACTCCTCCAATGCCTTGCACTCCTCCAATGCCTTGCACTCCTCCAATGCCTTGCACTCCTCCAATGCCTTGCACTCCTCCAATGCCTTGCACTCCTCCAATGCCTTGCACTCCTCCAATGCCTTGCACTCCTCCAATGCCTTGCACTCCTCCAATGCCTTGCACTCCTCCAATGCCTTGCACTCCTCCAATGCCTTGCACTCCTCCAATGCCTTGCACTCCTCCAATGCCTTGCACTCCTCCAATGCCTTGCACTCCTCCAATGCCTTGCACTCCTCCAATGCCTTGCACTCCTCCAATGCCTTGCACTCCTCCAATGCCTTGCACTCCTCCAATGCCTTGCACTCCTCCAATGCCTTGCACTCCTCCAATGCCTTGCACTCCTCCAACGCCTTGCACTCCTCCAACGCCTTGCACTCCTCCAATGCCTTGCACTCCTCCAATGCCTTGCACTCCTCCAATGCCTTGCACTCCTCCAATGCCTTGCACTCCTCCAACGCCTTGCACTCCTCCAACGCCTTGCACTCCTCCAACGCCTTGCACTCCTCCAATGCCTTGCACTCCTCCAATGCCTTGCACTCCTCCAATGCCTTGCACTCCTCCAATGCCTTGCACTCCTCCAATGCCTTGCACTCCTCCAATGCCTTGCACTCCTCCAATGCCTTGCACTCCTCCAATGCCTTGCACTCCTCCAATGCCTTGCACTCCTCCAATGCCTTGCACTCCTCCAATGCCTTGCACTCCTCCAATGCCTTGCACTCCTCCAATGCCTTGCACTCCTCCAATGCCTTGCACTCCTCCAATGCCTTGCACTCCTCCAATGCCTTGCACTCCTCCAATGCCTTGCACTCCTCCAATGCCTTGCACTCCTCCAATGCCTTGCACTCCTCCAATGCCTTGCACTCCTCCAATGCCTTGCACTCCTCCAATGCCTTGCACTCCTCCAATGCCTTGCACTCCTCCAATGCCTTGCACTCCTCCAATGCCTTGCACTCCTCCAATGCCTTGCACTCCTCCAACGCCTTGCACTCCTCCAACGCCTTGCACTCCTCCAACGCCTTGCACTCCTCCAACGCCTTGCACTCCTCCAACGCCTTGCACTCCTCCAATGCCTTGCACTCCTCCAAGTGCCTTGCACTCCTCCAATGCCTTGCACTCCTCCAATGCCTTGCACTCCTCCAATGCCTTGCACTCCTCCAATGCCTTGCACTCCTCCAACGCCTTGCACTCCTCCAATGCCTTGCACTCCTCCAATGCCTTGCACTCCTCCAATGCCTTGCACTCCTCCAATGCCTTGCACTCCTCCAATGCCTTGCACTCCTCCAATGCCTTGCACTCCTCCAATGCCTTGCACTCCTCCAATGCCTTGCACTCCTCCAATGCCTTGCACTCCTCCAATGCCTTGCACTCCTCCAATGCCTTGCACTCCTCCAATGCCTTGCACTCCTCCAATGCCTTGCACTCCTCCAATGCCTTGCACTCCTCCAATGCCTTGCACTCCTCCAATGCCTTGCACTCCTCCAATGCCTTGCACTCCTCCAATGCCTTGCACTCCTCCAATGCCTTGCACTCCTCCAATGCCTTGCACTCCTCCAATGCCTTGCACTCCTCCAATGCCTTGCACTCCTCCAATGCCTTGCACTCCTCCAATGCCTTGCACTCCTCCAATGCCTTGCACTCCTCCAATGCCTTGCACTCCTCCAATGCCTTGCACTCCTCCAATGCCTTGCACTCCTCCAATGCCTTGCACTCCTCCAATGCCTTGCACTCCTCCAATGCCTTGCACTCCTCCAATGCCTTGCACTCCTCCAATGCCTTGCACTCCTCCAATGCCTTGCACTCCTCCAATGCCTTGCACTCCTCCAATGCCTTGCACTCCTCCAATGCCTTGCACTCCTCCAATGCCTTGCACTCCTCCAATGCCTTGCACTCCTCCAATGCCTTGCACTCCTCCAACGCCTTGCACTCCTCCAATGCCTTGCACTCCTCCAATGCCTTGCACTCCTCCAATGCCTTGCACTCCTCCAATGCCTTGCACTCCTCCAATGCCTTGCACTCCTCCAATGCCTTGCACTCCTCCAATGCCTTGCACTCCTCCAATGCCTTGCACTCCTCCAATGCCTTGCACTCCTCCAACGCCTTGCACTCCTCCAACGCCTTGCACTCCTCCAATGCCTTGCACTCCTCCAATGCCTTGCACTCCTCCAATGCCTTGCACTCCTCCAATGCCTTGCACTCCTCCAATGCCTTGCACTCCTCCAATGCCTTGCACTCCTCCAATGCCTTGCACTCCTCCAATGCCTTGCACTCCTCCAATGCCTTGCACTCCTCCAATGCCTTGCACTCCTCCAATGCCTTGCACTCCTCCAATGCCTTGCACTCCTCCAATGCCTTGCACTCCTCCAATGCCTTGCACTCCTCCAATGCCTTGCACTCCTCCAATGCCTTGCACTCCTCCAATGCCTTGCACTCCTCCAATGCCTTGCACTCCTCCAATGCCTTGCACTCCTCCAATGCCTTGCACTCCTCCAATGCCTTGCACTCCTCCAATGCCTTGCACTCCTCCAATGCCTTGCACTCCTCCAATGCCTTGCACTCCTCCAATGCCTTGCACTCCTCCAATGCCTTGCACTCCTCCAATGCCTTGCACTCCTCCAATGCCTTGCACTCCTCCAATGCCTTGCACTCCTCCAATGCCTTGCACTCCTCCAATGCCTTGCACTCCTCCAATGCCTTGCACTCCTCCAATGCCTTGCACTCCTCCAATGCCTTGCACTCCTCCAATGCCTTGCACTCCTCCAATGCCTTGCACTCCTCCAATGCCTTGCCTTGCACTCCTCCAATGCCTTGCACTCCTCCAATGCCTTGCACTCCTCCAATGCCTTGCACTCCTCCAATGCCTTGCACTCCTCCAATGCCTTGCACTCCTCCAATGCCTTGCACTCCTCCAATGCCTTGCACTCCTCCAATGCCTTGCACTCCTCCAATGCCTTGCACTCCTCCAATGCCTTGCACTCCTCCAATGCCTTGCACTCCTCCAATGCCTTGCACTCCTCCAATGCCTTGCACTCCTCCAATGCCTTGCACTCCTCCAATGCCTTGCACTCCTCCAATGCCTTGCACTCCTCCAATGCCTTGCACTCCTCCAATGCCTTGCACTCCTCCAATGCCTTGCACTCCTCCAATGCCTTGCACTCCTCCAATGCCTTGCACTCCTCCAATGCCTTGCACTCCTCCAATGCCTTGCACTCCTCCAATGCCTTGCACTCCTCCAATGCCTTGCACTCCTCCAATGCCTTGCACTCCTCCAATGCCTTGCACTCCTCCAACTCCCTCCAACGCCTTGCACTCCTCCAACGCCTTGCACTCCTCCAACGCCTTGCACTCCTCCAATGCCTTGCACTCCTCCAATGCCTTGCACTCCTCCAATGCCTTGCACTCCTCCAATGCCTTGCACTCCTCCAATGCCTTGCACTCCTCCAATGCCTTGCACTCCTCCAATGCCTTGCACTCCTCCAATGCCTTGCACTCCTCCAATGCCTTGCACTCCTCCAATGCCTTGCACTCCTCCAATGCCTTGCACTCCTCCAATGCCTTGCACTCCTCCAATGCCTTGCACTCCTCCAATGCCTTGCACTCCTCCAATGCCTTGCACTCCTCCAACGCCTTGCACTCCTCCAACGCCTTGCACTCCTCCAACGCCTTGCACTCCTCCAATGCCTTGCACTCCTCCAATGCCTTGCACTCCTCCAATGCCTTGCACTCCTCCAATGCCTTGCACTCCTCCAATGCCTTGCACTCCTCCAATGCCTTGCACTCCTCCAATGCCTTGCACTCCTCCAACGCCTTGCACTCCTCCAACGCCTTGCACTCCTCCAATGCCTTGCACTCCTCCAATGCCTTGCACTCCTCCAATGCCTTGCACTCCTCCAATGCCTTGCACTCCTCCAATGCCTTGCACTCCTCCAATGCCTTGCACTCCTCCAATGCCTTGCACTCCTCCAATGCCTTGCACTCCTCCAATGCCTTGCACTCCTCCAATGCCTTGCACTCCTCCAATGCCTTGCACTCCTCCAATGCCTTGCACTCCTCCAATGCCTTGCACTCCTCCAACGCCTTGCACTCCTCCAATGCCTTGCACTCCTCCAATGCCTTGCACTCCTCCAATGCCTTGCACTCCTCCAATGCCTTGCACTCCTCCAATGCCTTGCACTCCTCCAATGCCTTGCACTCCTCCAATGCCTTGCACTCCTCCAATGCCTTGCACTCCTCCAATGCCTTGCACTCCTCCAATGCCTTGCACTCCTCCAATGCCTTGCACTCCTCCAACGCCTTGCACTCCTCCAACGCCTTGCACTCCTCCAACGCCTTGCACTCCTCCAATGCCTTGCACTCCTCCAATGCCTTGCACTCCTCCAATGCCTTGCACTCCTCCAATGCCTTGCACTCCTCCAATGCCTTGCACTCCTCCAATGCCTTGCACTCCTCCAATGCCTTGCACTCCTCCAATGCCTTGCACTCCTCCAATGCCTTGCACTCCTCCAATGCCTTGCACTCCTCCAATGCCTTGCACTCCTCCAATGCCTTGCACTCCTCCAATGCCTTGCACTCCTCCAATGCCTTGCACTCCTCCAATGCCTTGCACTCCTCCAATGCCTTGCACTCCTCCAATGCCTTGCACTCCTCCAACGCCTTGCACTCCTCCAACGCCTTGCACTCCTCCAACGCCTTGCACTCCTCCAATGCCTTGCACTCCTCCAATGCCTTGCACTCCTCCAATGCCTTGCACTCCTCCAATGCCTTGCACTCCTCCAATGCCTTGCACTCCTCCAATGCCTTGCACTCCTCCAATGCCTTGCACTCCTCCAATGCCTTGCACTCCTCCAATGCCTTGCACTCCTCCAATGCCTTGCACTCCTCCAATGCCTTGCACTCCTCCAATGCCTTGCACTCCTCCAATGCCTTGCACTCCTCCAATGCCTTGCACTCCTCCAATGCCTTGCACTCCTCCAATGCCTTGCACTCCTCCAATGCCTTGCACTCCTCCAATGCCTTGCACTCCTCCAATGCCTTGCACTCCTCCAATGCCTTGCACTCCTCCAATGCCTTGCACTCCTCCAACGCCTTGCACTCCTCCAACGCCTTGCACTCCTCCAATGCCTTGCACTCCTCCAATGCCTTGCACTCCTCCAATGCCTTGCACTCCTCCAATGCCTTGCACTCCTCCAATGCCTTGCACTCCTCCAATGCCTTGCACTCCTCCAATGCCTTGCACTCCTCCAATGCCTTGCACTCCTCCAATGCCTTGCACTCCTCCAATGCCTTGCACTCCTCCAACGCCTTGCACTCCTCCAACGCCTTGCACTCCTCCAATGCCTTGCACTCCTCCAATGCCTTGCACTCCTCCAATGCCTTGCACTCCTCCAATGCCTTGCACTCCTCCAATGCCTTGCACTCCTCCAATGCCTTGCACTCCTCCAATGCCTTGCACTCCTCCAATGCCTTGCACTCCTCCAACTGCCTTGCACTCCTCCAATGCCTTGCACTCCTCCAATGCCTTGCACTCCTCCAATGCCTTGCACTCCTCCAATGCCTTGCACTCCTCCAATGCCTTGCACTCCTCCAATGCCTTGCACTCCTCCAATGCCTTGCACTCCTCCAATGCCTTGCACTCCTCCAATGCCTTGCACTCCTCCAATGCCTTGCACTCCTCCAACGCCTTGCACTCCTCCAACGCCTTGCACTCCTCCAACGCCTTGCACTCCTCCAACGCCTTGCACTCCTCCAATGCCTTGCACTCCTCCAATGCCTTGCACTCCTCCAATGCCTTGCACTCCTCCAATGCCTTGCACTCCTCCAATGCCTTGCACTCCTCCAATGCCTTGCACTCCTCCAATGCCTTGCACTCCTCCAATGCCTTGCACTCCTCCAATGCCTTGCACTCCTCCAATGCCTTGCACTCCTCCAATGCCTTGCACTCCTCCAATGCCTTGCACTCCTCCAATGCCTTGCACTCCTCCAATGCCTTGCACTCCTCCAATGCCTTGCACTCCTCCAATGCCTTGCACTCCTCCAATGCCTTGCACTCCTCCAACGCCTTGCACTCCTCCAACGCCTTGCACTCCTCCAACGCCTTGCACTCCTCCAATGCCTTGCACTCCTCCAATGCCTTGCACTCCTCCAATGCCTTGCACTCCTCCAATGCCTTGCACTCCTCCAATGCCTTGCACTCCTCCAATGCCTTGCACTCCTCCAATGCCTTGCACTCCTCCAATGCCTTGCACTCCTCCAATGCCTTGCACTCCTCCAATGCCTTGCACTCCTCCAATGCCTTGCACTCCTCCAATGCCTTGCACTCCTCCAATGCCTTGCACTCCTCCAATGCCTTGCACTCCTCCAATGCCTTGCACTCCTCCAATGCCTTGCACTCCTCCAATGCTTGCACTCCTCCAATGCCTTGCACTCCTCCAATGCCTTGCACTCCTCCAATGCCTTGCACTCCTCCAATGCCTTGCACTCCTCCAATGCCTTGCACTCCTCCAATGCCTTGCACTCCTCCAATGCCTTGCACTCCTCCAATGCCTTGCACTCCTCCAATGCCTTGCACTCCTCCAATGCCTTGCACTCCTCCAATGCCTTGCACTCCTCCAATGCCTTGCACTCCTCCAATGCCTTGCACTCCTCCAATGCCTTGCACTCCTCCAATGCCTTGCACTCCTCCAATGCCTTGCACTCCTCCAATGCCTTGCACTCCTCCAATGCCTTGCACTCCTCCAATGCCTTGCACTCCTCCAATGCCTTGCACTCCTCCAATGCCTTGCACTCCTCCAATGCCTTGCACTCCTCCAATGCCTTGCACTCCTCCAATGCCTTGCACTCCTCCAATGCCTTGCACTCCTCCAATGCCTTGCACTCCTCCAACGCCTTGCACTCCTCCAATGCCTTGCACTCCTCCAATGCCTTGCACTCCTCCAATGCCTTGCACTCCTCCAATGCCTTGCACTCCTCCAATGCCTTGCACTCCTCCAATGCCTTGCACTCCTCCAATGCCTTGCACTCCTCCAATGCCTTGCACTCCTCCAACTGCCTTGCACTCCTCCAATGCCTTGCACTCCTCCAATGCCTTGCACTCCTCCAATGCCTTGCACTCCTCCAATGCCTTGCACTCCTCCAATGCCTTGCACTCCTCCAATGCCTTGCACTCCTCCAATGCCTTGCACTCCTCCAATGCCTTGCACTCCTCCAATGCCTTGCACTCCTCCAATGCCTTGCACTCCTCCAATGCCTTGCACTCCTCCAATGCCTTGCACTCCTCCAATGCCTTGCACTCCTCCAATGCCTTGCACTCCTCCAATGCCTTGCACTCCTCCAATGCCTTGCACTCCTCCAATGCCTTGCACTCCTCCAATGCCTTGCACTCCTCCAATGCCTTGCACTCCTCCAATGCCTTGCACTCCTCCAATGCCTTGCACTCCTCCAATGCCTTGCACTCCTCCAATGCCTTGCACTCCTCCAATGCCTTGCACTCCTCCAATGCCTTGCACTCCTCCAACTGCCTTGCACTCCTCCAATGCCTTGCACTCCTCCAATGCCTTGCACTCCTCCAATGCCTTGCACTCCTCCAATGCCTTGCACTCCTCCAATGCCTTGCACTCCTCCAATGCCTTGCACTCCTCCAATGCCTTGCACTCCTCCAATGCCTTGCACTCCTCCAATGCCTTGCACTCCTCCAATGCCTTGCACTCCTCCAATGCCTTGCACTCCTCCAATGCCTTGCACTCCTCCAATGCCTTGCACTCCTCCAATGCCTTGCACTCCTCCAATGCCTTGCACTCCTCCAATGCCTTGCACTCCTCCAATGCCTTGCACTCCTCCAATGCCTTGCACTCCTCCAATGCCTTGCACTCCTCCAATGCCTTGCACTCCTCCAATGCCTTGCACTCCTCCAATGCCTTGCACTCCTCCAATGCCTTGCACTCCTCCAATGCCTTGCACTCCTCCAACGCCTTGCACTCCTCCAACTGCCTTGCACTCCTCCAATGCCTTGCACTCCTCCAATGCCTTGCACTCCTCCAATGCCTTGCACTCCTCCAATGCCTTGCACTCCTCCAATGCCTTGCACTCCTCCAATGCCTTGCACTCCTCCAATGCCTTGCACTCCTCCAATGCCTTGCACTCCTCCAATGCCTTGCACTCCTCCAATGCCTTGCACTCCTCCAATGCCTTGCACTCCTCCAATGCCTTGCACTCCTCCAATGCCTTGCACTCCTCCAATGCCTTGCACTCCTCCAATGCCTTGCACTCCTCCAATGCCTTGCACTCCTCCAATGCCTTGCACTCCTCCAATGCCTTGCACTCCTCCAATGCCTTGCACTCCTCCAATGCCTTGCACTCCTCCAATGCCTTGCACTCCTCCAATGCCTTGCACTCCTCCAATGCCTTGCACTCCTCCAATGCCTTGCACTCCTCCAATGCCTTGCACTCCTCCAATGCCTTGCACTCCTCCAATGCCTTGCACTCCTCCAATGCCTTGCACTCCTCCAATGCCTTGCACTCCTCCAATGCCTTGCACTCCTCCAATGCCTTGCACTCCTCCAATGCCTTGCACTCCTCCAATGCCTTGCACTCCTCCAATGCCTTGCACTCTCCAATGCCTTGCACTCCTCCAATGCCTTGCACTCCTCCAATGCCTTGCACTCCTCCAATGCCTTGCACTCCTCCAATGCCTTGCACTCCTCCAATGCCTTGCACTCCTCCAATGCCTTGCACTCCTCCAATGCCTTGCACTCCTCCAATGCCTTGCACTCCTCCAATGCCTTGCACTCCTCCAATGCCTTGCACTCCTCCAATGCCTTGCACTCCTCCAATGCCTTGCACTCCTCCAATGCCTTGCACTCCTCCAATGCCTTGCACTCCTCCAATGCCTTGCACTCCTCCAATGCCTTGCACTCCTCCAATGCCTTGCACTCCTCCAATGCCTTGCACTCCTCCAATGCCTTGCACTCCTCCAATGCCTTGCACTCCTCCAATGCCTTGCACTCCTCCAATGCCTTGCACTCCTCCAATGCCTTGCACTCCTCCAATGCCTTGCACTCCTCCAATGCCTTGCACTCCTCCAATGCCTTGCACTCCTCCAATGCCTTGCACTCCTCCAATGCCTTGCACTCCTCCAATGCCTTGCACTCCTCCAATGCCTTGCACTCCTCCAATGCCTTGCACTCCTCCAATGCCTTGCACTCCTCCAATGCCTTGCACTCCTCCAATGCCTTGCACTCCTCCAATGCCTTGCACTCCTCCAATGCCTTGCACTCCTCCAATGCCTTGCACTCCTCCAATGCCTTGCACTCCTCCAATGCCTTGCACTCCTCCAATGCCTTGCACTCCTCCAATGCCTTGCACTCCTCCAATGCCTTGCACTCCTCCAATGCCTTGCACTCCTCCAATGCCTTGCACTCCTCCAATGCCTTGCACTCCTCCAATGCCTTGCACTCCTCCAATGCCTTGCACTCCTCCAATGCCTTGCACTCCTCCAATGCCTTGCACTCCTCCAATGCCTTGCACTCCTCCAATGCCTTGCACTCCTCCAATGCCTTGCACTCCTCCAATGCCTTGCACTCCTCCAATGCCTTGCACTCCTCCAATGCCTTGCACTCCTCCAATGCCTTGCACTCCTCCAATGCCTTGCACTCCTCCAATGCCTTGCACTCCTCCAACGCCTTGCACTCCTCCAACGCCTTGCACTCCTCCAACGCCTTGCACTCCTCCAATGCCTTGCACTCCTCCAATGCCTTGCACTCCTCCAATGCCTTGCACTCCTCCAATGCCTTGCACTCCTCCAACTGCCTTGCACTCCTCCAATGCCTTGCACTCCTCCAATGCCTTGCACTCCTCCAATGCCTTGCACTCCTCCAATGCCTTGCACTCCTCCAATGCCTTGCACTCCTCCAATGCCTTGCACTCCTCCAATGCCTTGCACTCCTCCAATGCCTTGCACTCCTCCAATGCCTTGCACTCCTCCAATGCCTTGCACTCCTCCAATGCCTTGCACTCCTCCAATGCCTTGCACTCCTCCAATGCCTTGCACTCCTCCAATGCCTTGCACTCCTCCAATGCCTTGCACTCCTCCAATGCCTTGCACTCCTCCAATGCCTTGCACTCCTCCAATGCCTTGCACTCCTCCAATGCCTTGCACTCCTCCAATGCCTTGCACTCCTCCAACGCCTTGCACTCCTCCAACGCCTTGCACTCCTCCAACGCCTTGCACTCCTCCAACTGCCTTGCACTCCTCCAATGCCTTGCACTCCTCCAATGCCTTGCACTCCTCCAATGCCTTGCACTCCTCCAATGCCTTGCACTCCTCCAATGCCTTGCACTCCTCCAATGCCTTGCACTCCTCCAATGCCTTGCACTCCTCCAATGCCTTGCACTCCTCCAATGCCTTGCACTCCTCCAATGCCTTGCACTCCTCCAATGCCTTGCACTCCTCCAATGCCTTGCACTCCTCCAATGCCTTGCACTCCTCCAATGCCTTGCACTCCTCCAATGCCTTGCACTCCTCCAATGCCTTGCACTCCTCCAATGCCTTGCACTCCTCCAATGCCTTGCACTCCTCCAATGCCTTGCACTCCCTCCCGCACGTGTGCATTGCAGGATTCACTTTTGAGAATCCTCAAAAGTCGCTCCTTCAATTCGTTGCATTCCCTCCCGCATGTTTGCATTGCAGGAGCAGCTGCAGCAGGTGTTAGAGAGCATGCAGCCCGCCAGCACGCAGGTGGGTGGGAGACAACCACTAGATTGGTGAAATAGGTAAGGAGCATCTGCAGCAGGTGCAGCAGGTGCAGCAGGTGCAGCAATTGCAGCAGGTGCAGCAGGTGTTGGAGAGCAGAGCATGCAGCCCGCCAGCACGCAGGTGGGGGAGAACGTCTGTCTGCCCATCTAGAAGGGTGGTTGAGGGACAACTGCAGCAGTGGGGGGAGGGTGAGAACGTAGACTCAGTCGTGATGTGCACTGCTAGGCCAACCTTTTTTCCTCTTTTGGTCCTTGTGCCAACCTTTTCAACCGCTTTCCATGCTAGCTTTCAATTCAACCCTCTTACCCTTCCACTCGCGCCTCTGCCCGTGTCTCTTCCGCAACCTCCCCATGTCTCTTCCGCAACCTCCCCGTGTCTCTCCCCAACCTCCCCATGTCTCTCCCTAATTGACTGTTGTGCACCAGACTCGCTCACTGCTGCTAGATGCGGCCATACACGCCGAGTTCAAACGACTCAAGGTGAGGCGCACACCCACTCAAATGCCCATGCATATTTGTGTGTGCGTACTGGCTTGCCACGGTCCATGCCTCTCCCTCTGCCCGTCCCCACTGATACTCAAACATACCTACCCATAGTCACCCATACTTACCCACGCATTCTCACCCCTTCAGGCTGAGAGCAAGACCCTGAAGTGGCAAGACGACCTGGCAGTCATGCAGTTCACTTTCCGGCCTCCTTACCCATACCCACCCATTTCCACCCATACCAATCCATATTCGCTCATGTGCACCCATTTAAACCCCTTCGGACAGAGAGTGAGGCTCTAGAGTGGCGAGTGCGAGAGCTGCAGGACGACCTAGCAGCGGTGCAGTTCACCTTCCTACCTCTCCCTCCACCCTTCGTACCCATTCCCACCCATAATCAGAGCAAGAGTGAGGCTCTGGAACGGAGAGTGAGGGGACTGCAGGACGACCTAGCAGCGGTACAGTTTAGCTTCCTTCCTCCCCACCCATACCCACCCATGCACATCCATTCAAACCCATTCAGACCGAGAGTGAGGCTCGGGAGCGGCGAGTGAGGGAGCTGCAGGACGACCTAGCAGCGGTGCAGTTCACCTGTGTGATTCCGTGCCTCTGCCCCTCCCCAACCATACCCACCACTCTAGACCGAAAGTGAGGCTCTAGAACGGCGAGTGCGGGAGCTACAGGACGACCTAGTGGCGGTGCAGTTCACCTTCCTTCCTCTCCCTCCACCCTTCGTACCCATTCCCATCCATACCCACCCATGATCAGACCGAGAGCGAGGCCCTGGAGCGGCGAGTGCGGGAGTTGCAGGACGACCTAGCGGCGGTGCAGTTCACACCGCACAGCAAGAACGGCAAGATGCTCATGGCCAAGTGCCGCACCCTGCAGGAGGAGAATGAGGACATTGGCAGGGAGGCTGCTGAGGGCAAGGTGCGACTGGGGGAGGTGGTATCTGGGGTGCTGTATATGAGATGAGATAGCAGCAAGATGGATGGTCATGCAAGATGCTCATGGCCAAGTGCCGCATCCTGCATGAGCACAGGGAGGCTGCTGAAGGGAATGTGCACCTGGGGCAGGTGGTGTCTGAGGCAGGTGAGGGTCTGGGACAGGTGGGGCCTAGGGAACAGCACTTGGTGATGAGCATCTTGTGCGTTTAGTTTCCCTTATGCCATCTGTCGGCCCGCTTCGGCATTGATCCATCCTGCCCATCAGGTGCATGAGCGGGGGAGAACAAGCTTGCCCTGCAGAGGCTCACTACTGTGGACATGCATCTGCTAATCTATCGATTTTGTTCATTCTTTCTGCTGTGTTCTCGCCCCCTTCCCTTTTGTTCTGTTGTGATCCATGTTTTCTCCCCTCGTGCCCATCAGGTGCATGAGCTGGAGAACAAACTCGCCCTGCAGAAGCAGCTCAACTCCGAGCTCAAGCGCGGCTACCAAGGTAGTGCACTGAGGCACATCACACCCTGCAGTAGTGTAATCAATGTCGTATGAGTGCTATGTTTATTATTAGTCTAAACGTAAGTGCTATGTTTTTACTTCTCTCCTTGCCATTCTTCATTATCCAGTCGTATGAGGGCTGCGTGAATTTCATCTATTTTTTTCCCCTCATTGCCGTGCGTCCCATGAGCCATGGGCAGACAGAGTTACAGGAGTATGTGATGAGATTAACGAGGAGGCAGATAAGCCTCTTCTCGAGGCCCCAAAGATGCACTTTGACCTGCCCATTTTTCCCCCGACTGTCCCACTCCGTTTTCCCTCCTACTGCTCGTCGCCCTGGCAGAACTGCAGGAGTATGTGGATGAGATCAACGAGGAGGCGGAGAAGCTTGTATCTGAGTGCCTCAAAGACACACTTTGACCTGCTCTCTGCCCTCTGTCCCCCCACCGCCCCACTGCCCCACTCGCTCCATGACAGAGCTACAGGAGTATGTGGATGAGATCAACGAGGAGGCAGAGAAGCTTGTTTCTGCAAAAGTGTGTTTCCGTGCCCGCTTCCCTCCCATTGCCGTGCGTCCCATGTGTCATGGGCAGAGCTACAGGAGTATGTTGATGAGATCAACGAGGAGGCAGAGAAGCCTTAAAGACACACTCTGACCAGCCCCCACTGCCCCTCTCCTTGTTCTCTCCAACTGCCCTGCGCCCTGGCAGAGCTACAGGAGTATGTTGATGAGATCAACGAGGAGGCAGAGAAGCCTCTTTCCGAGGCGCCTTAGAGGCACATTCTGACCTGCCCTCTGCCCCCACTTCCCCTCTCCTTTTCTCTCCTACTGCTCCGCCCCCTGGCAGAGCTACAGGAGTATGTGGATGAGATCAACGAGGAGGCAGAGAAGCTCGAGGAGACGGTGTACAAGCTGCAGAGGCAGCTGCAGCTGAGGGACGCAGAGGTGCAGGAGCTCTCACGCTTCAAGGCAGGCGTATTGGAGGCCGAGCGATCCCAGCAGCACTTCCCCCCACCCCACTCCCAGCAGCAGCAGCAGCAGCCGGGACAGGGCATGCAGAGGGGGGGGTCGCTGAAGCGAGAGAGGGAGCGAGAGAGGGACCGGGACAGGCGGCAGGGGCAGCCGCAGGGGCAGGGCATGCAAGGGTCGCAGGAAGGTTCCGAGGCTGAGGATCGGGACGGGCAGGGGTTTGTGCGGGAGGGTCGGGAGAGGCATGGGTTTAGGCGGGAGTTTAGTCGGCAGCTTTCGGGAAGGCAGCACCGGGGGCATGAGGAAGAGGATGAGGAGAGGGGCTCGTATGGGGAGGAGCATCATAGGAGGATGCATCATCATTTCGGTGGGAGGGAGAGACAGAGGGAGGGGTCGATTGGGGGTGGAGGGGAGAGTGGGGCGTATGGAGGGGAGAGGAGCAGAGACGGGAGAAGGCGGGAGGGCAAAAGGAGCTGGAGGGATCGGTCGATGGAGAGGGAGATTGAGGGGGAAGGGAGGGGGCGACGCGCACCTTCTCTCAGTCCGTGAAAGAAATTTAGCCTGATGGCATAGTTTGGGAGTGAATTTATGAAGGAATGGGCTGTGAATTATCTTGTGATTCCCATCTTTTACTGGTATTACAAATTTAGGCTTATCAACACTTACGAGATAGCTCGTTGATCTTAGCAAAAATGCGTCTAATCACATGTTCACTGCTGCGCCAGCCGAACCGCCGGAAGTGTCCTTTAGCTGATGTGGGACTGAGTCATCCACCAGCCGAGCTTGCCTGTCAGAACTTTTTTCTTGGCCCTAAAACCTCTTGACGGTGCTGACAATTCGCCAACGCAGCATCGACATCGTTTATTGGCCGCTCGTCCAACTCGCCGGGCTGGAGAGTGTCCCCTTTCACCAACCAACCTCGATATGGTCGTGTCAAGGCTCCGAGATTCCAGCTACGCGCGCCCAATCACTTCTCAGAAAACACCGCGCAAGCCGTTGCTAGCACCTCTTTGTCCAATCACTAGCCTTTCCTGATCAACAATCTCGATATTCTCTGATTCCTGGTTGGTCTGCTCCTTGGCGCGAGAATATCCCAAGCCCACTTTCGGGTTTCGCGTGTCAGCGGCGCACACTTGACAGAATTTGCCTTTTTTCCGCCCAGCAACAGTTTCCTTGCTTGCCTCTTCCAGTCTCCTCTCCTCCAGCTCCTCCTCTTGACTGATGCAGCTTCACTTGTTTCTTGTAAGCAGGTCTCCCATGTATGGATAGCCTGTGAACTGAGCTCCAGTTTCAAATTCATCTCCTATTTATTTGGAGCTCCAGTTTCATATTCATCTCATCTGCTGTGCAAGCTCCAGGTTAGGTTAAGGGTTAGAGTCCACTGCAAGCCCCTTCTCTCACTTGAGAAGGAGGTCGGGTAGGTTCCTAACCTGCTGCTCACGTTCTATTTTTCGGGCACGGGTTTTCCATGGCCCTCCGTGTCGTAGAGTGTCTATCCCGTGGGTCTATCGCACCGCTTACCGATTACACCAAGGGATTGGGAGTGGCAGTTCACTCGAATTCCGCTATGGTCATGCACATTCCCAATTCAACAATCATCAGCAAGAAGGACGCTTGCGGCTTGCTCTTACAAGAACGGGCTTGCCGATTTTCCGAAATTCGCGAATCCCAACGTCGAAACGCTACAGGTTTGCGTCGGATTGGCGTGAGGGCTTCTAATAACGAGTCTGGCGGAAAGGGCTGGTCTAGCGGGGTGTCTCGAGTGCTAAGCAGCGCGGATAAATGGTGGGAGAAACGGAAGAAGCAGCACAAGGAGCACGCAGATAGCAAACACGGGTACCAGGGTCACCACTCGCAGCACGCCAATCATTCCCACCATCTCCACCACAGATCCTCAAGCGATGAAGAATCCGACGGCGAGCATTCGTCAAGGCATTCGCATCACAGAAACCGACACGGACATTCTGAGGATCAGAGCCACGGCCATGGGCATCGTAGCCATGAGCATGATGAGCATCACCACAGGAAGCACCATCGGCACCATGAGGAGGAGAAATCCGGAATTCACCATCAGCACCAACATCATCACAAGCACCACCACGAGCAAAATCATAAGCACAGCAGCCATCACAGCCACGACGCGTCCCATCCGCATCATCATAAGCCCCACAAGCATCATCAACACCAAGACCATCAGAAGGATCATCATCACGAGCATCACCACGAGCATTACCATGAGCACAAGCATCATAAACGGCATCAGCACGAGGCAGAGAGAGTGGACCATCATCACTGGCATCACCATCACCACCCCCACGGACACCACCACAAGCGGCACAAACACCACCAGCGACAAGCAGACATCAAACTCCCGCAAACCATTGCCGGACTCCCTCCCGGACCGCTCACAGACTTCGCCTTCTGGGTTCGCCGAACCTTCCTGTCCAAGGACGCGTTCGAGCCGCCGCAACCGCCGCCGTACAGCATCAATCTCTCTAAGGACCAAGCGGTGCTGCTTCTTAACGTCCTCGCCTTCGGATACGCCGCCACCGCGGTGACCGTTAAGCTCATGCAGGAGCTCCACGGGGGGGCCGGCGCGGGGGGAGAGGTCGGGGGAGCGCTTGCCGGCGCGGCAGCGGTGACTGCGGCGGGGGTGGCGGTGGGGGAGGCGATCTCGACGCCTGTGGGAGAGGTAGTGAGTGATGTGATTGGAGGAGGGTTTTTCAGCGGACTGCTGGGGGAGGGTATGTTCGAGGGTATGTTTGGTTCAGGTGCCGCTGGTTATCCTCTTTTTGGGAGTCTCGATACGAGTGTGGAGTTTGCGATTCGGTTTCTGTTTGCGACGATTGGGCTGGGCGGGTTTGCGCTGGCGAGACACGTGGCGAGGATGCACCACGAGAGGACACACCAAAAGGAGGCAACCTGGGGCGAGAAGGTGCTCGGAAACTTCCGAAATTCGTGGGATGCGGCGTGGGACCTGTGGGGTAACACGGGATTGAGCAACCCCATGACGGCTTTACTGGGGGAGGCCGCAACTGACGGCGGGGAGAGTGACAGCAGGGGCAGCAGCAACGGCCGGGGAAAAACAGAGTCGGAGGAACAGAAAGGGAAGAAGAAGGGGAAGAAGAACGGGAAGAAGGACGGGGGAAAGGAGGGGCTAGCGGCGGGGGTGTGGGAGTCGATGGTAGGGGGGAGCAAGAAGGAGCAACGGGAGCGGGCGGCGATGGTGGTGGGGGGCGTGGAGCTGGGCGTGTGGATGTTCGTGACGTATGCTGGGCAGGCCATTGGGCTCGAAACCACCTCCGCGGACGACGCTGCTCTCATCCTCACCGTCTCGGTATGAGAATCCCTTCTTACCTAGCTTCCGTGCCCACACGTCCCTCCCCAGCAAGTACGCTGGATTTTCCTCCCACTTGTCCTTCGATGTTCCCCAATTGCTTCGCCGATATCCCTTTTTGATGCCGCCCACTTCGCCTCCCTTCCCGGATGGCCTCACACACACACACACACACACACACACACACACACACACACACACACACACACACACACACCCACTTCTTCCTTTTTCCCAATGAACTCTCACCAACATGACCCAGCATGCTTCAGCTCCTCTGGATTCCGACCCATTGTTCCAGTCCTGCCACATCCCACATTCGCTCGTAGCAGAGTCTACAGCATGGATCTGTAAGAACTCGTGCATAACCAGTGGCATCCTGTGATCGCCATTCACTGCTGCGATGCACTGCAGGTGGTGCTGGTTCCATTCCTGGAGGCCCTCTCAGGCACGCCCATCAACCGCAGCGTGTGGATCGCCACACTCCTCGCATGCACCGGTACACTCTCCCCTCTTTTCACTCTCGTGAAGCTTCTGCCGTCTCCTCCTTTCCTGCCTCCAGCGCCTTTCCTGTGTCTTCTCACTCACTCACGCTTGTGTTGTACTGCTGGGGTGTGTGCTCTGTTCCTTATCCTTAACCCCCCCGCCCCCTTATCCCATTCCACACCCGCACCTTTCCTCCCAATGACCGCCTACATGCACCCACGCCCACGCCCCCACCCGCGCCCACACCCTCTCACCACCACACCCTCGACCACGCCCATGCCCACACCCTCACTCGCTCCCACATCCATACTCACAGGCATGGTGATGCTGGAAGGCGGGGAGACCATCACTGCTGTTGCAGTAGCAGCCACGCCTGCTGACGTCATCGCCAGCTCAGCATCAGCTTCCGCCAATGTCATCGCTGACACGGCAGCAGCAGCGCTGGCGTCGGTGCCGGTGCATTGGAGCCTGCCTGTGGGCCACGTGTGGTGCCTCATTGGCGCTGTGGGTTCTGCCATCCACGTGGTGAGTGTGCCATCCACGTGGTGAGTGTGCCATCCACGTGGTGAGTGTGCCATGCACGTGGTGAGTGTGCCATCCACGTGGTGAGTGTGCCATGCACGTGGTGAGTGTGCCATCCACGTGGTGAGTGTGCCATCCATGTGGTGAGTTTGCCATCCACGTGGTGAGTGTGCCATCCACGTGGTGAGTGTGCCATCCACGTGGTGAGTGTGCCATCCACGTGGTGAGTGTGCCATCCACGTGGTGAGTGTGCCATCCACGTGGTGAGTGTGCCATCCACGTGGTGAGTGTGCCGTCCTTGTCATCCTGAATCTGACATGCATCCTGTGCTCACTTACTCTCCCTCACTCCCTTGCTTCCCTCCCCTTCCCATTAGGTCCGCTCGGAGGTTCTATGCGCGCGCTACGACCCGCTCATCCTTGTAATCCTGCAGCTGGGCACCACGGCAGCTATCGGCGTGGTGTGGGTGCTGCTCACGCTGGCAGGCATCACGCTCACAGCAGGGGGGAGTGCAGTGGCGGGGGCGGACGGCAGTGGGGCAGCAGTAGCATGGAGCCAGCTGCTGGCCGTGGCTGCTGCTGCTCCCATCGGCATGGCGCTGCTGGCTGGGCCGTTCGGAACAGGTAAGAGAGGGGATGGGTGTGGCTGGCGGGTTGGTTCTTGCGTGTGCTACTGGGACGAGCTGGTGGAATGTTCGGCATTTTAAGCTCTTTGACTGTGCATTTGTGCACACCATGCATATGCCATCCAGTCCAGCCCCTCTACAGGAGCAGCACGTGTCATTCTCCATGCCCTTCCACCCCCCTCCCCATCCCCAACCCTCCCCTGCCCTTCCTGCCCTTCTCTTTCCCTGCCTTCATTTCTCCTGCTCCTCGTCCCTGTCTGGCCCACCCTCTGTCACCACCACCTGCAGGGATGTGTGAGTGGCTTGAATTAGAAGCACTGCGGTTCGTGCGAGCATCCACAGCCACGCTCATTCTCACCATGAGCCCCCTCTGGGGCAGCCTCCTGGCCTTCTTTCTGCTAGGAGAAACACTTAGCACGTCCACTGCTGCGGGCGCCATTCTTATTCTACTTGCCAGCCTAGAGGTGCAGCTCTTAGCACCACATGCGGATGGGGAGGACGAGGAGGGCGAGGGGTATGAACAGTATGTGGAGGAAGGGAGGGGTGGATGGTTAGGGTTTGGCAAAAAATGGTGAGAGGTGTTGGAGAATGTGGAGTTGATATGTGGGCTCTGTATGTGGTTATGTGAGTTTGATTTGTCATTCCATGGAGATTGTGGTGTTACATAGATAGGTATCAACGTGTGCTGTGCACTACGTGCCAGAACAATAGGAGCCCTTTCTGGACACGGACCACCATGTTTAGGGTGAGTGTGTCCATGTACATCTACAGTTCATGCTTAGTGGCTCAAGACGGTCTCACACAACGGAAAATGATTTGCTGAGGCATACCGTTTTATACTGCGATGTATCGAATTCGACCGCAGAAAACACACAGGGAACGTACTGAATTAGACCGCAACGTAATGAATTAGACATAACCACAACCTTATTCTGAAGTTTCATGATGGAAACGTACGGTATATGGAACAGAGATCGGCTGTTATAGCCGCCCCACTCGTAGACTCTACAATCGAGGATGGAGTAAACACCCAGCGCGGGTCGATCATTTTCACGGTGGGATAGGACAGCGCTATCAAAGAGTTTTCCTTCTCTACCGCTTTCGACCATTACGCACCAAACAGAACCCTTCGCTTTAAAGACCCGCTCTCATTTGACCGCGTTCCGGCTAGCACAGCTTCAGCAGTTGTGGCCACACCATCCACTCGTCGGAGAACATGGCGGTGGCTTGAAATTCTCAGACTGCCAAGCTGGACAGAATGTGTCTGGCACGACAACATCACACACATGCTTCCGTGCCGTGGTTGGTGGCGGTGGCGTAGCTGTCACATGATCGAATCGTGGCGGATAAGCTATGTCAATTGTGCCCAGAATTGAGCAGATCCGGAACAGTTGGTCCCAGATTCCTCCAGACTTTTGCACCAACAAATGCCGTGAGAAGACGACAAAGCTGGGCAGAAATGGTGCTGCCAGTCTCCCAATCTGGTGAAGTGGCAGACCCTTGGCGAAAGTCCCGCGGCAAATCAACGCCCAGGATTAGACCATAAAGTATACAGCACTACAGAACAGCATCATGTAGGCTAGGGAACTGTTCCCCATCAGAACCCGCCGCAATGTGACAAGTGTCCCCAGACGGATCGCAATTTCGCAAACTAGCATTTCGCTGGCGGCTGGCCTGTTGAAAAATCCCTACCCAAATCCCCCTCCTTGCCCAACCCAACCAACTCTCCCTCCATGCCCCTCCTATGCCTCTAGCTGCTCCGCCTCGTCCCCCGCCATCCCTCCCCCTAGCTCTATCTGTTCCAGAAACCGAAGCATAAAGCATCTCCCTTTTTTTTTCAGACCAGCTCCTCCATTCACGCCTCAGTATTGACAGATTCCGTTCCCAACGTCCCCCCTCGCAAACCCCCGACGCTAACGCGCACTGAACGCAGCAAATCATTTAGCGCTGCTTGGCCTCAAACCGTCGCAGTTCAGAATGACGACGACCGGCGGAACTAGATTCCTCCCTCTGGCCTTGCTCCTCCTCGCGCTCTCGAGTCAATTAACAGCGCACGCTAGAGTCCAACCCGCGCCGAAGGAGACCCTGGCGGAGAAAGCCGCGCGGTTGCGCGCAGCAGCGGACAAGGCAGCGTCCGCTTTGGACGCCGCGCAGTCCGCCGTGGCCGCGCGGCTTGAGGCGGAGCAGGCGGCGGCCGCGGAGGTCGATGCAGCGCAATTGGCGGCGCAAGACGCGGCCGTGGCGTGGAGCACGGCGAAGAAGACATCGGACGCGAAGAAAATCTCCGCCGCTAATTCAAGAAAGAGCGCGAATGCCGCAAAGGCGAGCCTCGCCCCGATGAAGAAGAGGATTGATTCATATAATTCCGCGCAAAACAATGTCAAGACTGCGGAGAAAAACCTCGCGGACGCGACGACGAAGCGACAGAACGCGGAGGCCGCCGCCGCCGCGCAGCAGAACGTCGCGACCAGCGCTTCCGCCTCCGCCACGGGCTTGAGCGCGCGGAGCCCCGCGGCGCAGAGGGCGGCGAAAGAGCAGAAGAAAGCTGCGGAACTTCAAAAGAACGTTCAATCCGCGTCGAAGGAGGAGAGCAAGGCGTCTGCTGCGCTGACTAAGGCGCAAAGCACCCTTGCCAGCGCCACGCTGACTCCGAAGGAGAAGGCGACGCTCGACGCGGCAAACGCGGCGGACGCTGCGGCGTCGCAGGCGGAAGCCGACGCGAGGGCGGCGGATGCGGAGACAAAAGCGGCGGAGCAGGGCGTGAAGACGGCCGCGGAGAAGGTCACCCGCGCAAAGAACAAGCGCGCCAAGGCGCAATCTCTCCGCGTAACCGCGGAAAAGGTGGCGGAGAAGGCTTCCGCGGAGGCACAGGCAGCGGAGGAACTGGCGTTGGCGGCGGAGCAAGAGTGGGAGGCTTCGCAGACGCCCGCGCAGGGATCAGACCCCGCGCCTGGTTCGGACCCCGCGCCCGGTTCGGACCCTTCTCCCCCTGGCGACGGTGGCGACGGCGACGGTTGCGGCGGTGGCGGCGGTCCCCACGGGGGGGATGATGATGGTGACGAGGACGAGCACGAGGGGGACCACGGGCACGGACATGGCGGACCGGGGGATAACGGCGGGAACGGATGGGGCAACGACGGGCGCGGGGATAAGGGCCAAGGGCAGAACGGGCACGGGAACGGGTATGGGAAGGGTGGGAGGTACGGAAAGGACTCTCTTGGGCTGCAATCCGTGCAACCTGGGCAGGCGGCAGCGGGTGTAACGCCCTCCCTTAGCGCGGCCGTCCAGGCGACTCAGCAGCCGCAGGCCGCGGGGAGCCACTCCCTACTGAGCTGGCTGTTCGGTTGATGTGATGATGGTCCGTGGGCACAATGGTGCTTAGGGCGTGGTCAGGTCATACATTACGGTTCATGCTTCGTGGCTCAGGAGGTTTCACGTGGTGGAAAGCGGTTCTCCATTTTGCACCGTGGCAGAGTGATTTAGGCTGCCGATAATATAGTGGATGTGCGACCTGATCACGCCCTTGTACGGGCAATGCTAGATTGCATATGCTGTTGGTGATTCTCTCGTGCTTATAGAGTGCTCCCCTTGTGTTACTCGGAGAATGTTTTTTCTTGTGTCAACTCAACATCTACCGTACATTTGGAACACCATTTGGATGAAGAGGGTCTCAGAGAGCGGACTAGTCTAGCTGTATGGTGCAGCAGCCCACCCAAACTGCCCAGGGTTCCATCACCACAAGCTGGAACCTAAACTTGGCGGCAATTGGCATTAAACAGTGAGTGAGTGTAAGGAAAATTCCTTCTCCTTACTTCGCGTCCCTGCCTACCGCGTACATGACCAGTGAAACGTTACCCGCCAGCGACACTCGTCTCGACCCCGACTCCCGCCACTGTTCACGATGCGACCCAACCTCACGGTTCGGTTGGTAACCCGCGCTCCGGACCTCCGCCTCGACATTTCCCAACCTCGGCACTAGGCCCGTAGCGCACCCCATTTCTCGCGTTACCGTTACCACTCTAGCTTCGCTATATATTCTTCGCTCATGCCTTCGCTGAATGTATTGTTTTGATTAGATAGTGCAATTCTCGCTCGCTCGCTCAATTGCACTCATAACACTGAGCGAGCTTGCCATGGGTCTAAGCTATTGGGGAGGCACGCTCAGCTCATAGTCGGGGTTGTAACGGTACACCTTCTTTAGCATGTAGGTGTAACGGAAAGTTCTGTCGGCCAAACCAGAGTGCAGAATTGTCGAAATTCTCAATCGAGGAACTCACCTGAGAGACCTCATACCTGACCTGGGCGAAACTGTATCTTTGTCGGTTCTTCCACCCACTGCGGGTCGCTCTATTGAGCTGCAGCTGACGTGGCCATGTGAATGTGCAGGTTCGACAAATAGTGTACCCAGGGGCTGCTTGACAGAAAGGACAATTTGGCCCCATGGGCTCGGAATTCGGGCCAGAAAAGCCACCTGGTGTCAATCACACTAAAACGGTTTTCGCCCAGCTCGCTGACTGTTTCATTAGCAATTCTGTTCAATGTTACCAGATTTCGTTCAGTCGCCGAGGCTTCTCACTAATATTTTGGGCGAAACGCATTCACAGAAGTTCTTTCTCGTCCCCCTCCAGTCCCCGTCTCCAGCTCAACCTTCCTCACCCCGGATTCGACCTATTCGAAGTCCAACTTCTTGGCCCACCCCGCCTCCCCCGCTCGTGCTTCCCCCGCCAACCTATTTCCTTTCTACCTTTTGGTTCAGGCATCATTGCAACGTGTTGCTTTTGTTTCCGAGAGAGCATTTCACTCGGCGCAGCGACCCAAGCGCATTATCCAAGTACGTACTTAAACCACCCCTCCTAGAAACCACAGCTGGCCCGACATGGGAACTTTACGAGTCCGACTCGTCACCACCTTCCTTCTAATTACCCTTCTAAGCATCGACTCGGCAGAAGCGTACGGTCGCTACAGAGCTCGTAAAGCCGAGACGCCCCTACAGAAAGCCGTGCGGCTTCGCGCGATCGCCGACCAGAAGGCGGCGCAGCTCGACGCGGCGGAGCAAATCGCGTCGCTGCTGCAGCAGCAGGAGGCCGACGCGCAGGAGAATATCGACGCGGCGAAGACCGATGCGCAGGCGATGGCGGCATCGTGGGCGCAGGCGCGAACCGCGCTCGACAGCGCCAGGGCGGTCGCGGTGAGCGCGCGCAAGGCGGCTATAGCCGCGCGGAAGACTGCGCCTGCGGCGTCGAAGAAACGGTACGAGGGGTACTCCAAGGCGCAGGCGGCTGTAGCGGAGGCGGAGCGGAAATACAACGAGGCGAAGCAGAAGCGCGAGCAGGCGGACGCCGCGTATGCCGCCCAGCAAGATATTTTGAATCAGCTACAGCCGTCAAGCTACGGTATGCAGGCGGGATATGCGCAGGCTTATGGCGGCTCGCCGTCGTATGCTAAGGAGCAGAAGAAGGCGAAAGAACTGAAGAAGAAAGCCGACGAAGCGGCGAAGGAGGAATCGAAAGCGGCGGCGAAATTGGCGGCGGCAAGGGCGGCGGCGGCGGCGCCGAGCGCGACGCCGACGCCGGACGAGCAAGCGCAATTCGAGTCAATTCAGGCGTCGGAGGCGCTGGTGGTGCAGGCCGAGGCGCAGGTGAAAACAGCAGAGCTGGAGTTCAAGGCGGCGAGTCAGAGCATGAAAAGAGCCGCGGCGCAGGTGAGCGCGGCGAAAGAGCAGCTCAAGGCGGTAACCAAGAAGCGCGAAGCCGCGGATAAGCGCGTAGAGCGGCTGGCGGCGGAGGCGCAGAAGGCGGACGAAGACGCAATGGCGGCGGAGCAGGAGGCGGGGATAAGCGCGCCCGGGTCGGAGGAATCGCCGGGGGACGACGATAATGAGGATGACGATAACGAGGATGAGAACGAGGATGGGGATTCGGAGGACGGTGAGCATGCGGGGGCGAACGAGTGGACAGGGCAGAACTCCGCAGGTGCCACTGCGTCGCCGAACAGGGTGGGCCAGCCGTTGATGGTGCGGGATGTGCCCGTGCAAACAGCGAGTCTGCCTGTAACGAGTACTGCTGCCGCCCAGATGCCACAAGCAGGACCGGAGCCCACGCGACCCACGGCGCCAAGCTACATGTTCTAGAGAGAGGGCGTGGGGGAAGGAAGGGGAGAGGGATTCAAAGGGTCAGGGGATACAGGAGTGAGGACGAGTGACATGAGATGAGGGCTGTGGGGGGGTGCTTTGAGGGCACCACGGCAGGGGTGCTTTGAGGGCACCACGGCAGGGGTGCTTTGAGGGCACCACGGCAGGGGTGCTTTGAGGGCACCACGGCAGGGGTGCTTTGAGGGCACCACGGCAGGGGTGCTTTGAGGGCACCACGGCAGGGGTGCTTTGAGGGCACCACGGCAGGGGTGCTTTGAGGGCACCACGGCAGGGGTGCTTTGAGGGCACCACGGCAGGGGTGCTTTGAGGGCACCACGGCAGGGGTGCTTTGAGGGCACCACGGCAGGGGTGCTTTGAGGGCACCACGGCAGGGGTGCTTTGAGGGCACCACGGCAGGGGTGCTTTGAGGGCACCACGGCAGGGGTGCTTTGAGGGCACCACGGCAGGGGTGCTTTGAGGGCACCACGGCAGGGGTGCTTTGAGGGCACCACGGCAGGGGTGCTTTGAGGGCACCACGGCAGGGGTGCTTTGAGGGCACCACGGCAGGGGTGCTTTGAGGGCACCACGGCAGGGGTGCTTTGAGGGCACCACGGCAGGGGTGCTTTGAGGGCACCACGGCAGGGGTGCTTTGAGGGCACCACGGCAGGGGTGCTTTGAGGGCACCACGGCAGGGGTGCTTTGAGGGCACCACGGCAGGGGTGCTTTGAGGGCACCACGGCAGGGGTGCTTTGAGGGCACCACGGCAGGGGTGCTTTGAGGGCACCACGGCAGGGGTGCTTTGAGGGCACCACGGCAGGGGTGCTTTGAGGGCACCACGGCAGGGGTGCTTTGAGGGCACCACGGCAGGGGTGCTTTGAGGGCACCACGGCAGGGGTGCTTTGAGGGCACCACGGCAGGGGTGCTTTGAGGGCACCACGGCAGGGGTGCTTTGAGGGCACCACGGCAGGGGTGCTTTGAGGGCACCACGGCAGGGGTGCTTTGAGGGCACCACGGCAGGGGTGCTTTGAGGGCACCACGGCAGGGGTGCTTTGAGGGCACCACGGCAGGGGTGCTTTGAGGGCACCACGGCAGGGGTGCTTTGAGGGCACCACGGCAGGGGTGCTTTGAGGGCACCACGGCAGGGGTGCTTTGAGGGCACCACGGCAGGGGTGCTTTGAGGGCACCACGGCAGGGGTGCTTTGAGGGCACCACGGCAGGGGTGCTTTGAGGGCACCACGGCAGGGGTGCTTTGAGGGCACCACGGCAGGGGTGCTTTGAGGGCACCACGGCAGGGGTGCTTTGAGGGCACCACGGCAGGGGTGCTTTGAGGGCACCACGGCAGGGGTGCTTTGAGGGCACCACGGCAGGGGTGCTTTGAGGGCACCACGGCAGGGGTGCTTTGAGGGCACCACGGCAGGGGTGCTTTGAGGGCACCACGGCAGGGGTGCTTTGAGGGCACCACGGCAGGGGTGCTTTGAGGGCACCACGGCAGGGGTGCTTTGAGGGCACCACGGCAGGGGTGCTTTGAGGGCACCACGGCAGGGGTGCTTTGAGGGCACCACGGCAGGGGTGCTTTGAGGGCACCACGGCAGGGGTGCTTTGAGGGCACCACGGCAGGGGTGCTTTGAGGGCACCACGGCAGGGGTGCTTTGAGGGCACCACGGCAGGGGTGCTTTGAGGGCACCACGGCAGGGGTGCTTTGAGGGCACCACGGCAGGGGTGCTTTGAGGGCACCACGGCAGGGGTGCTTTGAGGGCACCACGGCAGGGGTGCTTTGAGGGCACCACGGCAGGGGTGCTTTGAGGGCACCACGGCAGGGGTGCTTTGAGGGCACCACGGCAGGGGTGCTTTGAGGGCACCACGGCAGGGGTGCTTTGAGGGCACCACGGCAGGGGTGCTTTGAGGGCACCACGGCAGGGGTGCTTTGAGGGCACCACGGCAGGGGTGCTTTGAGGGCACCACGGCAGGGGTGCTTTGAGGGCACCACGGCAGGGGTGCTTTGAGGGCACCACGGCAGGGGTGCTTTGAGGGCACCACGGCAGGGGTGCTTTGAGGGCACCACGGCAGGGGTGCTTTGAGGGCACCACGGCAGGGGTGCTTTGAGGGCACCACGGCAGGGGTGCTTTGAGGGCACCACGGCAGGGGTGCTTTGAGGGCACCACGGCAGGGGTGCTTTGAGGGCACCACGGCAGGGGTGCTTTGAGGGCACCACGGCAGGGGTGCTTTGAGGGCACCACGGCAGGGGTGCTTTGAGGGCACCACGGCAGGGGTGCTTTGAGGGCACCACGGCAGGGGTGCTTTGAGGGCACCACGGCAGGGGTGCTTTGAGGGCACCACGGCAGGGGTGCTTTGAGGGCACCACGGCAGGGGTGCTTTGAGGGCACCACGGCAGGGGTGCTTTGAGGGCACCACGGCAGGGGTGCTTTGAGGGCACCACGGCAGGGGTGCTTTGAGGGCACCACGGCAGGGGTGCTTTGAGGGCACCACGGCAGGGGTGCTTTGAGGGCACCACGGCAGGGGTGCTTTGAGGGCACCACGGCAGGGGTGCTTTGAGGGCACCACGGCAGGGGTGCTTTGAGGGCACCACGGCAGGGGTGCTTTGAGGGCACCACGGCAGGGGTGCTTTGAGGGCACCACGGCAGGGGTGCTTTGAGGGGCACCACGGCAGGGGTGCTTTGAGGGCACCACGGCAGGGGTGCTTTGAGGGCACCACGGCAGGGGTGCTTTGAGGGCACCACGGCAGGGGTGCTTTGAGGGCACCACGGCAGGGGTGCTTTGAGGGCACCACGGCAGGGGTGCTTTGAGGGCACCACGGCAGGGGTGCTTTGAGGGCACCACGGCAGGGGTGCTTTGAGGGCACCACGGCAGGGGTGCTTTGAGGGCACCACGGCAGGGGTGCTTTGAGGGCACCACGGCAGGGGTGCTTTGAGGGCACCACGGCAGGGGTGCTTTGAGGGCACCACGGCAGGGGTGCTTTGAGGGCACCACGGCAGGGGTGCTTTGAGGGCACCACGGCAGGGGTGCTTTGAGGGCACCACGGCAGGGGTGCTTTGAGGGCACCACGGCAGGGGTGCTTTGAGGGCACCACGGCAGGGGTGCTTTGAGGGCACCACGGCAGGGGTGCTTTGAGGGCACCACGGCAGGGGTGCTTTGAGGGCACCACGGCAGGGGTGCTTTGAGGGCACCACGGCAGGGGTGCTTTGAGGGCACCACGGCAGGGGTGCTTTGAGGGCACCACGGCAGGGGTGCTTTGAGGGCACCACGGCAGGGGTGCTTTGAGGGCACCACGGCAGGGGTGCTTTGAGGGCACCACGGCAGGGGTGCTTTGAGGGCACCACGGCAGGGGTGCTTTGAGGGCACCACGGCAGGGGTGCTTTGAGGGCACCACGGCAGGGGTGCTTTGAGGGCACCACGGCAGGGGTGCTTTGAGGGCACCACGGCAGGGGTGCTTTGAGGGCACCACGGCAGGGGTGCTTTGAGGGCACCACGGCAGGGGTGCTTTGAGGGCACCACGGCAGGGGTGCTTTGAGGGCACCACGGCAGGGGTGCTTTGAGGGCACCACGGCAGGGGTGCTTTGAGGGCACCACGGCAGGGGTGCTTTGAGGGCACCACGGCAGGGGTGCTTTGAGGGCACCACGGCAGGGGTGCTTTGAGGGCACCACGGCAGGGGTGCTTTGAGGGCACCACGGCAGGGGTGCTTTGAGGGCACCACGGCAGGGGTGCTTTGAGGGCACCACGGCAGGGGTGCTTTGAGGGCACCACGGCAGGGGTGCTTTGAGGGCACCACGGCAGGGGTGCTTTGAGGGCACCACGGCAGGGGTGCTTTGAGGGCACCACGGCAGGGGTGCTTTGAGGGCACCACGGCAGGGGTGCTTTGAGGGCACCACGGCAGGGGTGCTTTGAGGGCACCACGGCAGGGGTGCTTTGAGGGCACCACGGCAGGGGTGCTTTGAGGGCACCACGGCAGGGGTGCTTTGAGGGCACCACGGCAGGGGTGCTTTGAGGGCACCACGGCAGGGGTGCTTTGAGGGCACCACGGCAGGGGTGCTTTGAGGGCACCACGGCAGGGGTGCTTTGAGGGCACCACGGCAGGGGTGCTTTGAGGGCACCACGGCAGGGGTGCTTTGAGGGCACCACGGCAGGGGTGCTTTGAGGGCACCACGGCAGGGGTGCTTTGAGGGCACCACGGCAGGGGTGCTTTGAGGGCACCACGGCAGGGGTGCTTTGAGGGCACCACGGCAGGGGTGCTTTGAGGGCACCACGGCAGGGGTGCTTTGAGGGCACCACGGCAGGGGTGCTTTGAGGGCACCACGGCAGGGGTGCTTTGAGGGCACCACGGCAGGGGTGCTTTGAGGGCACCACGGCAGGGGTGCTTTGAGGGCACCACGGCAGGGGTGCTTTGAGGGCACCACGGCAGGGGTGCTTTGAGGGCACCACGGCAGGGGTGCTTTGAGGGCACCACGGCAGGGGTGCTTTGAGGGCACCACGGCAGGGGTGCTTTGAGGGCACCACGGCAGGGGTGCTTTGAGGGCACCACGGCAGGGGTGCTTTGAGGGCACCACGGCAGGGGTGCTTTGAGGGCACCACGGCAGGGGTGCTTTGAGGGCACCACGGCAGGGGTGCTTTGAGGGCACCACGGCAGGGGTGCTTTGAGGGCACCACGGCAGGGGTGCTTTGAGGGCACCACGGCAGGGGTGCTTTGAGGGCACCACGGCAGGGGTGCTTTGAGGGCACCACGGCAGGGGTGCTTTGAGGGCACCACGGCAGGGGTGCTTTGAGGGCACCACGGCAGGGGTGCTTTGAGGGCACCACGGCAGGGGTGCTTTGAGGGCACCACGGCAGGGGTGCTTTGAGGGCACCACGGCAGGGGTGCTTTGAGGGCACCACGGCAGGGGTGCTTTGAGGGCACCACGGCAGGGGTGCTTTGAGGGCACCACGGCAGGGGTGCTTTGAGGGCACCACGGCAGGGGTGCTTTGAGGGCACCACGGCAGGGGTGCTTTGAGGGCACCACGGCAGGGGTGCTTTGAGGGCACCACGGCAGGGGTGCTTTGAGGGCACCACGGCAGGGGTGCTTTGAGGGCACCACGGCAGGGGTGCTTTGAGGGCACCACGGCAGGGGTGCTTTGAGGGCACCACGGCAGGGGTGCTTTGAGGGCACCACGGCAGGGGTGCTTTGAGGGCACCACGGCAGGGGTGCTTTGAGGGCACCACGGCAGGGGTGCTTTGAGGGCACCACGGCAGGGGTGCTTTGAGGGCACCACGGCAGGGGTGCTTTGAGGGCACCACGGCAGGGGTGCTTTGAGGGCACCACGGCAGGGGTGCTTTGAGGGCACCACGGCAGGGGTGCTTTGAGGGCACCACGGCAGGGGTGCTTTGAGGGCACCACGGCAGGGGTGCTTTGAGGGCACCACGGCAGGGGTGCTTTGAGGGCACCACGGCAGGGGTGCTTTGAGGGCACCACGGCAGGGGTGCTTTGAGGGCACCACGGCAGGGGTGCTTTGAGGGCACCACGGCAGGGGTGCTTTGAGGGCACCACGGCAGGGGTGCTTTGAGGGCACCACGGCAGGGGTGCTTTGAGGGCACCACGGCAGGGGTGCTTTGAGGGCACCACGGCAGGGGTGCTTTGAGGGCACCACGGCAGGGGTGCTTTGAGGGCACCACGGCAGGGGTGCTTTGAGGGCACCACGGCAGGGGTGCTTTGAGGGCACCACGGCAGGGGTGCTTTGAGGGCACCACGGCAGGGGTGCTTTGAGGGCACCACGGCAGGGGTGCTTTGAGGGCACCACGGCAGGGGTGCTTTGAGGGCACCACGGCAGGGGTGCTTTGAGGGCACCACGGCAGGGGTGCTTTGAGGGCACCACGGCAGGGGTGCTTTGAGGGCACCACGGCAGGGGTGCTTTGAGGGCACCACGGCAGGGGTGCTTTGAGGGCACCACGGCAGGGGTGCTTTGAGGGCACCACGGCAGGGGTGCTTTGAGGGCACCACGGCAGGGGTGCTTTGAGGGCACCACGGCAGGGGTGCTTTGAGGGCACCACGGCAGGGGTGCTTTGAGGGCACCACGGCAGGGGTGCTTTGAGGGCACCACGGCAGGGGTGCTTTGAGGGCACCACGGCAGGGGTGCTTTGAGGGCACCACGGCAGGGGTGCTTTGAGGGCACCACGGCAGGGGTGCTTTGAGGGCACCACGGCAGGGGTGCTTTGAGGGCACCACGGCAGGGGTGCTTTGAGGGCACCACGGCAGGGGTGCTTTGAGGGCACCACGGCAGGGGTGCTTTGAGGGCACCACGGCAGGGGTGCTTTGAGGGCACCACGGCAGGGGTGCTTTGAGGGCACCACGGCAGGGGTGCTTTGAGGGCACCACGGCAGGGGTGCTTTGAGGGCACCACGGCAGGGGTGCTTTGAGGGCACCACGGCAGGGGTGCTTTGAGGGCACCACGGCAGGGGTGCTTTGAGGGCACCACGGCAGGGGTGCTTTGAGGGCACCACGGCAGGGGTGCTTTGAGGGCACCACGGCAGGGGTGCTTTGAGGGCACCACGGCAGGGGTGCTTTGAGGGCACCACGGCAGGGGTGCTTTGAGGGCACCACGGCAGGGGTGCTTTGAGGGCACCACGGCAGGGGTGCTTTGAGGGCACCACGGCAGGGGTGCTTTGAGGGCACCACGGCAGGGGTGCTTTGAGGGCACCACGGCAGGGGTGCTTTGAGGGCACCACGGCAGGGGTGCTTTGAGGGCACCACGGCAGGGGTGCTTTGAGGGCACCACGGCAGGGGTGCTTTGAGGGCACCACGGCAGGGGTGCTTTGAGGGCACCACGGCAGGGGTGCTTTGAGGGCACCACGGCAGGGGTGCTTTGAGGGCACCACGGCAGGGGTGCTTTGAGGGCACCACGGCAGGGGTGCTTTGAGGGCACCACGGCAGGGGTGCTTTGAGGGCACCACGGCAGGGGTGCTTTGAGGGCACCACGGCAGGGGTGCTTTGAGGGCACCACGGCAGGGGTGCTTTGAGGGCACCACGGCAGGGGTGCTTTGAGGGCACCACGGCAGGGGTGCTTTGAGGGCACCACGGCAGGGGTGCTTTGAGGGCACCACGGCAGGGGTGCTTTGAGGGCACCACGGCAGGGGTGCTTTGAGGGCACCACGGCAGGGGTGCTTTGAGGGCACCACGGCAGGGGTGCTTTGAGGGCACCACGGCAGGGGTGCTTTGAGGGCACCACGGCAGGGGTGCTTTGAGGGCACCACGGCAGGGGTGCTTTGAGGGCACCACGGCAGGGGTGCTTTGAGGGCACCACGGCAGGGGTGCTTTGAGGGCACCACGGCAGGGGTGCTTTGAGGGCACCACGGCAGGGGTGCTTTGAGGGCACCACGGCAGGGGTGCTTTGAGGGCACCACGGCAGGGGTGCTTTGAGGGCACCACGGCAGGGGTGCTTTGAGGGCACCACGGCAGGGGTGCTTTGAGGGCACCACGGCAGGGGTGCTTTGAGGGCACCACGGCAGGGGTGCTTTGAGGGCACCACGGCAGGGGTGCTTTGAGGGCACCACGGCAGGGGTGCTTTGAGGGCACCACGGCAGGGGTGCTTTGAGGGCACCACGGCAGGGGTGCTTTGAGGGCACCACGGCAGGGGTGCTTTGAGGGCACCACGGCAGGGGTGCTTTGAGGGCACCACGGCAGGGGTGCTTTGAGGGCACCACGGCAGGGGTGCTTTGAGGGCACCACGGCAGGGGTGCTTTGAGGGCACCACGGCAGGGGTGCTTTGAGGGCACCACGGCAGGGGTGCTTTGAGGGCACCACGGCAGGGGTGCTTTGAGGGCACCACGGCAGGGGTGCTTTGAGGGCACCACGGCAGGGGTGCTTTGAGGGCACCACGGCAGGGGTGCTTTGAGGGCACCACGGCAGGGGTGCTTTGAGGGCACCACGGCAGGGGTGCTTTGAGGGCACCACGGCAGGGGTGCTTTGAGGGCACCACGGCAGGGGTGCTTTGAGGGCACCACGGCAGGGGTGCTTTGAGGGCACCACGGCAGGGGTGCTTTGAGGGCACCACGGCAGGGGTGCTTTGAGGGCACCACGGCAGGGGTGCTTTGAGGGCACCACGGCAGGGGTGCTTTGAGGGCACCACGGCAGGGGTGCTTTGAGGGCACCACGGCAGGGGTGCTTTGAGGGCACCACGGCAGGGGTGCTTTGAGGGCACCACGGCAGGGGTGCTTTGAGGGCACCACGGCAGGGGTGCTTTGAGGGCACCACGGCAGGGGTGCTTTGAGGGCACCACGGCAGGGGTGCTTTGAGGGCACCACGGCAGGGGTGCTTTGAGGGCACCACGGCAGGGGTGCTTTGAGGGCACCACGGCAGGGGTGCTTTGAGGGCACCACGGCAGGGGTGCTTTGAGGGCACCACGGCAGGGGTGCTTTGAGGGCACCACGGCAGGGGTGCTTTGAGGGCACCACGGCAGGGGTGCTTTGAGGGCACCACGGCAGGGGTGCTTTGAGGGCACCACGGCAGGGGTGCTTTGAGGGCACCACGGCAGGGGTGCTTTGAGGGCACCACGGCAGGGGTGCTTTGAGGGCACCACGGCAGGGGTGCTTTGAGGGCACCACGGCAGGGGTGCTTTGAGGGCACCACGGCAGGGGTGCTTTGAGGGCACCACGGCAGGGGTGCTTTGAGGGCACCACGGCAGGGGTGCTTTGAGGGCACCACGGCAGGGGTGCTTTGAGGGCACCACGGCAGGGGTGCTTTGAGGGCACCACGGCAGGGGTGCTTTGAGGGCACCACGGCAGGGGTGCTTTGAGGGCACCACGGCAGGGGTGCTTTGAGGGCACCACGGCAGGGGTGCTTTGAGGGCACCACGGCAGGGGTGCTTTGAGGGCACCACGGCAGGGGTGCTTTGAGGGCACCACGGCAGGGGTGCTTTGAGGGCACCACGGCAGGGGTGCTTTGAGGGCACCACGGCAGGGGTGCTTTGAGGGCACCACGGCAGGGGTGCTTTGAGGGCACCACGGCAGGGGTGCTTTGAGGGCACCACGGCAGGGGTGCTTTGAGGGCACCACGGCAGGGGTGCTTTGAGGGCACCACGGCAGGGGTGCTTTGAGGGCACCACGGCAGGGGTGCTTTGAGGGCACCACGGCAGGGGTGCTTTGAGGGCACCACGGCAGGGGTGCTTTGAGGGCACCACGGCAGGGGTGCTTTGAGGGCACCACGGCAGGGGTGCTTTGAGGGCACCACGGCAGGGGTGCTTTGAGGGCACCACGGCAGGGGTGCTTTGAGGGCACCACGGCAGGGGTGCTTTGAGGGCACCACGGCAGGGGTGCTTTGAGGGCACCACGGCAGGGGTGCTTTGAGGGCACCACGGCAGGGGTGCTTTGAGGGCACCACGGCAGGGGTGCTTTGAGGGCACCACGGCAGGGGTGCTTTGAGGGCACCACGGCAGGGGTGCTTTGAGGGCACCACGGCAGGGGTGCTTTGAGGGCACCACGGCAGGGGTGCTTTGAGGGCACCACGGCAGGGGTGCTTTGAGGGCACCACGGCAGGGGTGCTTTGAGGGCACCACGGCAGGGGTGCTTTGAGGGCACCACGGCAGGGGTGCTTTGAGGGCACCACGGCAGGGGTGCTTTGAGGGCACCACGGCAGGGGTGCTTTGAGGGCACCACGGCAGGGGTGCTTTGAGGGCACCACGGCAGGGGTGCTTTGAGGGCACCACGGCAGGGGTGCTTTGAGGGCACCACGGCAGGGGTGCTTTGAGGGCACCACGGCAGGGGTGCTTTGAGGGCACCACGGCAGGGGTGCTTTGAGGGCACCACGGCAGGGGTGCTTTGAGGGCACCACGGCAGGGGTGCTTTGAGGGCACCACGGCAGGGGTGCTTTGAGGGCACCACGGCAGGGGTGCTTTGAGGGCACCACGGCAGGGGTGCTTTGAGGGCACCACGGCAGGGGTGCTTTGAGGGCACCACGGCAGGGGTGCTTTGAGGGCACCACGGCAGGGGTGCTTTGAGGGCACCACGGCAGGGGTGCTTTGAGGGCACCACGGCAGGGGTGCTTTGAGGGCACCACGGCAGGGGTGCTTTGAGGGCACCACGGCAGGGGTGCTTTGAGGGCACCACGGCAGGGGTGCTTTGAGGGCACCACGGCAGGGGTGCTTTGAGGGCACCACGGCAGGGGTGCTTTGAGGGCACCACGGCAGGGGTGCTTTGAGGGCACCACGGCAGGGGTGCTTTGAGGGCACCACGGCAGGGGTGCTTTGAGGGCACCACGGCAGGGGTGCTTTGAGGGCACCACGGCAGGGGTGCTTTGAGGGCACCACGGCAGGGGTGCTTTGAGGGCACCACGGCAGGGGTGCTTTGAGGGCACCACGGCAGGGGTGCTTTGAGGGCACCACGGCAGGGGTGCTTTGAGGGCACCACGGCAGGGGTGCTTTGAGGGCACCACGGCAGGGGTGCTTTGAGGGCACCACGGCAGGGGTGCTTTGAGGGCACCACGGCAGGGGTGCTTTGAGGGCACCACGGCAGGGGTGCTTTGAGGGCACCACGGCAGGGGTGCTTTGAGGGCACCACGGCAGGGGTGCTTTGAGGGCACCACGGCAGGGGTGCTTTGAGGGCACCACGGCAGGGGTGCTTTGAGGGCACCACGGCAGGGGTGCTTTGAGGGCACCACGGCAGGGGTGCTTTGAGGGCACCACGGCAGGGGTGCTTTGAGGGCACCACGGCAGGGGTGCTTTGAGGGCACCACGGCAGGGGTGCTTTGAGGGCACCACGGCAGGGGTGCTTTGAGGGCACCACGGCAGGGGTGCTTTGAGGGCACCACGGCAGGGGTGCTTTGAGGGCACCACGGCAGGGGTGCTTTGAGGGCACCACGGCAGGGGTGCTTTGAGGGCACCACGGCAGGGGTGCTTTGAGGGCACCACGGCAGGGGTGCTTTGAGGGCACCACGGCAGGGGTGCTTTGAGGGCACCACGGCAGGGGTGCTTTGAGGGCACCACGGCAGGGGTGCTTTGAGGGCACCACGGCAGGGGTGCTTTGAGGGCACCACGGCAGGGGTGCTTTGAGGGCACCACGGCAGGGGTGCTTTGAGGGCACCACGGCAGGGGTGCTTTGAGGGCACCACGGCAGGGGTGCTTTGAGGGCACCACGGCAGGGGTGCTTTGAGGGCACCACGGCAGGGGTGCTTTGAGGGCACCACGGCAGGGGTGCTTTGAGGGCACCACGGCAGGGGTGCTTTGAGGGCACCACGGCAGGGGTGCTTTGAGGGCACCACGGCAGGGGTGCTTTGAGGGCACCACGGCAGGGGTGCTTTGAGGGCACCACGGCAGGGGTGCTTTGAGGGCACCACGGCAGGGGTGCTTTGAGGGCACCACGGCAGGGGTGCTTTGAGGGCACCACGGCAGGGGTGCTTTGAGGGCACCACGGCAGGGGTGCTTTGAGGGCACCACGGCAGGGGTGCTTTGAGGGCACCACGGCAGGGGTGCTTTGAGGGCACCACGGCAGGGGTGCTTTGAGGGCACCACGGCAGGGGTGCTTTGAGGGCACCACGGCAGGGGTGCTTTGAGGGCACCACGGCAGGGGTGCTTTGAGGGCACCACGGCAGGGGTGCTTTGAGGGCACCACGGCAGGGGTGCTTTGAGGGCACCACGGCAGGGGTGCTTTGAGGGCACCACGGCAGGGGTGCTTTGAGGGCACCACGGCAGGGGTGCTTTGAGGGCACCACGGCAGGGGTGCTTTGAGGGCACCACGGCAGGGGTGCTTTGAGGGCACCACGGCAGGGGTGCTTTGAGGGCACCACGGCAGGGGTGCTTTGAGGGCACCACGGCAGGGGTGCTTTGAGGGCACCACGGCAGGGGTGCTTTGAGGGCACCACGGCAGGGGTGCTTTGAGGGCACCACGGCAGGGGTGCTTTGAGGGCACCACGGCAGGGGTGCTTTGAGGGCACCACGGCAGGGGTGCTTTGAGGGCACCACGGCAGGGGTGCTTTGAGGGCACCACGGCAGGGGTGCTTTGAGGGCACCACGGCAGGGGTGCTTTGAGGGCACCACGGCAGGGGTGCTTTGAGGGCACCACGGCAGGGGTGCTTTGAGGGCACCACGGCAGGGGTGCTTTGAGGGCACCACGGCAGGGGTGCTTTGAGGGCACCACGGCAGGGGTGCTTTGAGGGCACCACGGCAGGGGTGCTTTGAGGGCACCACGGCAGGGGTGCTTTGAGGGCACCACGGCAGGGGTGCTTTGAGGGCACCACGGCAGGGGTGCTTTGAGGGCACCACGGCAGGGGTGCTTTGAGGGCACCACGGCAGGGGTGCTTTGAGGGCACCACGGCAGGGGTGCTTTGAGGGCACCACGGCAGGGGTGCTTTGAGGGCACCACGGCAGGGGTGCTTTGAGGGCACCACGGCAGGGGTGCTTTGAGGGCACCACGGCAGGGGTGCTTTGAGGGCACCACGGCAGGGGTGCTTTGAGGGCACCACGGCAGGGGTGCTTTGAGGGCACCACGGCAGGGGTGCTTTGAGGGCACCACGGCAGGGGTGCTTTGAGGGCACCACGGCAGGGGTGCTTTGAGGGCACCACGGCAGGGGTGCTTTGAGGGCACCACGGCAGGGGTGCTTTGAGGGCACCACGGCAGGGGTGCTTTGAGGGCACCACGGCAGGGGTGCTTTGAGGGCACCACGGCAGGGGTGCTTTGAGGGCACCACGGCAGGGGTGCTTTGAGGGCACCACGGCAGGGGTGCTTTGAGGGCACCACGGCAGGGGTGCTTTGAGGGCACCACGGCAGGGGTGCTTTGAGGGCACCACGGCAGGGGTGCTTTGAGGGCACCACGGCAGGGGTGCTTTGAGGGCACCACGGCAGGGGTGCTTTGAGGGCACCACGGCAGGGGTGCTTTGAGGGCACCACGGCAGGGGTGCTTTGAGGGCACCACGGCAGGGGTGCTTTGAGGGCACCACGGCAGGGGTGCTTTGAGGGCACCACGGCAGGGGGGGGTGCTTTGAGGGCACCACGGCAGGGGTGCTTTGAGGGCACCACGGCAGGGGTGCTTTGAGGGCACCACGGCAGGGGTGCTTTGAGGGCACCACGGCAGGGGTGCTTTGAGGGCACCACGGCAGGGGTGCTTTGAGGGCACCACGGCAGGGGTGCTTTGAGGGCACCACGGCAGGGGTGCTTTGAGGGCACCACGGCAGGGGTGCTTTGAGGGCACCACGGCAGGGGTGCTTTGAGGGCACCACGGCAGGGGTGCTTTGAGGGCACCACGGCAGGGGTGCTTTGAGGGCACCACGGCAGGGGTGCTTTGAGGGCACCACGGCAGGGGTGCTTTGAGGGCACCACGGCAGGGGTGCTTTGAGGGCACCACGGCAGGGGTGCTTTGAGGGCACCACGGCAGGGGTGCTTTGAGGGCACCACGGCAGGGGTGCTTTGAGGGCACCACGGCAGGGGTGCTTTGAGGGCACCACGGCAGGGGTGCTTTGAGGGCACCACGGCAGGGGTGCTTTGAGGGCACCACGGCAGGGGTGCTTTGAGGGCACCACGGCAGGGGTGCTTTGAGGGCACCACGGCAGGGGTGCTTTGAGGGCACCACGGCAGGGGTGCTTTGAGGGCACCACGGCAGGGGTGCTTTGAGGGCACCACGGCAGGGGTGCTTTGAGGGCACCACGGCAGGGGTGCTTTGAGGGCACCACGGCAGGGGTGCTTTGAGGGCACCACGGCAGGGGTGCTTTGAGGGCACCACGGCAGGGGTGCTTTGAGGGCACCACGGCAGGGGTGCTTTGAGGGCACCACGGCAGGGGTGCTTTGAGGGCACCACGGCAGGGGTGCTTTGAGGGCACCACGGCAGGGGTGCTTTGAGGGCACCACGGCAGGGGTGCTTTGAGGGCACCACGGCAGGGGTGCTTTGAGGGCACCACGGCAGGGGTGCTTTGAGGGCACCACGGCAGGGGTGCTTTGAGGGCACCACGGCAGGGGTGCTTTGAGGGCACCACGGCAGGGGTGCTTTGAGGGCACCACGGCAGGGGTGCTTTGAGGGCACCACGGCAGGGGTGCTTTGAGGGCACCACGGCAGGGGTGCTTTGAGGGCACCACGGCAGGGGTGCTTTGAGGGCACCACGGCAGGGGTGCTTTGAGGGCACCACGGCAGGGGTGCTTTGAGGGCACCACGGCAGGGGTGCTTTGAGGGCACCACGGCAGGGGTGCTTTGAGGGCACCACGGCAGGGGTGCTTTGAGGGCACCACGGCAGGGGTGCTTTGAGGGCACCACGGCAGGGGTGCTTTGAGGGCACCACGGCAGGGGTGCTTTGAGGGCACCACGGCAGGGGTGCTTTGAGGGCACCACGGCAGGGGTGCTTTGAGGGCACCACGGCAGGGGTGCTTTGAGGGCACCACGGCAGGGGTGCTTTGAGGGCACCACGGCAGGGGTGCTTTGAGGGCACCACGGCAGGGGTGCTTTGAGGGCACCACGGCAGGGGTGCTTTGAGGGCACCACGGCAGGGGTGCTTTGAGGGCACCACGGCAGGGGTGCTTTGAGGGCACCACGGGGCTTAGGCATGGGTGCTTTGAGGGCACCACGGCAGGGGTGCTTTGAGGGCACCACGGCAGGGGTGCTTTGAGGGCACCACGGCAGGGGTGCTTTGAGGGCACCACGGCAGGGGTGCTTTGAGGGCACCACGGCAGGGGTGCTTTGAGGGCACCACGGCAGGGGTGCTTTGAGGGCACCACGGCAGGGGTGCTTTGAGGGCACCACGGCAGGGGTGCTTTGAGGGCACCACGGCAGGGGTGCTTTGAGGGCACCACGGCAGGGGTGCTTTGAGGGCACCACGGCAGGGGTGCTTTGAGGGCACCACGGCAGGGGTGCTTTGAGGGCACCACGGCAGGGGTGCTTTGAGGGCACCACGGCAGGGGTGCTTTGAGGGCACCACGGCAGGGGTGCTTTGAGGGCACCACGGCAGGGGTGCTTTGAGGGCACCACGGCAGGGGTGCTTTGAGGGCACCACGGCAGGGGTGCTTTGAGGGCACCACGGCAGGGGTGCTTTGAGGGCACCACGGCAGGGGTGCTTTGAGGGCACCACGGCAGGGGTGCTTTGAGGGCACCACGGCAGGGGTGCTTTGAGGGCACCACGGCAGGGGTGCTTTGAGGGCACCACGGCAGGGGTGCTTTGAGGGCACCACGGCAGGGGTGCTTTGAGGGCACCACGGCAGGGGTGCTTTGAGGGCACCACGGCAGGGGTGCTTTGAGGGCACCACGGCAGGGGTGCTTTGAGGGCACCACGGCAGGGGTGCTTTGAGGGCACCACGGCAGGGGTGCTTTGAGGGCACCACGGCAGGGGTGCTTTGAGGGCACCACGGCAGGGGTGCTTTGAGGGCACCACGGCAGGGGTGCTTTGAGGGCACCACGGGGTGCTTTGAGGGCACCACGGCAGGGGTGCTTTGAGGGCACCACGGCAGGGGTGCTTTGAGGGCACCACGGCAGGGGTGCTTTGAGGGCACCACGGCAGGGGTGCTTTGAGGGCACCACGGCAGGGGTGCTTTGAGGGCACCACGGCAGGGGTGCTTTGAGGGCACCACGGCAGGGGTGCTTTGAGGGCACCACGGCAGGGGTGCTTTGAGGGCACCACGGCAGGGGTGCTTTGAGGGCACCACGGCAGGGGTGCTTTGAGGGCACCACGGCAGGGGTGCTTTGAGGGCACCACGGCAGGGGTGCTTTGAGGGCACCACGGCAGGGGTGCTTTGAGGGCACCACGGCAGGGGTGCTTTGAGGGCACCACGGCAGGGGTGCTTTGAGGGCACCACGGCAGGGGTGCTTTGAGGGCACCACGGCAGGGGTGCTTTGAGGGCACCACGGCAGGGGTGCTTTGAGGGCACCACGGCAGGGGTGCTTTGAGGGCACCACGGCAGGGGTGCTTTGAGGGCACCACGGCAGGGGTGCTTTGAGGGCACCACGGCAGGGGTGCTTTGAGGGCACCACGGCAGGGGTGCTTTGAGGGCACCACGGCAGGGGTGCTTTGAGGGCACCACGGCAGGGGTGCTTTGAGGGCACCACGGCAGGGGTGCTTTGAGGGCACCACGGCAGGGGTGCTTTGAGGGCACCACGGCAGGGGTGCTTTGAGGGCACCACGGCAGGGGTGCTTTGAGGGCACCACGGCAGGGGTGCTTTGAGGGCACCACGGCAGGGGTGCTTTGAGGGCACCACGGCAGGGGTGCTTTGAGGGCACCACGGCAGGGGTGCTTTGAGGGCACCACGGCAGGGGTGCTTTGAGGGCACCACGGCAGGGGTGCTTTGAGGGCACCACGGCAGGGGTGCTTTGAGGGCACCACGGCAGGGGTGCTTTGAGGGCACCACGGCAGGGGTGCTTTGAGGGCACCACGGCAGGGGTGCTTTGAGGGCACCACGGCAGGGGTGCTTTGAGGGCACCACGGCAGGGGTGCTTTGAGGGCACCACGGCAGGGGTGCTTTGAGGGCACCACGGCAGGGGTGCTTTGAGGGCACCACGGCAGGGGTGCTTTGAGGGCACCACGGCAGGGGTGCTTTGAGGGCACCACGGCAGGGGTGCTTTGAGGGCACCACGGCAGGGGTGCTTTGAGGGCACCACGGCAGGGGTGCTTTGAGGGCACCACGGCAGGGGTGCTTTGAGGGCACCACGGCAGGGGTGCTTTGAGGGCACCACGGCAGGGGTGCTTTGAGGGCACCACGGCAGGGGTGCTTTGAGGGCACCACGGCAGGGGTGCTTTGAGGGCACCACGGCAGGGGTGCTTTGAGGGCACCACGGCAGGGGTGCTTTGAGGGCACCACGGCAGGGGTGCTTTGAGGGCACCACGGCAGGGGTGCTTTGAGGGCACCACGGCAGGGGTGCTTTGAGGGCACCACGGCAGGGGTGCTTTGAGGGCACCACGGCAGGGGTGCTTTGAGGGCACCACGGCAGGGGTGCTTTGAGGGCACCACGGCAGGGGTGCTTTGAGGGCACCACGGCAGGGGTGCTTTGAGGGCACCACGGCAGGGGTGCTTTGAGGGCACCACGGCAGGGGTGCTTTGAGGGCACCACGGCAGGGGTGCTTTGAGGGCACCACGGCAGGGGTGCTTTGAGGGCACCACGGCAGGGGTGCTTTGAGGGCACCACGGCAGGGGTGCTTTGAGGGCACCACGGCAGGGGTGCTTTGAGGGCACCACGGCAGGGGTGCTTTGAGGGCACCACGGCAGGGGTGCTTTGAGGGCACCACGGCAGGGGTGCTTTGAGGGCACCACGGCAGGGGTGCTTTGAGGGCACCACGGCAGGGGTGCTTTGAGGGCACCACGGCAGGGGTGCTTTGAGGGCACCACGGCAGGGGTGCTTTGAGGGCACCACGGCAGGGGTGCTTTGAGGGCACCACGGCAGGGGTGCTTTGAGGGCACCACGGCAGGGGTGCTTTGAGGGCACCACGGCAGGGGTGCTTTGAGGGCACCACGGCAGGGGTGCTTTGAGGGCACCACGGCAGGGGTGCTTTGAGGGCACCACGGCAGGGGTGCTTTGAGGGCACCACGGCAGGGGTGCTTTGAGGGCACCACGGCAGGGGTGCTTTGAGGGCACCACGGCAGGGGTGCTTTGAGGGCACCACGGCAGGGGTGCTTTGAGGGCACCACGGCAGGGGTGCTTTGAGGGCACCACGGCAGGGGTGCTTTGAGGGCACCACGGCAGGGGTGCTTTGAGGGCACCACGGCAGGGGTGCTTTGAGGGCACCACGGCAGGGGTGCTTTGAGGGCACCACGGCAGGGGTGCTTTGAGGGCACCACGGCAGGGGTGCTTTGAGGGCACCACGGCAGGGGTGCTTTGAGGGCACCACGGCAGGGGTGCTTTGAGGGCACCACGGCAGGGGTGCTTTGAGGGCACCACGGCAGGGGTGCTTTGAGGGCACCACGGCAGGGGTGCTTTGAGGGCACCACGGCAGGGGTGCTTTGAGGGCACCACGGCAGGGGTGCTTTGAGGGCACCACGGCAGGGGTGCTTTGAGGGCACCACGGCAGGGGTGCTTTGAGGGCACCACGGCAGGGGTGCTTTGAGGGCACCACGGCAGGGGTGCTTTGAGGGCACCACGGCAGGGGTGCTTTGAGGGCACCACGGCAGGGGTGCTTTGAGGGCACCACGGCAGGGGTGCTTTGAGGGCACCACGGCAGGGGTGCTTTGAGGGCACCACGGCAGGGGTGCTTTGAGGGCACCACGGCAGGGGTGCTTTGAGGGCACCACGGCAGGGGTGCTTTGAGGGCACCACGGCAGGGGTGCTTTGAGGGCACCACGGCAGGGGTGCTTTGAGGGCACCACGGCAGGGGTGCTTTGAGGGCACCACGGCAGGGGTGCTTTGAGGGCACCACGGCAGGGGTGCTTTGAGGGCACCACGGCAGGGGTGCTTTGAGGGCACCACGGCAGGGGTGCTTTGAGGGCACCACGGCAGGGGTGCTTTGAGGGCACCACGGCAGGGGTGCTTTGAGGGCACCACGGCAGGGGTGCTTTGAGGGCACCACGGCAGGGGTGCTTTGAGGGCACCACGGCAGGGGTGCTTTGAGGGCACCACGGCAGGGGTGCTTTGAGGGCACCACGGCAGGGGTGCTTTGAGGGCACCACGGCAGGGGTGCTTTGAGGGCACCACGGCAGGGGTGCTTTGAGGGCACCACGGCAGGGGTGCTTTGAGGGCACCACGGCAGGGGTGCTTTGAGGGCACCACGGCAGGGGTGCTTTGAGGGCACCACGGCAGGGGTGCTTTGAGGGCACCACGGCAGGGGTGCTTTGAGGGCACCACGGCAGGGGTGCTTTGAGGGCACCACGGCAGGGGTGCTTTGAGGGCACCACGGCAGGGGTGCTTTGAGGGCACCACGGCAGGGGTGCTTTGAGGGCACCACGGCAGGGGTGCTTTGAGGGCACCACGGCAGGGGTGCTTTGAGGGCACCACGGCAGGGGTGCTTTGAGGGCACCACGGCAGGGGTGCTTTGAGGGCACCACGGCAGGGGTGCTTTGAGGGCACCACGGCAGGGGTGCTTTGAGGGCACCACGGCAGGGGTGCTTTGAGGGCACCACGGCAGGGGTGCTTTGAGGGCACCACGGCAGGGGTGCTTTGAGGGCACCACGGCAGGGGTGCTTTGAGGGCACCACGGCAGGGGTGCTTTGAGGGCACCACGGCAGGGGTGCTTTGAGGGCACCACGGCAGGGGTGCTTTGAGGGCACCACGGCAGGGGTGCTTTGAGGGCACCACGGCAGGGGTGCTTTGAGGGCACCACGGCAGGGGTGCTTTGAGGGCACCACGGCAGGGGTGCTTTGAGGGCACCACGGCAGGGGTGCTTTGAGGGCACCACGGCAGGGGTGCTTTGAGGGCACCACGGCAGGGGTGCTTTGAGGGCACCACGGCAGGGGTGCTTTGAGGGCACCACGGCAGGGGTGCTTTGAGGGCACCACGGCAGGGGTGCTTTGAGGGCACCACGGCAGGGGTGCTTTGAGGGCACCACGGCAGGGGTGCTTTGAGGGCACCACGGCAGGGGTGCTTTGAGGGCACCACGGCAGGGGTGCTTTGAGGGCACCACGGCAGGGGTGCTTTGAGGGCACCACGGCAGGGGTGCTTTGAGGGCACCACGGCAGGGGTGCTTTGAGGGCACCACGGCAGGGGTGCTTTGAGGGCACCACGGCAGGGGTGCTTTGAGGGCACCACGGCAGGGGTGCTTTGAGGGCACCACGGCAGGGGTGCTTTGAGGGCACCACGGCAGGGGTGCTTTGAGGGCACCACGGCAGGGGTGCTTTGAGGGCACCACGGCAGGGGTGCTTTGAGGGCACCACGGCAGGGGTGCTTTGAGGGCACCACGGCAGGGGTGCTTTGAGGGCACCACGGCAGGGGTGCTTTGAGGGCACCACGGCAGGGGTGCTTTGAGGGCACCACGGCAGGGGTGCTTTGAGGGCACCACGGCAGGGGTGCTTTGAGGGCACCACGGCAGGGGTGCTTTGAGGGCACCACGGCAGGGGTGCTTTGAGGGCACCACGGCAGGGGTGCTTTGAGGGCACCACGGCAGGGGTGCTTTGAGGGCACCACGGCAGGGGTGCTTTGAGGGCACCACGGCAGGGGTGCTTTGAGGGCACCACGGCAGGGGTGCTTTGAGGGCACCACGGCAGGGGTGCTTTGAGGGCACCACGGCAGGGGTGCTTTGAGGGCACCACGGCAGGGGTGCTTTGAGGGCACCACGGCAGGGGTGCTTTGAGGGCACCACGGCAGGGGTGCTTTGAGGGCACCACGGCAGGGGTGCTTTGAGGGCACCACGGCAGGGGTGCTTTGAGGGCACCACGGCAGGGGTGCTTTGAGGGCACCACGGCAGGGGTGCTTTGAGGGCACCACGGCAGGGGTGCTTTGAGGGCACCACGGCAGGGGTGCTTTGAGGGCACCACGGCAGGGGTGCTTTGAGGGCACCACGGCAGGGGTGCTTTGAGGGCACCACGGCAGGGGTGCTTTGAGGGCACCACGGCAGGGGTGCTTTGAGGGCACCACGGCAGGGGTGCTTTGAGGGCACCACGGCAGGGGTGCTTTGAGGGCACCACGGCAGGGGTGCTTTGAGGGCACCACGGCAGGGGTGCTTTGAGGGCACCACGGCAGGGGTGCTTTGAGGGCACCACGGCAGGGGTGCTTTGAGGGCACCACGGCAGGGGTGCTTTGAGGGCACCACGGCAGGGGTGCTTTGAGGGCACCACGGCAGGGGTGCTTTGAGGGCACCACGGCAGGGGTGCTTTGAGGGCACCACGGCAGGGGTGCTTTGAGGGCACCACGGCAGGGGTGCTTTGAGGGCACCACGGCAGGGGTGCTTTGAGGGCACCACGGCAGGGGTGCTTTGAGGGCACCACGGCAGGGGTGCTTTGAGGGCACCACGGCAGGGGTGCTTTGAGGGCACCACGGCAGGGGTGCTTTGAGGGCACCACGGCAGGGGTGCTTTGAGGGCACCACGGCAGGGGTGCTTTGAGGGCACCACGGCAGGGGTGCTTTGAGGGCACCACGGCAGGGGTGCTTTGAGGGCACCACGGCAGGGGTGCTTTGAGGGCACCACGGCAGGGGTGCTTTGAGGGCACCACGGCAGGGGTGCTTTGAGGGCACCACGGCAGGGGTGCTTTGAGGGCACCACGGCAGGGGTGCTTTGAGGGCACCACGGCAGGGGTGCTTTGAGGGCACCACGGCAGGGGTGCTTTGAGGGCACCACGGCAGGGGTGCTTTGAGGGCACCACGGCAGGGGTGCTTTGAGGGCACCACGGCAGGGGTGCTTTGAGGGCACCACGGCAGGGGTGCTTTGAGGGCACCACGGCAGGGGTGCTTTGAGGGCACCACGGCAGGGGTGCTTTGAGGGCACCACGGCAGGGGTGCTTTGAGGGCACCACGGCAGGGGTGCTTTGAGGGCACCACGGCAGGGGTGCTTTGAGGGCACCACGGCAGGGGTGCTTTGAGGGCACCACGGCAGGGGTGCTTTGAGGGCACCACGGCAGGGGTGCTTTGAGGGCACCACGGCAGGGGTGCTTTGAGGGCACCACGGCAGGGGTGCTTTGAGGGCACCACGGCAGGGGTGCTTTGAGGGCACCACGGCAGGGGTGCTTTGAGGGCACCACGGCAGGGGTGCTTTGAGGGCACCACGGCAGGGGTGCTTTGAGGGCACCACGGCAGGGGTGCTTTGAGGGCACCACGGCAGGGGTGCTTTGAGGGCACCACGGCAGGGGTGCTTTGAGGGCACCACGGCAGGGGTGCTTTGAGGGCACCACGGCAGGGGTGCTTTGAGGGCACCACGGCAGGGGTGCTTTGAGGGCACCACGGCAGGGGTGCTTTGAGGGCACCACGGCAGGGGTGCTTTGAGGGCACCACGGCAGGGGTGCTTTGAGGGCACCACGGCAGGGGTGCTTTGAGGGCACCACGGCAGGGGTGCTTTGAGGGCACCACGGCAGGGGTGCTTTGAGGGCACCACGGCAGGGGTGCTTTGAGGGCACCACGGCAGGGGTGCTTTGAGGGCACCACGGCAGGGGTGCTTTGAGGGCACCACGGCAGGGGTGCTTTGAGGGCACCACGGCAGGGGTGCTTTGAGGGCACCACGGCAGGGGTGCTTTGAGGGCACCACGGCAGGGGTGCTTTGAGGGCACCACGGCAGGGGTGCTTTGAGGGCACCACGGCCGGGGTGCTTTGAGGGCACCACGGCCGGGGTGCTTTGAGGGCACCACGGCAGGGGTGCTTTGAGGGCACCACGGCAGGGGTGCTTTGAGGGCACCACGGCAGGGGTGCTTTGAGGGCACCACGGCAGGGGTGCTTTGAGGGCACCACGGCAGGGGTGCTTTGAGGGCACCACGGCAGGGGTGCTTTGAGGGCACCACGGCAGGGGTGCTTTGAGGGCACCACGGCAGGGGTGCTTTGAGGGCACCACGGCAGGGGTGCTTTGAGGGCACCACGGCAGGGGTGCTTTGAGGGCACCACGGCAGGGGTGCTTTGAGGGCACCACGGCAGGGGTGCTTTGAGGGCACCACGGCAGGGGTGCTTTGAGGGCACCACGGCAGGGGTGCTTTGAGGGCACCACGGCAGGGGTGCTTTGAGGGCACCACGGCAGGGGTGCTTTGAGGGCACCACGGCAGGGGTGCTTTGAGGGCACCACGGCAGGGGTGCTTTGAGGGCACCACGGCAGGGGTGCTTTGAGGGCACCACGGCAGGGGTGCTTTGAGGGCACCACGGCAGGGGTGCTTTGAGGGCACCACGGCAGGGGTGCTTTGAGGGCACCACGGCAGGGGTGCTTTGAGGGCACCACGGCAGGGGTGCTTTGAGGGCACCACGGCAGGGGTGCTTTGAGGGCACCACGGCAGGGGTGCTTTGAGGGCACCACGGCAGGGGTGCTTTGAGGGCACCACGGCAGGGGTGCTTTGAGGGCACCACGGCAGGGGTGCTTTGAGGGCACCACGGCAGGGGTGCTTTGAGGGCACCACGGCAGGGGTGCTTTGAGGGCACCACGGCAGGGGCAAGATGTTCTATCCAGTTTCCCGACGTGAGACAGGACCACCAGACTTGTATTATTATGTTTTTTTGGTTTGGTTGTTTTTTTTTAGAAGCTGCATTGGCTGCATGGTGCATGCACACTGCAAGTACATACAATACAATCCACGTCTTGTTTATTATCTTGATTTTCTTCTATTATTGGAATAGTTGTTGCACCCGCCACCTAGCCCACAGTACCTCCTCACTCAATCCTGCTGCTGCTCGTAAATCTGGATATACGCTTCAGAAAGAGCCACCATTTGGGGCAGCGTCTCTGTGACATGTAGATCTTGCATCTCGTACCTGTAATACACAAAGGTAAGTTAGAAGAAAGACACGAGGGATGGGAAGGCACGTGGAGAAGCTGGGTGATCTGATCTGCGTCTCAGGTTATGTCCAATCTCATCGTCCCATTTGTGGAGGCCTCTCCCAGCGCATTCAGAAGAAGAGCCCGCCACGCTAGTGCACCCACTCACTCGCCATGCCTTCCATCATATCGTCTGCACAAACACATGGTAGCTGCCCAACCACCACCCCCCAAACCCCAACCCCCAGTTGACTATTGAGTCGACTCAAAAGACATCCACTCACTCGCCGTGCCTTCTATCGAATCGTCTGCACAAACGCATGGTAGCTTCCCCAACCACCACCCCCCAAACCCCACCTCCTCCTCCGTGCACTCTCTCCCTGCTTGTCCCTGCTTGTGCACCACAAGGGATTCGCTTCGATTCCACCACACACACACACAAAGACACACAAAGCCACTCACCAAACACGCACGCACAGAGCCCGCTCCCCCCCCCCAGACACGCAGACAAACCCTACTCACCATGCTTCTTCCGCCTTGCGCTGCACGAACGCGCGATAGGAGCCCTCCCCGGGCTTGCCATCATGCACAACGTTGGCTATCAGGTCGCGCATGGATGTTCAACACAGCTCGTTAAGAAAGACACACCCCTCACTCACCATGCCTCTTCTGCCTTGCGCTGCACAAACGCGCAGTACGACCCCTCGCCCGGCTTGCCATCATGCACCACGTTGGCAATCAATGAGGCCGTACATGGCTCGTTCTATGTGGCTTGTTCAACAAGACACCCACTCACCATGCTTCTTCCGCCTTGCGCTGCACGAATGCACGGTACGACCCCTCGCCCGGCTTGCCGTCATGCACCACGTTGGCAATCAATGAGGCCGTACATGGCTCGTTCTATGTGGCTTGTTCAACAAGACACCCACTCACCATGCTTCTTCCGCCTTGCGCTGCACGAATGCACGGTACGACCCCTCGCCCGGCTTGCCGTCATGCACCACGTTGGCAATCAATGAGGCCGTACATGGCTCGTTCTATGTGGCTTGTTCAACAAGACACCCACTCACCATGCTTCTTCCGCCTTGCGCTGCACGAATGCACGGTACGACCCCTCGCCCGGCTTGCCGTCATGCACCACGTTGGCAATCAATGAGGCCGTACATGGCTCGTTCTATGTGGCTTGTTCAACAAGACACCCACTCACCATGCTTCTTCCGCCTTGCGCTGCACGAATGCACGGTACGACCCCTCGCCCGGCTTGCCGTCATGCACCACGTTGGCAATCAATGAGGCCGTACATGGCTCGTTCTATGTGGCTTGTTCAACAAGACACCCACTCACCATGCTTCTTCCGCCTTGCGCTGCACGAATGCACGGTACGACCCCTCGCCCGGCTTGCCGTCATGCACCACGTTGGCAATCAATGAGGCCGTACATGGCTCGTTCTATGTGGCTTGTTCAACAAGACACCCACTCACCATGCTTCTTCCGCCTTGCGCTGCACGAATGCACGGTACGACCCCTCGCCCGGCTTGCCGTCATGCACCACGTTGGCAATCAATGAGGCCGTACATGGCTCGTTCTATGTGACTTGTTCAACAAGACACCCACTCACCATGCTTCTTCCGCCTTGCGCTGCACGAATGCACGGTACGACCCCTCGCCCGGCTTGCCGTCATGCACCACGTTGGCAATCAATGAGGCCGTACATGGCTCGTTCTATGTGGCTTGTTCAACAAGACACCCACTCACCATGCTTCTTCCGCCTTGCGCTGCACGAATGCACGGTACGACCCCTCGCCCGGCTTGCCGTCATGCACCACGTTGGCAATAAGATCATACTTGCTGCGAAGCTTCCCCCCGCCTTCCAACCCCTCCAGCGGCAGATAGTCCTTCAGCTCTAGGTTCTTCACCGGGAAGTTCACTGAGCAAGGGGGGAGGAGGAGGAGAGTGGAGGGAGGAAAAAGGGTATGTGAACACAAGGGAGCCGTTGGATGCCACCTCGTGCAGAGGCAGCAACTCGAGGTTCTTCACCGGGAAGTTCACTGGGAAGCGGGGAGGGAGGGAAGGGAGGGTAAGAGTGGGAGAATCGAGCTGCCACCCCCCTTGAGGCAGATACTCCTTCAACTCGAGGTTCTTCACCGGGAAGTTCACTGCGGGAGGAAGGAAGGAAGAACGGGGGCGGGGGAATGAGTACAAATGAGAAGGGGCATGAGTACGAACGGATGAGTTTCAGCATCATATGCCACCTCCTGCAGTGGCGGATAGTCCCTCAGCTCTAGGCTCTTCACTGGAAAGTTCACTGGAGGAGGGGGGAAAGGGGGGGTGAATCGGAGGGAGGAAAGGGAGGAGGAGCATGGGAGAACGGGTGCATAAGAATGAGTTTGAGCCATCGTATGGAATCTCCTGCAGTGGCAGGTAGTAATTCAGCTCTAAGGGTGCACGTAAGTTCTTCACCGGGAAATTTACTATGAGGGGGAAATGGAGCAACTAAGTAGATGATTGCATGGGAGCGAATCGAGCTGCAGAAAGAAAGAAAGAAAGAAAGAAGGGAAGGAAACAAAAGCCACCATATACCAAGGGTGCACGTTGCACAAGCTACAAGAAGGACGGGTGGACTCACTCACCAAGAGTGGGGTTCTTCTCTATGAAGAAATTGTTCTTTTTGAATCGCTTCATATGGAGGATGAGGTACCGCGGTAACCGCGTGATCCGATACCGCATGCGGGCAGGATGCGGGCGCACCACTTCCGTCACGGTTTGCCCATCAAATTTCTTCAAAATGTTGAACAGGGGAACCTGGGGAATAATATTCTTCTCCATTACGTCTTTAAAAAGCGGGGGAGGAGGCAAATCTAACCCCAACATCAGAAACGGCATTCGGCTGACCTCCCGTTTCACCCCATCCTCCTCCTTCTCCCCTTCACCCTCCCCTTCCTTTCCCCCCTCCCCCTCCCGTTTCCGTTTCTTCCCATCCTCCATACAACTGCTCTTCCCTGCGACCTCTTTAATCACCTCCAGCTCGCCCTGAAAGCACTCCTGGATTATGGAGCTTATATGATGCGCCTTCTTGCCTGTGGCTTTAGCCGCAGCAGCGGCGCTTTTAGCTAAGTCTGCGTGGAGGGTGTTTAGCAGCCAGGAGAGGAGGTCGAGGGGGTCGGACTGCTGGCCGATGAGAAACCGCTTCTTGCTGGCGAGCATGATGGCTTGGAGGAACTCGTGAGGGCTCACCTGAAAGGTAAGAAGGGGAGAGGGGAAGGTTTTGGGCGGGTACGGCATGGAATTCAGACTGCTGGCCAATGAGGAACCGCTTCTTACTGGCGAGCACAATGGCTTGGAGAAACTCGTGAGGGCTCACCTGAAGGGTATAGAAGGGAGGGGTTTCGGAGAATGAGAAAGGAGCGGAGAGGGAAAGAGAGGAGGGAAGGGAGGGAGAGTGAATGGGAGAGGGAAAGAGAGGAGGGAAGGGAGGGAGAGTGAATGGGAGAGGGAAAGAGAGGAGGGAAGGGAGGGAGAGTGAAGTGGTGGGCATGAGGGGCGTGCATCCCAAAGCACCAACAGCTGGTGAGACATAGTCGCATACTGACCACAAAGCTCCGCAAAGCGACACAAGAGGGCGGTGGGCAAGCGGGAGGCGAGTTAAAGGTCTCTCTGCCGTACCCACCCCTTGATGCTCTTTCCTCGTACCTGCCCCTTGAAGTTGCGCGGGTGCCACACTTTCCGCACGAGCTCTCCGAAGCGGCGCACGAGCGCAGTGGGCTGGGCGGCGGGCGAGTGGGAGGCGGGCGTGTAGTTGGCGGGGAGGAGGAAGAAGTTGCGAAGAGGCGTGACCCGCACGAGCGACTGGATGATCACGTTCACGTACCCCGTGTCCTTTATGTTGTTCAGACCGACCTGGGGGGTGGAAGGGGGAGGGGCAAAGGGCAAAGAGGAGGTGGAAGGGGAGGGTTGAGGGGGAGACACGGGAGGGGCGTGAGGCACATGAGCGACTGAATGATCACACTCACGTACCCCGTGACTTTTATGTTGTTCAGACCGACCTGGCGGGTGGAAGGGGGTGGAAGAGGGTAGAAGAGGGTGGAAGAGGGGAGGGAGGGGTGATGGGGAACGAGTGAAGGGGGAGGGAGAGAAAAATAGAGAGACGAACCGACTCTTCCACACCAATATAGTCAGTGCCACCCCTCACCCCTCACCCATTTCGCCACCCCTCACCCATCTCGCCACCCCTCACCCATCTCGCCGCCCCTCACAACTCACCATGCCGGGGATGTAGTCCGTGCCGTCCAATGCGCGAGCCCACTGCTTGCAGCAGTCGAACTGCGCTATCTGTGCCACCTTGCACCCACCCACCATAGCCCCTGACTGAATCACACTGCACTCACCATGCCGGGGATGTAATCCGTGCCGTCCAACGCGCGAGCCCACTGCTTGCTGCGGTCGAACTGCTCTATCTGGGCGGCAGTGAACCTGGTGACGTCAGCATGATGTCATGATGAGATGCAGAGAGGCGAAAGGGAGAGAGGGAAAATGGGGGAGTGAGCAAGAGGAGGAAGAGGAGAGGGTATGGGATCATGCGAGAGACAATGTGCAACATTGTGCAACCCCCTTCAGTGCGTTGAGCACTCACAGGGGAGCAAGTGCAGCACTCACAGGGGAGCAAGTGCAGCACTCACTGAAACATCAGAGCCAGACTCGCAGAAAGTTCAGGGCCGCACTCACCGCGGGTTGAGCACGCTTTTAATGTCGTCCAGTGACGGGTCGGAGACCTGATAGCCATCGAGCAGGCAGTAGGCCTTCTCGGAGTGCAGGTTGATGAACACGTGGTGCCCCACTTAGGGCGCACCCTCAGCCTCCCCACATGCCCACACGCGTGCCCGCACAGCACAGCAGCACTCACCGCGGGTTGAGCACGCTTTTGATGTCGTCCAGCGACGGATCAGACACCTGATAACCGTCAGGCAGGCAGTAGACCTTCTCGGAGTGCAGGTTGATGAACACGTGGTGGCCCATTCGGGACGAGCCCTCAGCCGCCGGCTCACATGCCCACACGCGTGCCCCCACAGCAGCACTCACAGGGGGTTCATAGCAGCACTCACCGGGGGGTCAGGGGCACTCACCGCGGGTTGAGGACGCTCTTGATGTCATCGAGCGACGGGTCTGAAACCTGATACCCATCGGGCAGGCAGTAGACCTTCTCGGAGTGCAGGTTGATGAACACGTGGTGCCCCGCGTCCACGCTGTGCGTCACCGCGTGCGACGAGCGCGCGCGGCCCTGGAAGTACTTGCCGCACACCAGGCAGCCGTACACGTTGAGGTTCGACAGTGACACTGAGCAGAACTTCTCGAAGTCGAAATCCAGGAGCTGAGGGGGGGGGGGGGTTGGGGGGGGGGGGGAAGGGGGGTGTGGGGAAAGGGGGAATGGACGGGTTGGCGGAATCAAACAGAGACCCTGTGTTTTAGAACGGAGAAGTCAAAATTGCGTTTTTCCTGTGATCCGCAATCGTCGGCCCAGTGTTAAGAGCAGACCTGCCGGTTGACCGTGTCAAGGTACGGACACTCGCGCCGGACCTCCAAATGACCGCGTCTTCCGCTCACGCGAATCTCGTCTCCCTCATCGTCGTCGTCCTCGTTTCTATCCTCCTCGTCATCTGCGTATTGCACAAGCCCTGAGTCCTTCGGATCGGTTTTGTCATCTGCGGATCGTTTTTTAGCTCTTTCCATGTTGTGTGAGAAGAGCGACCTTGCTTCTGAACCAACCGCTGCTGAAACTCCGCCCAAGCTAGCCAAATCTGCCATTGGCAACGGAATCAGTATCATTAACTTGCTGGTGGATTCGAAAAAGCGGCCTGGCTATCATGAGAAGCTCGACTTCGAGGTAGCTTGAAGTTAGGATTAGCAGCGAGCCAAGTTAGGGATGGTATGAACGCAGTAGCTCCTAAATAGGTGATGTAGGTTCCAAAATAATGCGATAAAATCCTCCATATGGCAAGATCGGTACACTGTATTCTATGTTTCACCAGTTGGAGTTGTGGGATACAATTGTCAAAAGTTCCACCATTTGCTCCACCTGAAGGTCCATGTTGCACCAGGAGCGGCGATCACCAGACCTCGTTCCGGGGCCCTGGGCCAGCATGCTATGCTAGCCTCGACAATCTGGTCAGCGTGACCCGTACTTGCGTAGGTGGCAGATACTCACTGGCCGTGAAACTCACGTTTTCAGCGGACAAGGGCAGCTTCACATCGGCCTTTTCAAACCTGACCAACAGCGCCAGAAAACCTGCGGGAGCTCTGCGCTTCGGCCGCTAACCTGCGGCCCTGCGGGACGAAAAGTCACGAGAAGCTGATTGGGCGAGAGGTGTTATCAGCCTGTCACGAAATCATGATAAGGCATTGTCGAATGCTTTCCAGCATCGCCAAAACTTTCTGAAGTTACCCAGGAAAACAGATCCTCAGCTGTGAGTGCTCGAAGTCTGAATGAACGCTCCAGATCTGTTATGCTGTAATCGTAATGGGCTCGCAAGAATCAAGGAACTGTTCTTCTGTCCACTATGCTGCCTCACCAGTTCTCCCTGGTCCCTCCCCTCCTCTCCTCTCCATCAAACCATTCACTCGACACTGTCATTACAAGAACGCCATCCCTGATTATATTCCGTACATCTTAGTTTGTATGCCTGTAAACAGCATGCCTCAGCTCCCGCCAGCTTCTGTCACAGGCATCGGAGCTATCGTCGTCGTACTTGGAAGCTAGAGCAGGGCGCCGAAAGGGCACTCATGTAGTTCTTTGCTAGAGAAAGAGCGGCATCTGCCAAATTCCAAACGATTTCCTCGCAGTAACTACCTCCGCTCCACCGCGTTCCTCAGAGCCATGGTCTCAAAGCCATGGCGAGGCTTGAGACATCTAGCCGTCGTCGTCACGCTCCTGCTCATGATTATCTGTCTTCAAGCGACTGTATCGGAAGGTACTCACCATAGTCCCATCTCAGATTCCTTTCTGCCGACGTCACAAGTTCCTAGGTCAGACTCGTCCAGCGTTCAAGCTCTTTCGGCTTAAGAATACGTTTCCGAATCCATACCCGTGCGAGCCTGTCCTGTTTATCCATCCCATCCGTCACTGAACCTTTGCCGGTGCGTGCGTGCGCAGAGCTGCCGCCGGTGGTGAGCGTGGAGAGCTTCGTGCACGCCGCGGACCACGACGGCGACGGCGAGATCGGGCCCGAGGAGGCCCACCAGGTGCGTGCGTCCCTCGCGTCCCTCGCGTTCTTGATTCGATCCCATTCCCAGTTTCTGGTTGAAGGGTGACGTTTCAGGAAGGCTAATGCGATGAGGAATGTTTAGGGTTACATTCAACATAGCTTGACGTTACTCAAAAGCTAGCCCGGTTCTTTCTTCCGCTTTTTCTGGTGATTTATGATGAATGATGAATGATGGATGGTGGATGACAGCTATGGGCGCGAGTGCTGGAGGAGGAGAAGCGATTCGAGGAGCAGGAAGCGGAGGCATCTGGCGGAGAGCGCGAGCGCGAGGCGGGTGAAAGCGAGACCGGCGGCGGCGAGTCGAGCATGGCGGATCTCATGTCGGACCACCGGCTGGACATGCCCTTCAGCTATGGCGGCAGCAGCATCTCCACCGCCGAAATGAGCGTACGTGGTTGTACATCCGTTTCGAGACGCCTCGAAACGTACTTGAATGACGAGCTATCTTGGGCCTGATCATGGCTGAATGATACCATGGCATGCGTGTCCAAAATTAATAGCACCAGAGTCACCTTGATTCCTTGGGTTCCCTGCGTGCAGGATCATCTGAGTCACATGCTGACAGGGGAGAAGGTGGTTGCGTGGATCGTCCACGGCCTACGGCTGCCCCAGTACGCGGAAGTCTTCAGGGCCAACTCAATCGACGGCCTGGATTTCCCCACGCTTATATCCGATAACGGGACGTTTCTTAAAGAGGACCTCGGGGTGAAAAGCGCGCTGCATCGGCATAAAATCCACACGGCGATTTTCCGCCAGGTGTTCGGCTTAGGGAAGGCTCCTGGTGCTCCCACCAACCTAGAGTGCGAGCCGGCTGGGTGTGGCGCTATTGCTGTTCAGTGGGACCCGCCAGCCAATCCCGGTGTGCCACCTGTCCATAAGTACCTTATCCAGAGACGCGTGGCAACGCGCGTGGCGTCGTGGAAGGACGTGGGGGACACGTCAGAAGATGCGTGGCTAGATTCGGCAGGGTTAAAGCCGGGGATTGAGTACACGTATCGGATACAGGCGTGGGGCGGGCATGGGCCTTCGGAGTGGGTTGTTCTTGATCATTGTAGAGCGTTAGCTACTAGCGCGGATGGGGTTGCTTGCACTATGGGCGTGCATCCGCATCAGCAGCAGCACCACCACCAGCATCATCATCAGCATCAGCAGCACGCTTTGAAGCCTCCAGCTATGGAGCCTCTTGGGAGACCCATAGCAGCAGGAGCAGAGGGGCACAGCCACCCGCATGCATCAGATATAGTAGCCGTTACTGGAGCGGAGAAGCAGCAGGGATCGGGTGGGTCGTGGCAGAAACGGTTGGAGTCGGTTGGGGGCACGGAGTACATTCTGAGCGCTTCAACTGCGCCAGGACCAGGAGTGGCAGCAGAGGAGGCAGTAGGAAGAACGATAGGAGGGGTAGGCGGGCAGCAGGGCAGCAGGCACGGAGTGGCACAGTCTGCAGATCAAAGCGCGAAGGAGGCAGAGCAGGAGGCGGAGAGGCGAGGGGAAGAGAGCCCCTCTTCTCCCCTCTGGAGCTTCATCTGGTCGGTCAACGGCGGGATTCTTGTGCTCGGGATCTTCTCCCGCCATAGCTTCTTCTTCCGCTTCGTCCTCGCTGCTGCCGCTTCCGCGCACCGCCTCCTCCGCCCCCTCGCCTCCGCCCTCTCCCCCTCCCCTGCCAGCCCCTTCCTCCTCGTCCGCGTCGCCGCGCGCGCCCTTCTGGGGCTCCGCGCGGCGGCTGCGCGCGTCTCTGCGCTGCTGCACCGCGTGATCGCTGCGCTGGTATCGCCTGGGGACGATGAGGGCGGGGAGGATTACGAGCTAAGTCCGTTTCCCAGTGGCAGCAGAGCCGCAAGAAGGTGGTCTGACGGGTTGGGGGATCAGGCGGACGGGGGACTAGGAGCGGGTGAGGGAAATGCGTTAGGGGAAGCGGGGGAGGCAGGGGGGCGGGGGTTTAGAGGGGGGTGGGGTGGCGGTGGGGGAGAGAGTTGGGCTGCAGGGGGAGGGATGGGAGGAGGGCAGGGAATGCGGCGTGTGGGGCGGAATAGGTCGTACGATGAGCTTTCCGGGCGGCAGGAAGGTGAGGCGTCGTTTGGCAGTAGCGAAGGGGGTATGCCGCGGAATGGGCTGCTGGCTAGGGGCGGCCATGAGGAGGCAAGGGCGCGGGTGGGTGAGTGGCGGGGGGAGGAGGGAGAGGGAGGCGGGTGGGGGGAGAGCGGGCGGGTTCAGGAGGCGGCATCAGATGAGGACACGGAATCAATGAAGTCTGTTAGCTTCAAGTACAGGTGCAACGCGGAAGGCTGCCGCGTGCGGTTTGATCGCTGGTACACACTAGACGGGCTGAGGCACAGCATTCTGAAGCACTACTGTCGTGAGTGCCAGGGCGTGTACTGTGTGCGTCACACGCGCATCTCCCCCCACTCCTCCCGCACCCAGTGCGGCCTCGACAGCCACTGCCTCTGCTTCTCCTGCTACGCGCGCCTCCCTGCCGAGCTGCAGCTTCGGGCCGAACGTATCAACAAGCTTCGGGTGGGCCCGGTGGCTGGGAGTGGGAGCAGTGGCAGCGCAAGCTTAGGGAATAGCTTCGGAGGCAGCGGAGGAGGCGGAGGGGGGCGGAACGGTGGGGGGAAGAACGGAGAAGGGGTTTTAAATGGCAGTGGAAATAGCAACAGTTTTAGCAGTTCTGGTCATGGCAGTAGTGGTAGCATTCGTGCTGGTGGCAATGGGGATGGAGGGAAGGGGGTGGGAGGGAAGATCTCGCCCTCTAGCAGCTGGATGACTCTTTTAGGGCGCCGGAATAATGACAAGAGCGGTGGGGCGGACAAGGGCGGCAGGGAGAGGCATGTGGGTGGGTCGTTGGCAGAGAGTGCGAGCACGTCGGGCTCGGATGAGTCTCAAGGCGCAGGTGCAGGCGGAGGGGTGGCAGGGGCAGTAGGGGCAGGAGGGGCAGGAGGGGCAGGGAGAACAGCGGAGGCAGGGGAAGCAGTGTCTGGTTCTGTCTTGGCAGCAGCAGCAGAAGCAGCGGGGGAGGAGCAGGATACGGGCATGGTAGAGTTGTCACTGGCAGCAGGTGAGGCAGCACTTACTCTGACCTCTCCCCGTCCTCTTACCCAGACAGGGAGCCTTAAAGAGAGGAGGAGAGGGGTGGGGGGGAGCGCAGGGGGAGGGGTGGTTATGAAGAAATCGCTTTCATTGGCTGCTGGTGGGGGGGTCAATGGGGCTGGTGCTGACAGGACCTTGCAGGAAGATAAGTTTAGGAAGGATATATTGCAGGAGCAGCAGCAAGAACAGCAGATACAGCAGATACAGCAGCAACAGCAGCAACAACAAGAGGTGCAGCAGGAGCAACAGCAGGCCCCAGCGCTGTTCTTTGTGGGCTCTGCAGCAGACCTCCTGCCCGCTGCCTCTCCCACCTCTCCAGACCCTTCCAATGGCAGCAGCAGGGCCACAAGCGAGCCAGACATGGGGGCTCCTAGCAAAAGGCCTGGGGCAGCTTCCGGTGTGGCTGATATATGGAATAGCCTGCAGGAGAGCCAGGATCTAAGATCTGGGACTGGGAGCAACGCGCTACCAAACACACCTGGTGAAGCACTGGCATGCCTGACTGGAAAAGGCCCCTTGCCCCGGTCTGCCGCGTCTGACCCTACAAGCTCTTGCTTGGCGTCTGCTGCTCGTCCCACTTGTAGCTTGGAGGCAATACCCTCTTGCAGTGAGTCGGTAAGAGAAGCAGAAGAATCAAGAGGAAAGGGTGGTGGAGTGGCAGCAGCGGGTGGTAGATGTGTCAAGTTGGAAGCAGCTGGTTCACGAGGGGAGGGAGCAGGGAAGCGAGGCGAGACCAATGGAAACGGTGCTATCGACTGGGGGCGACTAGAGCGCTGCCCCAGCCACCTCTCGCGCTCCCGCTCCTCCCGCTCCGCAGACGAGGTGAAGCGGTCCCCGTCGCCCTTTTCCAAGGTGCTTTCTCCTTATAACGAGTTGCCTTCTGAAGGGGCGCAGATGGGGAGCCGGGGACGGGGAGGTGGGACAGGGGGAGGGAGTAACTGGTTCTGGTGGTACCGGCATGGGGGGCATAGGCATGGCCATGGGCATGGGCACGGTCATAGGGAGGAGCTGAAGGGGTCTATGTCTCCAGCACTTGCCTTTTCGGGGATGTTCACTAGTAAACGGAAGTTAAAAGAAGGTAGTGGGAAGGGCACGTTGGGTTCGGACAAAGGGAGGGGAGAAGCGGAGAGAGGGGGGCAGGAAGAAGAAGGTGAAGTGGGGAATGGAGGGTCGAGAGGTGAGGGAATAGAGAGAAGACATACAGTGGAGGGTGGGGAGGTGATGGGCTGGAGAGTGGTAGAAAGTGATTCGAGAAGAGGCAGGTACTTTGCTTCTTCGCCTGCACAGTTGTTGCCACAGGGTAAACCACCCTCACCGCCATCACCCACACTTCAGTATGCTGGTTACAGCGGCTCCAAGAGTGAAAGAAGTTGGAAGAACCAGGGAAGCAGATCGGAAGGGAAGTTGGGTAAGGCTGGTCCAAGAGAGTGTATTCCGGAGAAAGAGGAGGAGCAGCAGGGTGTGTTGCTTGGTGGAAGAGCGCAAGGGGAGAAGGAGAAAAGTGGCAAACATTCTGAAGGGAGGTTTGCTCTTCCAAGGAAAAAGAGTATTCTTCACAGGTCCTGGGATGTAACTAGCAAGACGGAAAACAAGCAGACATAAGTTAGTTGCTTTATACGATTCCCTCATTTATGATTGAGGTGGATTGCATTGCTGAATGTAATCATAGCTAAATTAATAAATGCGCCATGCATGCAGCTTTAGTTTGTATCAGCAGGACATTTGTTTGGATCAGAAAGACAACCTAATTTCTGTATGTACAGAGCAGTATTAGAAATTCATTTGGCAAATATACTCACACATGGGTAGGTGTAGCGGTGAACCCCTTCACAGAGAAGCTTCTTCGCACCAGGAGTGGATCGATGTACCCCAGATCGCTCCCTCTTCCACCATTGGTCATACCGTGCGCCTCCCTCCGCCAATCACCTCCCGCATCCCCCGCAGTGCTGTCGAGAGGGCGCCAATTACCGCCTCAGTCTCTACGCCTGCGCAGCTTCCGCCCAGCTCCCCCCTTCCCATGCCATCAGCCATGGCAAACTGCATTGCATGTTTGACCTGCCCCTGCAGGCAAGGCAATACAGACGGGCAGATGCAGCTCAGTGTATTCCCAAGGTTTGTTCTAGTTTCCAGCATGACTCCATCATAGTACAGTCTCCACTGTCAGTGTTTCACTTCACTCCCCTCCCTCGTGGCTGCCTGCCTAATCCTTTCCCAATCTCTTATATTGCCGTGATTGCAGCGGTTTAGTCGTACTTCTCACACGCCGTGCGAGTCAAAGCAGCAGCAGGCGAAGTGTGGTGTAGCGCGCGGGTCGAGTCGGTAACATGCTTCGACCTAAGTTTTTCTTTACGGTTTATAAGAGCGTTCGCGCCGTGATAGCAGCCAGTGGGTCGCAAGCTCCTAGGCCGCCGTTAAGCGACTCTCAATCGTCGCAATCCTTATCTAGTTCCTCGCACACACCATCGCTAGAGTCGCCCTCACCTGCGAATTTGTCGCAACCGCCGTCGCAACCACAATCTTCGCCACAACCACAGCCGCAACCGCAATCCTCAAGTGCTCCCGCCGTTCAATCCGGTGTGAGCGAGCCTCCTTACGAGGCGCCTCAAGACCCTTGCGGGTCGTACGCGCTATACAGTGCTCCGAATGCGGGGCCTTCCGCCCCTGGGAACGCCGAGCAGGAATGCACAGCGGCCCTGGGAGCTCCGGTTACAGGGTTACCACAGAACGAGGTTGCGAATAAAACATTGCAGAATCAGCAGATTGTGAAAAACTCGCGGGAGCAGCAACCGCAGCAGACGCAGCAGGCGCTACGAGTGCATCAGACGCAGCAGGAGCAGCAGCGTAGCTTGCTCTTAGCACGGCAGAGAACGCCATTCCCAGCAGCTATGGCGGCCGAAAGCGCAGCTATTGGAGAAGCGCCAGCAGCGGCGCTTGTAGGGCCAACAGCGGCCGCTATTGGCGGCAGTATAAATCCCCATCAGACCTCACACCTTGCCTCCACTCACAATGCCTCCCCTCATCATTCCCCCTCAGCCACCTCTGCCTTCCTTTCGCCCTTTGTGTCCCTCGCCTCCTCTTTTAAGAGGCTCTTCAAACGCCGCTCGTCGCCCGAACCTGCGTTGCAGCCTCAACAGCATGACGTGGCCGGCTTGGTTCCCGAGGCTGCCCAACAGGCTCGGAAGCGGGGTGTGCCCGAGCTGGAAACCGCGCGAACTTCTCAAAATGGAACTAGCAGCAGAATCAGCAGCGCTGCGGGCAATTTTTTCAGTCAGCCGCCCAGACCGCTGCAACTCTCTTCCAGCCTGGCAGATGCGACAGGCACTGCCGGCCGCAGGCCGCATGCGGCGCATGCGGGGGTGGCGGACGGGGGGCTGGCGGAACGTGCGGGAATGCAGCAAATGGCGGAGAGAGTCGCGGAGAGGATAGAGGGGAGGGTGATGAGCAGGGTGGCGGCAAGAGGAGAGGAGAGGGCAAGAGGAGAGGAGAGTGCAGAGTTTGAGTTCCGCATGGAGGATGTGGTGCTCGACAGTGGCATTCGGGACTTGGGACATGAGCGGGGGAAGGGGAGGGGCGGGGCGGAGAGAAGAATGGAGGTGGCGAAGAAGGGGCGAGGGCAGTGGCGAAAGAGTGGGAGCAGCGGCTCTTTAACTAGTTCTAGTCGTGCTAGTGGCGCTGCTGCTGCTGGTGGAGGTGGTGGTTTTGTTTCTACTGCTGGTGCCGGTGGTGCTGGCGTCGGCAATGCAGTTTATCGTGCCCGCACGCTCAACTTTTATGCAGCCCCACCAACGCCTGCTTCAGTTCATGCTTCAGGTGCTGTCTCAGGTGTTGCCTCAGCACCAGGTGTTGCTTCAGGTGCAGCTGGAGCAGCAGTTGCGCCACGATCTCCGCTCCAGCAGGGCTACAGCGGGGAATATGGGCAGCACAAGCAGCAGACGCAACGGGGAATGGCGCAGCAGGGAATGGCGCAGCAGGGAGTGGCGCAGCAGGGAATGGCGCAGCAGGGAATGGCGCAGCAGGGCATGGCGCAGCAGGGAATGGCGCAGCAGGGCATGGCGCGGCAGGGAATGGCGCAGCAGGGCATGGCGCAGCAGGGAATGGCGCAGCAGGGCATGGCGCGGCAGGGCATGGCGCAGCAGGGCATGGCGCAGGCGCAGGGGTCTGGGGGCGTGGGGCATGTGTGGCGGCCGGGAGCACACATTCCAAGAACTGCTGTGCCAGCGCCACTTGTACCAGCGCCACGTGTGCAAACGCCACGTGCACCATCAGCACATGTCCCAGCGCCACCTGTACCAGCACCACTAAAAGCACCAGCACCAATTGCAGCAGCAGCAGCAGCAGCAGCAGCAGCAGCAACATCACCATTGGCAGGAGGAACAGCAGCAGCAGCACCACCGCCACCACCAATTGCTAAGGGCATGGCTGTTACTGCTGGTGCCCCAATCCCACTCCATACCCCTGCTGCTGTCCGTGCAACTGTCCCTGCTGCTCGCGCTGCTGCTGGCGCTGCAGCAGCGAGAGCAGCGGGGCCGAGGGGGAAGAGGGAGGCGAGCAGGGAGAAGGACCGGAACATGGTGGCCTTCCTTCTCAACATGCTCACATCGCTCCAACCTTCCCCGCCCTCTGCGAACCCCCTTTCTCCCTCCGCTCCCCCCATGCCCACTTCTTCTGCCTTCTCCCATCCACTGGTCAGAAACCCCGTGTCCTCCCCTCTCCCTCCTCCTCATCGTCCTCCTCCTTCCCATCCGGCCGTCTCCCCCACTCACCTGGGGGCACAGGACGGGCGGTTGAGCATGGAAGAAATGTTAGCGCGGCTGCAGCAGCAGTGGCAGGCGCATCGAGCAGGCAGCACCGGAACCAGCAAAAATGGCAAGAAAAAGAGCAAAAAGAGGGCCGGAGCAGCAGCAGGGGGGGAGACTAGCAGAAACGGACAAGAGGAGCTGGTAAGCATGCCTACAGGGAACAGCATTCCAGGCAGGAGCCTGGGGAACGTGAGGGCGTTTCACGTGTCTGAGGCACTGAAGAATCTCTGGGATGCTGACGCCGGTCTGGCGTTGTTCCGGTGGGCCAAGGACGTGCAAAAAAAAAGCCGGACGTTTACGTGTACTCCACGCTCTTTGGGCTGCTGGGAAGGGGGAGGGACGCGGCGAATCTGGCAAGGGTGGTGGAGGAGATGAGGGAGGACGGGTGTGAGCACAATGCGGTCACGTTGCAGTCGCTGGCGACGGCGTATGGGCGCGCTGGGAGGTGGGATGAGGCGCTGGCGACGCTGGGAGCGATGCAGGGTGGTGATGGTGGGCAGAGTGTTCTGCATGACCTCACTCTCATTGGGTGAGTGCTTGGTCTGTCGTGTCTGACTCTTGAGATGTTACAAAAGGCGGTCGGGGCGATGCAGGGTGGTGGTGAGAGGAGCGTTACGCATGACCTCACTCTGATTGGGTGAGTGTTTGGTTTGACGTGCCGACTGTGTGCGCGTGCCATTGCTCCTTCTCCCATTTTTGAGTCGACTCAAGAGTTTTGAGTCAACCCCCCTTGTGTCTCCGCTCTCCCCTCAGTCCCCGAGTGGACACGCTCTTCCGAATGAGCCGCTACGTTGACGCCATCAAAGCCTTCACCGAGCTGCGCAGCGCCAGGCACGTGCCCGACTCGTTCGTCTACAACACCGTGTTCACCTGCTATGGCCGCGTGGGGAACTCTTCGGGGGCTGAGGAGGCGTTTAAGGATATGATTCGCCATGGCGTGCCGCTGGATGTGCGGTGCGCCAATAGCCTCATGGATGTGTATGGGCGGACGGGCAGAGTTGATGATGCCATGGCTGTGTTTGACCGCATGTGCCTCGCTGCTGTTGCTGCTAGTGGGGCGAGTCACATGAAAGGAGGTGGAGGAGGAGGATTGGCAAGGGAAAGGGGAGGGAACCGCAGCAATGCTGACTTGCCTGGTGCTGCTGCTGTAGCAGGGATACCCCCGCTGATTCCCCACGTTGCTGCGGACAATGCATCCACGTTACACGGGTCAGCAGCACGAGCCGTATGCACCAGCGCAGCTGCAGAAGCAGTATCCATCACACCAGCACCACTCTCCACCACTTCCACCACTGCCACCACCGGCACCGTCACCAGCATTCCCTTTTCCCGCGCATTTGCATGGCCGGCACCGGATCAGATCACGTACAGCTGTGCCATCCACCTTCTCAGCATGGCCGGGCGGCTGACAGAAGCCGAGGAGACGTTCGAGGCGATGCTGGTGGCGGGCAAGCGTCACGATACCATCACATGGTCCACCATGGTGCAGATGTGGGCCAAGGAGGCGAATCTGGAGCGGGCGGTGATGTGGTTTAAACGTATGGTGGCGGCGGGGTGCCGCCCGGAAACCCCTGCATACAACTCGCTCATGTGGGCGTTTGTGGGACGGGGAATGTTTGACGAGGCTGGGGAGGTGCTGACTGCTCTAAAAAACGGGTGGGACCTGGTGGGGCAAGTAGAGCTGGTAGGGCGAGGGGAGGAGCAAGAGTTGAAGCAAGGCGGATCAGGCAAGTCGGTTTTCGGCTGGCTCAACCCAAGAGGAGAAGGAGAATTAGGCCCGGGAGACGCCAACAAGGGTGTTGCCGGTGCCGTTTCACCGAGTAAACAGGGAAATGCGAAGCTTGAGTTGGCCCCGAACCTCATGACCTACACCATGTTCCTGAGCGAGTGCACGGAATCTGCCGCCCGCAGTGACGTGGCGCGGCTGCTGCGGCTGATGGAAGAGACGGAGCATGCCGCCCACACGGTGTTTCAACTGCTTACGGAGGAGCCTTTTGAATCCACCCACACACTGCTGCCGGCAGGTGCTGAGAGCGACAGTGAGAGTGCTCCTCTGAGTGGTGCTGTGTGTGAAGCTGGGAGTGCTGCTGGGTGTGAAGCTAGTGATGGGGAAACGAGAAGGTGTGAGAGAGAGAGTGAGGGAGGAAGGTGCGAGGAAGTAGGGTGGGATGCTGTCCGTGGAATGATAGAGAGGGGGTTGGTTGAAGTGGAGGTGAGGGGGATGGTGGGGGAGTGGGAGGAGGAGAGGTGGCGGGAGGTAGAGAGGAGGATGAGAGAAAGTGCGTTTAGTCAGTCAAGTGCCGAATCCCAACGTGCCTTTGCTGATGCCTGCATTGCCTTCTTGCATAAATTTGGGCGGCACGAGCGGGCAGCCCGCATGTGGGACCTCTGCCACACGCGGCTAAGGCTGTACCCTTGCAGCATACAGCTGCCCGCAATATCCGGGCAGGGCGGAGAATGTTTTGTGGATCTGCATGGCATGTCAGCGGGGACAGCAGTGACGGTGACCAAGTGGGCGTTGGAGAAGATGCGGCAGGCTGTGGTGGCCTCCGCTGCTGCAGGTGCTGCTTCAGGTGCTTCTGCTGCTTCGTCCTCTGTTGTGTCAACCGTTGCTATTTCATCAACTGCTGCCAATCCAACAGCAAGTGGAGAAACTGCTGAAGGGGCAATACAAGGAGAAGAAGCACTTGTAGAATCCTTATCACCATCAGAATCAGGAGCAGCAGAATCATCGCGTCTGCATGAATCACCACCAGCACATCCCTTGCAGTGGCAGCAGCCGTCCAAGGTAGCGGTGGTGACGGGGTGGGGCAAGCGCAGCCGGGTGCAGGGGGCGTCGCTGGTGAAGGCAGCGGTGGAGGCGCTGCTGCTGAGGGACCTCACAGCGCCCTTCTCCCTCCACCGCTTCCACCCCGGCTCCTACGAGGCCCCCGGTGCTGACCTCGAGCACTGGCTGCTCTCGCCAGGTGTCGAGCAATTATTGGCTCCCCGAGATGAGGGCTGAGAGGAGCTAAAAAACAGTTGACCAATCTGCAAGCTTGCCTCTCCCAGATCCCCCATCGATCACCGTATTGCAGTAAATAATCGGCGTGTCCCGGCCCGGCCTGGTACCGGAGTCTCGAATCAGATCAGAAGGCTCGAGTGCTCCTTGTGAGAGCAAGAGTCCATTCTCAACCGACCTGATGCCACTGTTGTAGCTGGACGGGATGATGGTGGAACATTGGAAAGGGCAATAGGAAAATGCCTTGTTGCCCATGGGGTGTTTGTATTGCGGGGGGGGTTATAAAAGAAAGCCCTTTTGTGTATTGTAGATCTTATGTAGAAAGCTCAGCTTGTGGTTGTAACAGTTGCACGTATCTCGCACGTTTGGTCGCTGATCTTCAGGTGCCTATTTTCGCACTTGCGTTGGCCATAGACAAACCTTCATGGTGGCGGTGTGAGTCCAATCGATGCAGCAGCGGATCAAGGTTCCCGCCGCAGGGCTCGTAGGCTGATAGCATGCTTCGGCCCAGGTTCCTATTCACGGTTCGTAAGAGCGTTCGAGCAGTCTTAGCGGCCAGCGGATCACGCGATCCTGAACCGGCCTTGACCGACGCTTACCCGTCGCAACCGCTATCTATTCCGTCGCACCTGTCGTCGGTTGACCTGCCCTTTCCTGCGAATTCGTCGCCCGCACGGCTTCCGTCGCCGTCGCCGTTGCACTGTGTATCGCAACGACTATCGCAAGCGGCTTGCACCGAGCAACGCGGTGCCGGCGATCCTTGTTTTGAGGCGTCCCAACTCATTGTTCGGCGGCCGTACGCGGTAGAGAGCGCTTCGAATGGAGGACCAGCAGGTGCAAGGGCAGCACCGGGAGTGGCAGCACCGGAGGTGGCGGCAGCAGAGGCAGAGAAGTGTGATGGAGGGGAGACGTCGTGGCAGAGAGGACCTTGGGATAGGGAGGGTTTTAGTGGGGAAGCAGGCAGAGCGCCGGGCGGGAGGGGAAGAGGAAGAGGGAGAGGAGGGAGGGGAGGCAGAGGCGGCATGGGATGGCAAGCATTGGAAAGGGCGTTGAGGGAGAACGAAAAGGATGAGATATTACCGCAGGGATGGGATATATCAGCAGCAGCTGCTGCAGCAAGGGGGGTTGCGGAGAGTAACGGTAGGAGAGAGGCACAGCGGGAGAGGGACAGCACCTTGGTGTCTGTCATTCTCAACATGCTCAGATCCATTCAGCCTCCCCCTCCCACTGCTCCCACTGGTCCCACTGGCGCTCGAGTGATGGCGGTGCAACGGAAGGGCAGAGAGGGAAGAATGGGCGTGGATGAGATGGTAGCGCTGCTGCAGCAGCAATGGCAGAACTGGCTGGCTCGCAGCAGCAGCAGCAGCAGCAACGTCCGTCGCAGACACACGACGAGGAGAAGCAGAATCAGCAAGAGCTGGGACGAGGAGGGTATGGTTATCGGAAATACTCACTGGGACGAGGAGAGCACAGGCAGCGGCAGCAGTCACCGTGCAGGTCCTTTCCAGGCGGTGCAGAAGCCGCAAGGGAGGGGGGTGACGGCGTATCATGTGAGCGAGGTGCTGAAGGCTCTGTGGGACGCTGACGCGGGTCTGGCGTTGTTCCGGTGGGCCAAGGATGTGCAGGGAGTGAAGCCGGACGCGCATGTGTACTCGAGCCTCTTTGGGCTGCTGGGGCGATTGAAGAACGCTGAGGGACTGGAGGGGTTGGAGGAGGAGATGAGGGAGGATGGGTGCGGGGAGAACGTGATCACGCTGCAGGCGTTGGCTGCTGCGTACTCGCGTGCGGGGAGGTATGAGGAGGCGCTAGTGACGCTGGCTGAGATACAGCAGAAGGATGATTCGCTCAGCCCGTTTTCTTTTGGGTACGTTGAGGGCTGGCTGCGCACGTTCCCGGCCTTGCCTTTGCCACCTTGTTGGACAATTTTACGCTTATTCTCCATTGTCCTGCCTTTCAATGGAAGGTGCCACGACTACTTATGGGGCACCTCAGAAACATGCTCCTCCTCTCCCCCTCGCCCTCCTCTCCCTTAACCTCCCTTTTACAGCGTGCGAGTGGATGTGCTATACCGCATGGGGCGCTAACGGGAAGTGTTAAAGACGTTTCACAAGATGCGTGAAGCCGGCTATCCCCCCGACGCGTTCGTCTGCAGCACCGTTCTGACAATCAAGACTTGAGGCGTCTCAACCGTCCTCTCCCTCTCCTCCCCTCCCGTTCCAATCACAGCGTGCGACTGGATGTGCTATACCGCATGGGGCGCTCAAGACGTTCCACATGATTGTTACGACTGTTGAGGCGCCTCAATAATGCTTCTCTCCCCTCCTGTTGCTCTCACAGCGTGCGTGTGGATGTGCTATACCGCATGGGGCGCTACCGGGACGTGATAAAGACCTTTCACATGATGCGGGAAGCCGGCTATGCCCCGGACGCCTTCGTCTACAGCACCGTGCTCACCTGCTACGGGCGCCTGGGGAACATCATTGGCGCAGAGCTGGCTTTCAGAGAGATGCTCTCTCAGGGGATGCCGCTCAGTGTGTTCTGCGCCAATAGCCTCATGGATGGGTATGGCCGCGCGGGGTGGGTCGATGATGCCATGGCTGTGTTTGACCGCATGTGCCTCGCTGCTGTTGCTGCCAGGGGTAGCGAAGGGAGAGAAGGTGATCAGGAGGGGGTGCCTGGTGCTGCTGGTGCTGGTGCTGGTGCTGGTGCTGGTGCTGGTGCTGGTGCTGGTGCTGTAGCTGCTGTTGCTCCTGATGCATCTGGGAGGGCTTTTTTGAAGGCCACAAATGGCTTGAAAGTTTCTGCTTCTTTTCCTGGAGCGGCAACAGCAGCAGCAGGAGCAAGAGCTACTTGCACCAACGCTGCTGCTGCCGAAGTGGTGATAGCTGCACCAGCGCACCATCTCACCGCCACCTCCACCACCACCACCACCACCACCACCACCTCCCGTCCTTCCCCTTCCTCCATCTGGCCGGGCCCCGACATAAGCACGTACAGCCTGGCCATCCACCTCCTCAGCACAGCAGGCAGGTTATCCGAAGCAGAAGCGACGTTTGAAGCGATGATGGTGGCGGGCATAGAACCAGACATAGTAGCATGGTCCACCATGGTGCAGATGTGGGCCAAGGAGGCGAATCCCGAGAGGGCGGCGATGTGGTTCAGGCGCATGGCGCTGGCGGGGTGCCGGCCGGAAACCCCGGCGTACAACTCACTCATTTGGGCGTTTGTGAGCCGCCGCATGTTTGACGAAGCTGGGGAGGTGCTGAGTGCACTCAAACACGGGTGGGACCTGTTGGGGCCAGGGGAGGGGCAGGACGAGAATCAAATCGGTATTGGTTCAGCTTATAAGATGCCCGACAGAACTGGTGGGCAAGTGGAAAGAAGTGGGAGTGAAGGGGCTGCAAAGGTGGCGGATAAAAGATGCGATTCCTCGTCTGGCCTTGCCCCCAACCTCATGACATACACCATGCTGCTGAGCGCCTGCACCGTGTCCAACGACCGCAGCGAGGTGATGCAGCTCATGCGCCTCATGCTGGCCACAGAGCATCCCGCCCACTCCATCTTCCAGCTTCTCACAGAGGATTCGTTTGAGTTGACTCCCAAGACGGTCGATTCCTTTGAACTGTCTCCCGAGACGGTGGATTCATCTGAGTTGACTTCCAAGGTGGCGGTTAAGGAGGCTGGGAATGGCGTGGAGGGTGACAGGACGTGGGAAGAAAAGGAAAAGGGAACTGCTGAAACGAGAGGGGGTGAGGGGGCAAGGGAGGAGGGTGGTGATAAGGAAGTGGGGAGGGACGGGGTTGGAGGGGTAACGGTGAGAGGACTGCTGGAGAGGTGTGAGGAGTGGTGGAATGGGGTGGTGGGTGGGGATGTTGGGAGTGGTTTGGAGGGTGAAGGTTTGAGGCTAGCAAGGAAAGTGGAACGCGGTGACACGAGGAGATGGGGAGGGGGAGAAAGTGAGGAGGGTGGTGATAGAGCGGTAGTTAGGTGTGCAATTGCAGGGGTGCTGGAGAGGGGATTGGTGGATTTGGAGGTTAGGGAAGTGTGGAGGGAGTGTGAGGAGGAGCGGTGGAGGGAGATAGAGAGGAGGATGAGGGAAGATTCCTTCAGCAAGGCGGATATGGAGTGCCAGCGTGCCTTTGCTGACTCATCCATCTCCTTCTTGCATAAATTTGGGCGGCACGATAGGGCAGCCCGCATGTGGGACCTGTGTTACACACAGCTGCAGCTGTACCCAAACAGTGTTCGGCTGCCCGCGATTTACGGGCGGCATGGAAGGTGTTCGGTGGATCTGCATGGCATGTCGGCAGGGACAGCGGTGACAGTTACCCGATGGGCGTTGGAGAAGATGCGGCAGGCTGTGGTGGCCTCCACTGCTTCAGGTAATTCTTCAGGTGCTTTTGATTCGTCGCTGGGAGCATCGAAGTCGACAGTCGCAGGAGAAACTGATTTCATGGTGGGGGATTCAGAAGAGAAATCAGAGGATGATGAAGAGGAAGTCACATCAAGTAGTGTGGAGGCAGCAGGAGCATCCACGGGCGAATTACAGCTGCAGTGGCGGCGGCCGGGGAAGGTGGAGGTGGTGACGGGGTGGGGCAAGCGCAGCCGGGTGCAGGGGGCGTCGCTGGTGAAGGCAGCGGTGGAGTCACTGCTGCTGAGGGACCTCACAGCGCCCTTCTCCCTCCACCGCTTCCACCCCGGCTCCTACGAGGTCCCCGGTGCTGACCTCGAGCAATGGCTCCTCACGCCAGGTGTCGAGCAGTTATTGGCTCCCCGAGACCACGACTGACACTGATGGTAACATTCTAGATGTAGTTTGCTAGGTGAGCTGCTGCAGTATGGAATCGTAAGGATACTTGGCAGCTTGAACCAATTCAACACAACTCCCTCAATCACTCGTCAGCGCCGTATTACCAATGAAAACGAGTTTACCTGCTTGGTCGTTTTTCTCCCCCAACCAACTTGCTAGTGGCTAGAGCAGATTATCCTTGAAAAAGGTTGGATTGGATGTGACAATCAGAACATTGGCTTGGCGCCCAAGAGGAGTTTATACTCACATATAATTAGATGTAATTAGGAGTTTTTGTAACTCTTACTGGTTCGCCCACTGACCATCCTTCCCTTCAGACTGATTTGCCACTTCCTCAATTGCGCCTACCGTACCTTGTCCAGCAGTCGACGAGGGCTGTTATCCGATGCAGCAGGCAATGAATTTCCAGCAGATTTGGTAACATGCTTCGGCCTAGGTTCGTATTCACGATTCGCAAGAGCGCTCAAGCCGTCTTAGCGGCCAGCGGGTCGAGCGCGCCTAAACCGGCCTTACTACGTTACCCAACACAACCACTATTTATCCCCTCGCACCTGTCCTCGCTTGAATTGCCGTCGCAGCCGTCACACTTTCTGTCGCAACGGCACGCTGCTTCCACCGATCCTAGTTTTGAGACGTCTCGACACGCGTACGCAGTAGACCGTGCCACCGATGGTTTTCCTTGCGCATCAACAGCAGCAACAGTACCGGCAGCAGCACCGCCATCAGCTGATGCTACTCCTGCCAGCGACCACTCCAGACGCTTTACGCGGAGGGCAGAGAGACGGAGGCATCTGGCAGCATCAGACGCAGCTGCTGCTGAACCGGTGACGCCAGCAGCAGCGCTGCTGGAAACCGCTCATCCTTTACTGGCAGCAGCAGCAGCAGCAGCGTCCGAAGCAGGAGAGACGATGCGAGCAGCGGGAGTAGCGGGAGACGCAAAATGGCAGAGGGAGCCTTGGTCTGAGGTGGGTTGGGATGGGAGGGCGAACGGGGCAACAAGAGGGGGAAGGGGCGCGAATAGGGGAGGGGACGGGATGAAGGAGGAGGAGGGAGAGCAGAGGGGGAGAGAGAAGCAGCAGGTGCTACAGCAGCGAAGGCAGCAGAGAGGAGAAAATTCATAGCAGCCGAGAAAGCATGGTGGCCTTGCTTCGCAACATGCTTACTTCCCTCCAAACTTCCCTCCTGCTGCTTCCAGTTCTGCTGCTTCCCCTAGTGCCGCGTCCCCTGCTACCTCTTTCCCTCCTGCTGTTTCCCTCGTGCAAGTCAAAGCTGAAACTCAAAAGAGGGTGAGAAGCAGGCCAACAGCCATGGCTGAAATGGTGGCGCTGCTGCAGCAGCAGTGGACGAACCAGCAAGCATGCAGTGGCGTCAACGCTGATAGCAGAGGCACGATGAGCAAGAGCAAGAGCCAGGACCAAGTAGAATGTTCAGTGAGCAGGAACGGGGAAGAGGAGTTTAGAGACAGGCGCTACAACAACAGCCTGCATAACGCACCCTTCCTGTCGGGCCACAACTCAGTGGGTCAGGTGACAGCCTACCACGTGACAGAGGTTCTTCGAACCTTATCGGATGCTGATGCGGGGCTGGCGTTGTTCCGGTGGGCCAAAGACGTGCAGGGAGTGAAGCCGGACACATATGTGTACTCGAGCCTCTTTGGGCTGCTGGGCCGGGCGAGGGAAGCGGCGAATCTGAAGGGTCTATTGGAGGAGATGGGGGAGGACGGGTGCGAGCACAATGCCTTCATTCTGAAGGCTCTCGCTGCTGCTTATGCCCGTGCAGGGAGGTTTGAACAGGCCCTCGCCACTCTGGCTGAGATGAAACATCGGGGGTTTCAAGACGACGTTGTCACAATTGGGTGTGTGCGTGTGTGTGTGTGTGTATGTGTGTGTGCGTGCGTACGTACGTGCGTGCGTGCGTGCGTGTGTGTGGTTGTGTGTGTGTGTGTGTATGTGTGCGTGCGTGTGTGTGGTTGTGTGTGTGTGTGTGCGCGCGCGCCACATGCGTGTGTGCATCTGTATGTGTATGCACAAGTACATTTGTGTGTGTGCGCGAGTACGTTTGTAGCAGCGTGTGCTCTCCATCACATGTGCAATCCATCCCGCTGTTGTTTTGCCAAAGTTGCATTTACCCCTCCACCACCCCTCCCAACTGGCACACATAGCACTCCCTCCAGGACTCAAGTGAGCGTGCTGTATTGCATGAGTCGGTACCGCGACGTTGTCGAAACCTTCAAAGAGGCACGGGATGCAGGGCACACACTGAACAGCATTATCTAAAACACCACAATCGCATGCTATGGCCGCCTTAACAACACTTACAGGGCCGAGACGACATTCAAAGAGATGATTTCTCGCAGGATGCTGCCTGATGTGCGCTGTGCCAACAGCCTCATGCACATGTATGGTGCAGCTGGCAGGATTGACGATGCCATGGCGGTTTTTGACCGCATGTGCCTCGCTGCTGTTGCTGCTGGTGCAGGTCAAGGGAGAGAAGGAGGAGGAGAATTAGAACAAGGTAATGGGGGAAGGTTAAGTATAAGGAGAAGGGAGTAGTGGGGTGCTGGAACACCTTGTTGAGATGTCTCTGAATGACACTGATCTGTTGTCTGCTCCTGCTGCTCCTGCTGTTGGCTGTTGCCTGCAGCAGAGGTGACCCCTCTCAAGCCCCAAATCGCCTCAGAAGCAGCAGCAGCAGCAGCAAGAGGTGCACACAACGGCGCTGCAGCTTCAGCATCAATCCCAGTGCCACCAGCACCGCCAGCATCTCTCACCATCTCCACCACCACCACCCCAAGCCCCCCCTGTCTCCATCTGGCCAGCTCCCGACCTGATCTCTTACACTTTGGCAGTGAGCCTCCTCAGCGAGGCAGGGCGGCTGTCTGAAGCAGAGGCCACGTTTGAGGCGATGCTGGTGGCGGGGATGCAGCCGGACGCTGTTGCATGGGCCACCATGGTGCTCGTGTGGGCCAGAGAGAGCAACTCTGAACGCGCTGCCATGTGGTTCGAGCGCATGGTGGTCGTGGGATGCTGGCCCAATGCGTCAGCTTACAACGCGCTGCTGCTTGCGTTTGTGAGCGCGGGGATGTTTGACGAAGCAGAGGAGGTGCTTTCTGCATTCAAGTATGGGTGGGACCTGGTGGGGCAGGTGAGGGTGCTAGGAAAAGACCATTCTGGTTCAGACGAATGCACGCTCGCCCAACCCACACTCCCAGCATTACCCTGGGTCAGTGGTGACAGTAACAGCCTCTGGTCAGGTCAAACACTAAACCGGACGGGAGGCAAGGCGCCCAATTGGCTGGCTAGTGAACCTCCCAACCTGATGACGTACGTGATGTTGCTCAATGTGTGCATGGTTTCTACAGCTGGCAACGCTGTGGGTAGGTTGATGCGGCTGTTGGAAGCCACAGAGCATCCCGCCCACACCGTGCTCCAGCTGCTCATGGAAAGCCTTGAGCCATCTCGTGCATTGTCCCACCTGTTTGTGGAGGAGTGCGGGAGTGAGGGAGGGAGTGAGTATAGTAGCTGGGGATCGGCCAAAGGGGATGATGTTGCGAAGGTGATGGCGGCAGGTTTATTAGAGGTGGAGTTGAGGGAAGTGGAGATCAATGAGCCGCCTGATGCATTGTTCCACCTGTTTGTGAAGGAGGCCCGGAGTGAGGGAGGGAGTGAAGGAGGAAGTAAGGGAGGGTGTGAGGAGAGTAGCTGTGGGAAGGACAAGAGGGATGGTATTGTGAGGGTAATAGGAGGTTTATTGGAGGTGGAGGTGAGGCAAGTGGTGAGGGAGTGGGAGGAGGAGAGGTGGCACGAGATAGAGGGGAGGATGAGAGGGAATGCTAATGCCAAGACTGATGCCAGTTGCCAGTGGGCGTTTGCAGAGGCATCCATTGCCTTTTTGCATAAATTTGGCCGGCATGAGCAAGCAGTCCGCATGTGGGACCTCTGCCAAACGTGACTGCAGCTGTTCCCTAACATTGTTCGGCTTCCTGCTATTTACGGGCGGGAGGGTGAATGTGTGTTGGACCTACATGGTGTGTCAGCAGGCACGGCAGTGACAGTGACCCGATGGGCTTTGGAGAAGATGCGCCAGGCTGTGGTGGCCTCTGTTGCTGGTGCTTCAGGTGCTGTTATTTCATCGCCGGGAGTAGCAAGGGGAGCAGTAGCAAGGGGAGCTGATTCCATGCTAGCAGCAGCGGATTTAGCGGAAAAAATAGCGAATGATGAAGAGGGTGCTGCATCAGGTAATCTGCAACCAACAGAAGCATCTTCGGGCGAACCATGACTGACATGGCGGCGTCCGGGGAAGGTAGAGGTGGTGACGGGGTGGGGCAAGCGCAGCCGGGTGCAGGGGGCGTCGCTGGTGAAGGCAGCGGTGGAGGCGCTGCTGCTGAGGGACCTCACAGCGCCCTTCTCCCTCCACCGCTTCCACCCCGGCTCCTACGAGGCCTCTGGTGCTAACCTCGAGCATTGGCTGCTCACGCCAGGTGTCCATCAGTTATTGGCTCCCAAAAATAAGGTGTACGCGGAGCTCAGATTCCTCAGCCAATACAAGCAGGAAAGATGTACCCGCAGTTGGTGGGTTGTTGGATAGGCTGTTGCTTGCATCATGGGTTGAGAAGGTACGATTGTTGAATTTAAGTATCGTGATTGAGGGTCCTGCAGACAATTGGTCCCCATTGTCAGTGGAACCACCTCCAAAAAAAGGGCACTCTACAATCCCAACATATTTACCACAGTTTTCTGCAGCAGATTATTTAGTGGAACGGAACCTGTCATTATGAATCCCTATTTGTGGGTCCATTGTCAAAGAAAGTCCTGTCCATCTCCTGGCGATTGTACATGATGCCAACTTGGTACACACTGCAGTGCAGAAGAAAGAGGGGTTTGCTGTGGCTAACCGAATGATCATCAGCACAACACCACCAGAATTTGCAACTGTTATAACCAACCTACGGCACAGTGAGCTACGCCATGATGCGCTTGGAGCGCACAAAGAGGCTGTCAACGACCTGGTTCATGTGCACTATGGTGTCTATGGCTGCTGGGTACAGTGCGTCCGGCACCTGTGGCTGGAACACAACCAGGTTGCCTGCTCCCTGATCCAACGTGCCCTCAAACTTGCGGTCCAGGATCATCTGGGACAGCTTCGACTCCACCTAAGAGACAGATGGGAAGCGGTGACGGAGAGGGTGGAGAGAGCAGGAGAAGAGGGGATAAGGGTTTGAAAGGAGAGGTTGGAAGGCATGCATTGCCATGGAGCACGGACGACATGGATTTGAATCACTTCGATGGGAACGAACAAACATAAGGACAGATGGAATATTCTTGCACATCAGCAGCCATCACTCTCCACCCAGCAGACGCTCTGTACTTGTGATACCAAGTGATGGGATGACCCACTTATAAGTACCAATCCCTAAAAGAGAATCACATCACAAAATCAAAGTTCAGCAAGAGACAAGAACCACACATCAGCTGCATCAAACTCTGATTCTCTCAAACACTCTTCAACATATCTGGTCCCAGATGCATACCTTTTGCAATGGCAGGCCAATAAGGGAAGAGATGTGAGCGATCTCCACGCATGAATACGGCTCAATCAGCCTCAGCAGATTTTGCTCCAGCAGGGAGTCGTAAAGTGCTGCCAGGTGGCGGCTGATGATTGGGTCGTCAGAGAGCTGGTGCTTATAGGTGCGCAAAGCCTCCTCAAAGGACTTGAGCGACCGCTGACTGTGAGCCGTTGCAACTGTCTTCATAGCGTCCACCTCGTCACCCGTGTACTTGAGAGCTCCCTCCCTTCCATTCTCCTCCCTATTTCCGTCCGCTCCCCCCCCGTCTCTCCCCCATCTCTCCCCCTCCCCTCCCCCACCCCCTCTCTCTCCCCCCTCTCCCCCTCCCTCATGTATGCCCCGCATGGCCTATGACTCAACCCGGCAGAACCGCATACTGACGGGGGGCGTCGACGCCAGTGCGGTCGTGTTTGAACAGCTCCACCCCGACTGCCACCACTCCCACTGCCGCCACTACTGCCACTCCCACCGCTGCCACCACCGCCGCCACCAAAGCCCCCACTCCCGCCACCATTCCACCACTGCCACCACCTCCACTACCTCCACCACCTCCACTGCCGCCCCCACTACCACCCCTGCTGCCACCTCCACTACCCCTGCCACTCTTGCCCTTGCTGCTGCGGCACTTTCCACTAGCAGAAGCAGCCCCGACATCCTCAGCACCAAGGACATCAACAGCAGCAGCAGAGGCGTAGGAGGGGGCAAGGGGGGAGGGGGAACACCCCTCAAAGAAGGGCGTGCGATGAGTGCCATGAGTGGCACCTACCGCGACTACACTAGTCTCAGCTGTAATAATGTGCTGCTCGAGCAGGTCAACAGTGAGGTGTGTGGGGTCAAGTGCGAGAAAGTGGTCCCTGACTGCGCGAAGAGAGTCAGGGAGGCGGGTGACTATGAAGTAGAGAATGATGTACATCGGGAGGGGGGGGTTCCTCTCAAGGAACTCTGCTGGGATGGCAGCGCGGTAGCGAGCGTTGCTAGTGCGAAGGTGGGTAACGAGGTCCTCTACTGTGGCAAAAACCGACAGCTCGGGAAACAGGTAGGGCAATATAAGACGGCTTAGAGCAGCAGTGGCAGGGGAGGAGTAACAGGCGACTACAGCATCGTACAGTGCTTTGGTAGTCTTGTGCTGTCCGAAGTGAGTGCATTCGGCTAACGGCAGGTGGTTTCGAATGGCTAAGCGAGCAGCAGCGTCACGGGTAAGCCACTGTGAGCAAGTCGCACTGTCCGCTGTGGCGGGAGGGGCGAGAGAGGCCCCAGACATGTGGTCAAACAACGAAACGCTGTTTCTAGAGTCGCTCAGTAGGTACAGCTATAAGTTGTCGAGCCACGTGTCGAACTGAATCAGACGGCCCTCATGATCGAACGTGAGGACACGGAGAGAAGCCATAGCGGGCAGAGCAGGGTGGCGCGCTACTAGCAGAGCAGCACGCAGGCAGGGCAGGGCGGCACACGGCTAGGGTGGCCAGCAACAGAGCAGGCAGGAGGCGGGCGGTGCAAGCAGCAGGGCTTGCATGCAAGGGGCTGCGAGCGGGCCTCAAGGGGCGGCGAGCAGGCTGCAAGGGGCGGCGGGCAGGCTGCAAGGGGTGGCGAGCGGGCCTCAAGGGCTGCGAGCGGGCCTAGGGGTGGCGGGCAGGCCGCAAGGGGCGGTGCGCGGGGCTGCAGGGGCGTGTCAGAATGTTATATTGCTCACTTTGTGTAGGCTATAATGGGGTAGCCCATAAGGGGTACAACCCAGTTAGGGTTAGTACTTGTACCCAACTCTTTCATAGTTCATTCATTCTCGTTCAGTATTCTGACATGGTTTCAGTGCAGGTCCTTCCCTAGGACCGTTTTTTTTAGGGCCCACCACAGAGCTGCCCCACTAGCTGCCCTTCCCTACCAGTGCGCCGCCTTGTTGGCTCACGCGCCACCCTCTGCAGCCCCGTGCGCCGCCCGTAGCAGCCCGCGAGCCGCCCCTGTAGCCCCGCGTGCCACCCCTGCTGCCCGCGCGCCGCCCCTTGCGGCCCGCCCGTCGCTCCTGCAGCCCGCGCGCCGCCCCTGAAGCCCGCGCACCGACCCTGCTGCCTTGCGTGCTGCCCCTGCAGCCCCGCGCGCCGCCCCTTGCGGCCCGCCCGTCGCCCCTAGGCCCCGTGTGCCGCCCCTGCTGCTCTGCTCGCCGCCCCTGCAGCCCCGCGCGTCGCCCCTTGTGGCCCGCCCTTAGCCACTGCAGCCCGCGAGCCGCCCCTGCAGCCCGCGAGCCGCCCCTGCAGCCCCGCGCTCCGCCCCTTACGGCCCTCTCGTCGCCCCTGCAGCCCCGCGCGCCGCCTCTTGCAGCCTGCCCGCCGCCCCTGCTGCCCTGCGCGCCGCCCCTTGCGGCCCGCCCGTCACCCCTGGGCCCCGCGCGCCGCCCCTGCTGCCCTGCTCGCCGCCCCTTGCGGCCCGCCCTTCGCCCCTGCAGCCCGCACGCCACCCCTGCAGCCCCGCGCGCTGCCCCTTGCGGCCCTCTCGCCGCCCCTGCAGCCCCGCACGCCACCCCTTGCGGCCCGCCCGCCGCCCCTAGGCCCGCCAGCCGCCCCTCTTGTAGCCTGCGTGCTGCCACTTGCAGCCCGCTTGCCGCCCCTTGCTGCTGCCTGCCCTGTTCCTTGCGCTGCCCGGCTCTTGCCCGCCCTGCGTGCTGCACTGCTATGGCTTCTCTTCGCGTACTTGCATTCGATCATGAGGGCCGTCCGATCCAGTTCGACACGTGACTTGACGACTTACACCTGTACCTACTGAGCGACTCTAGAGACAGAGTTTCGTTGTTTGACCACACGTCTGGAGCTTCACTTGCCCCTCCCGCCACAGCTGACAGTGCGACTCGCTCACAGTGGCTTTCTCATGACGCTGCTGCTCGCTTAGCCATTCGCAACCACCTACCGTTAGCCGAATGCGCTCACTTCGAACAGCACAGGACTGCACAGGCACTGTACGACGCTGTAGTCGCCCATTACTCCTCGCCTGCCACTGCTGCTCTAGGCCGTCTTCTACTGCCCTACCTGTTTCCCGAGCTGTCCGCCTTTGCTGTCAAAGTAATGAACGAGAATGAATGCATAGAGCAGAAGTTGGGTACAAGTACTAACCCTAATTGGGTTGTACCCCTTATGGGCTACCCCACTATAGCCTACACAAATGTAAGCACTATAACATTCTGACACACCCCCATAGGCAAAGTGGGGGAGAACAAGTGGTCACAAGACCAGTCAAGAAAAGCAAAGCAAGCTCGGGGTGGATCACAAAGTCACCACACAGTCCGAGCACAAGCAAAGGGCCACAAGGCCAGTTCACATGCAGAGATATATAAAAGAGAACAAGGAATACAGTGAACATACCCTAGCAAGTGTAAGCATGCAGGTATATATATAGATCAAAGTACATGCAAAGTCATGCAGTGAGCAAGTGAGGCAAAGTAGGCACAAGTGTCAAACTTATATCTGCTATAGTCTATTTAGGCTGTAGTGGGGTAGCTCTTAAAGGGTACAACACTTATGTTTTCTACTTGTACCCATCTCAGTTTGTAGTTCATTCATTCTTTCGTCAATTATCTCACATGGTATAGAGCTAGTTTCGAGTTTTTTTTAAAAGGGCCCACCACTGAAATTTTTCTTACCTGCTCGACGCGCGCGTTGCGCCTGCCCTTCGAGGCCCGTAGCGGCCCCTGCGCCTGCCCTTAGAGCCAGCGACGGCCTCGTAAGGCCTTGTAAGGCCCCGTTTACGGCCCCGTTTAAGGCCCCGTAAGGCCCCGTAAGGCCCCGTTTACGGCCCCGTTTAAGGCCCCGTAAGGCCCCGTAAGGCCCCGTAAGGCCCCGTTTACGGCCCCGTTTAAGGCCCCGTAAGGCCCCGTAAGGCCCCGTTTACGGCCCCGTTTAAGGCCCCGTAAGGCCCCGTAAGGCCCCGTTTACGGCCCTGTTTAAGGCCCCGTAAGGCCCCGTAAGGCCCTGTAAGGCCCCGTCAGGCCCCGTTTAAGGCCCCGTTAGGCCCCGTAAGGCCCCGTAAGGCCCCGTAAGGCCCTGTAAGGCCCCGTCAGGCCCTGTCAGGCCCCGTTTGCGGCCCCGTCAGGCCCCGTAAGGCCCCGTCAGGCCCCGTTAGAGGCCCCGTACGGCCCCGTCAGGCCCCGTTAGCGGCCCCGTCAGGCCCCGTCAGGCCCCGTAAGGCCCCGTCCGGCCCTGCCCCGGCCCTACCCCAACCTGTCGCGGCCCTGCGCCGGCCCTGCTGCGGCCCTGTCGCAGCTCTGCCCCGGCTCTGCTCCGGCACTGTTGCAGCCCTGCCCCGGCCCTCGCCCCGACCCTGTCTCGGCCCTGCCCCGGCCCTGCTCCTGCACTGCCGCGGCCCGGCCCCGGCCCTGCCCCGGACCTGTCGCGGCCTCGCCCCGGCCCTGTCCCGGCCCTGCTCCGACCCTGCCCCGGCCCTGCCCAGGCCCTGCCCCGGCCCTGCCCCGGCCCTGCCCACTGCCCCGGCCCTGCTCCGACCCTGCCCCGGCCCTGCCCCGGCCCTGCCCCGGCCCTGCCCCGGCCCTGCCCCGGCCCTGCCCCCTGCCCCGGCCCTGCTCCGACCCTGCCCCGGCCCTGCCCCGGCCCTGCCCCGGCTCTGCCCCGGCCCTGCCCCTGCCCTGCTCCTGCACTGTCGCGGCCCTGCCCAACCCGGCCCCGGATCTTTTGCGGCCCGGCCCCGGCCCTACCCCGGCCCTGCCCCGGCCTCGCCACTGGTAAGAGCGCCGCGCTGCCGAGCCGCGCCGCCCTGCCGAGCCACGCCGCCCTGCCTAGCCTGCCCTGCCGAGTTGCACTGCTGCTGCTGCTATCCTGCTGCTGCTCCTGTCACGGCTAGTCTCAATGTTCTTACCTTTGATGCTGAGGGTCGAGCTGTTGACTTTGAGGTCTGGCTAAATGATCTGCAGCTTTTCCTACAGTGCGATAGCAAGGATGGCCTCTCACTGTTCGATCTCACGTCTGGCGCCTCTACTGCCCCTGCTGCTGATGCTGACAGTACTGTTCGCTCGCAGTGGCTCACGCGCGATGCTGCTGCTCGTCTTGCTGTGCGTAATCACCTGCCGTCTACTGAGCGCGCGCACTTTAGTCAGTACAAGAGTGCTAGGGCTCTGTACGACGCTGTAGTTGCACGCTACTCCTCCCCTACCACTGCTGCCCTCAGCCGCCTCATGCTGCCGTACCTTTTTCCTGACCTTCCCGCCTTTGCCACAGTTGCTGACCTAATGGAAGAGATATGAACAACTGACAAAAAGACTGCTTTCAATGTTGCAGTAGCGAACTGCATCATGCTGAAAAGAGCGCTGTTGATAATGCTAAGATTAAAAAAAAAAAGCAGTCAGGCACAGACTCGGATGCAGAATCATCACCTTGCAGAGCAGCATGTACTTCAGGCAGGGAACGGTCTTGGGGTCATCCAGTCCGTTGAAGCACTCGAAGGCTTCAAAGAAGTACGAGTACGCCGTCTTGTAGTCCTTCTCCTCTGCGTGCAGCACGCCTGACTGCATGTCAATCTGACCCTGCTGCGCCGGCGGAACGTAGATCGAGTTCGCCGCGGTTCGCGCCGCAGTTAACGCCGCCTTAGCCTTGGGAATGTTCCGAAGTTGATGGTGGAGTCGGCTCTCGAGAAGATCTATGTCGACCAATAGGAGCTTGTCGTCGAGCCGCCTTACCTCCCTGACAAGATTGCTAGTTAACGCCAGCGCGGTCTGGTAGTCCTTAGTCTCCATATACAGCGCGCCGAGTCTCGCTTCGACTCGCTGCCGAAGGAAGGTTCGCTTCTCCTTCTTGGTCCACTCGACCATTTCCTTGCACAACGCGAGCTGCACATCCGTGCTGTTAGGTATCTTCGCTACTAGATCAATCACAGTACGGACAAGCTTAGCGGTCTTCGCTTTAGGAATAAGAGTGAAATAAGGACGTAAGTCGGTCAGAAGATCACGAAGCTCCTCCGCCTTTCCTTGCTTGGAAAGAATCTCGCCGAGGCTGCACACGGCGGTCTCCTTCGTGCGAAGAGCATCTGCTGACGTGGCATCGTCCTGGATTATCCCGCGATAGATCGCAGCAGCGGCCGAGGGATCTGTGGATGCGAGCTCAGAAGCCCGCTCGAGGGATTCAGGCGTGGCGGGATACGACGACGATGATGCAGCCGGCGGAGTCTCCGTGATCATGGCGTCTGCCATGGCGTCGATCAGTCGACCTTGCTACCGCAATCCCTGACTGAACGAAACGAGAATACGCTTCAACTTATCGATTTCGCTCTCGCAAAAATTCCTTACGGCTTTATCCGAGGAATCTGTAACCCTCGATTCTCGGAGTCGGTTCAGGCAAGTACAATACGGGACGGGACTGCCTGATCTGACAAGGGATTCAGGAAGACAAGGAATTAGTGAAATGGATTTGCTTTTGGGAATGAGCTGCAGATGATAACCATTTGTCAGAAGTGGGTGCACTTTTTACGAACGCTAACGAATATTGGTGCAACAAATAAAGTTTTCGCTCCGGATGGTAATGCAGCATCGCGAGACTTCGCATAAGCCAATCAGGTTAGGGAGACACCAAGCATCGTGCGTGAATCCCAAGGCCGCTTCCGGAAAATGCTGGCCATCACATTTTTCAAAATGATCATCCATAGCCCCTCCTTTTCCCAGCCCATCATCCCATCGTTATTACAACGGGTGAAAGTGTGTCGTCACTGTCATCCTTCATGAAGCAGCAGCCGAGTTATTTAGCGCTGGGCTTCCCGTGGTTTCGTTCCCCCCGGCTATCGTTTATGAGCCTATTTTGAATTCCGACAATTCGAATTCACCTTCAGGGAGTTGTAAACACATCAGGATAAGTCGACAAGCAAGTCGTCCCAGCTTCTATTGTAGTTTTAATAACTAGATTCCGTAGGGTTTTTTAGAAGGTCATTCTAATGACGAGTTCGACGGACTTCCGTTTTTTCCTCTCGTGCGACATCAACTTACCAATACGCTTTAAAGTCGAGAGTCTTCTAGGCAACATCGACGCGAGTGCCAGCTCAGCCGGAGGTATGCAGCCTCTGCGAACCCACCACTTGTTACGAAGGCCTTGTCTTGTATAATCATGCGCCTTTCCTCCCTCTGCTGCTAAATTTCTTCCTTGACTTAACCTTCAACTTAACTTTTCATGTCATGAGTGCAGACGCTACCTCTTGCGCGCGCGAGCACAGCTCCTCCACAGAAGCGCATGGCGGAAGGCAGCCAAGTGCAGACAATTCATGCCTCAGTGACCCGGGTTGTCACGAGGCGCGCGCTCTTTGCGTGGAGTGCGAGCTATTCATTGATGGAGTGTCGTTTGGCCAACCCGTCGTCACAGGGTAATGGCTGGTAACCAGTGTGAGAAACTAACCGGTTTGTTTGAAGCAGGGTCGGAGCAGATTTCAGATGCAGCTGTCCCTTCCAGAGCGTGTCGACTTGTTTTTTTCTCCACGTGCTCGTCTGATGTCTTCAGTGGAATTATTGCTCGTTTTTTATGCTGTTTGGGTTGGCAGGAATGCAACATGGAGTGAGGCCGATGGTGGAAAATGGCGATGGGACGAATGGGTCCTACTGACAGCCAAGTACTGTGACCTGTCTGCGTATTCCTTCATTGCTTTTACAGTAAGATTCTTCTTCCAAGCTTACCTTTCTCTGCTGTTACTTCTGACATTTCTTCCGTCATAGTACTTCTGAGGTAGTTGCCTCTTCTCCTTGGCCCTGCTTCATCTTCACTTCAAACCCTCCGAATTCCTTCCTCTTGTCTGACCTTTTTACAGATTTGGGACTTGAAGTGTCAAAACAGGCCACGTGTGGTTGGTGGCACCACACTCCCTCTCTTCTCCCACACCATGTCAGCCCACCCTCCCCCTTCACCCCCCTCCACCTCACCAAGATCATCATCACCGCTTTCAACCCACACACCTCTTCCGAGCGTCCCAGACGACCTCTCTTCCTATCCTGGCGCCTACTTCGGTGCTGATTTTGGCTCACTACCAGGCCTTGCCCCAGGCTCGGGCGTTGGCCTGGCAGCAGGCGCGCAAATGCAGCATATGCTGAAGATGGGGCGGTTTAAATCACGAGTATGGCTGGGGAAGAAGGCGGATGGGGGGGTTCCGTGCAGAACACCAGGGAAGGTAAAGAGCTAGCAATCTCCACAAGCATTTGGGTTGACTGAAATTGCACCCTGTTGCTATCCGCAATGTCTCTTCAATATTTCTCCCCATTTTGTGCTGAGCGTTAGCCGTCCCATCTCAATTATCTGTAGTCTGTCCCTCCAGGTCCCCAAGGAGGAGCAAGGGGAGACCGAGAGGTTGGAACGGTTGGTGAATCGCTACGACCGCGGCCAGATGGCACGAGCCGATTGGCTGGATGATCTCGCCTTTGCTGCCATTGACACCATTCTCGAAGGGGAGGAGAAGGAACGTTCCAGGAAACGGGGGAGTATGGTGGCGAGATTGGTCGTGGAGTTTCCAACGTTTGACCATCCAGTGGCGTTTCAGGTATAGAATTGACTGGGGATGGGAAGCTTGATAGGTGGTAAATGGCCCGATGACATAAGTGATACAAGAGACCCATTTGTAGTTTACTCCCCTTCCTTAGTGGTTCACCACTTCTTCTGGCACTTCACCCTACTAGCTAGATTTGCGTCAGCTCTTGCTATTGGTTTAATCAAATCCAGCACACTGTTGTTGAGACACTTTCGGAACCCACAATCAGCCATGCATCGCAGCCTTCACCGCCACCTCTTTGCACCCTCCTCTTTGCACCTCTTTGCACCTCTTTGCACCTCTCTGCCCGTCTCTGGCCCTCACTGCCACTCCGTGCCCACTTTTCCCACTCCAGGAACTAGGCGCAGCAGGAGTGGCAGGGGTGGGTAATGGCGGAGCAGCAGGAGGAGCCATCAGCAGCAGTGCAATCGGCACAGGGGTGGCACCAATAGGCGTGGCTCCGATCCCAGCAAGCAACGAGGTGGTGGTGCTGTGGGACCCGGAGATAGAGCAGCGAGTGAACCCGGCAGAGGCCAAGCAGCTCAAGCTCACTCGCATGCTCACCCGCGGCAACATGGAGAGAGACCTCAAGCCCAACCTCGCTGAGAGGAAGTAAGTTCTGAGAATCTCAAAAAGTACCTCAGATGAAGCTTATTCACATGCCCAACCTGACCGTTCTCCCTTCACCTTGCGATTTTTCGCTAGAATTCTTATTAAAGCCTCCAATGTCGTGTGTGGCAGGGCCATTGCCACTATCCTGAGCTATCCACCCACCCAGTCGCTCTCCCCGGAGGACGTGCAGCTGCTGTGGCGCTTCCGCTTCTCCCTCACCACCGACCGCCGTGCCCTCACCCGCTTCCTGCGCTGCGTTGACTGGAGCGATGCGGAGGTGAGCGGTATGCTTGCAGGGCTGGGGATGGGGGTTGAAGTTCCGTGGCAGGGAATGCTGCGCTAAGGGCAGTTGGCTGGGCAGCCACTCTGCAGGGGTGGGTGGGTGGATGATAGTGATGCGGAGGTGGGGAAAGATGTTATGAGGTCGCTTGTGATGTGAAGATGCCTGCCTGTACACACTGCTTTTGCCTCCGATGTCCGTCTTGTAGCTGACTTTCCTGAGCACTGGCTGCTGCTGGTGTGTCTGTGGGGCCCTGCAGATATGCTGATACCACGTGGGCTCTCATATATATTTCTGAATGTTTCTACATGGCACTTTTTCCACCACCAGGAGGCACGAGAGGGCACAGAGCTGATGTATGCATGGGCTCCCATCGACACTGCTGATGCACTTGAGCTGCTCTGCCCCACGTTCTCGTGTGAGGAGGTGAGTTCTCTGTCAAGCATAAAATACACACGCAGCAACCAACTCTCAGTGTAGCTGTTTTGTTTTTCTTTCCTTCCTCCACGCCATGAACCAACCAGACATGCCCATGCACTCTCTGCTCTCACTCATGCCATGCCGCCCTCTTGTCCACTGGTGCATGCAGGTGCGCGCATACGCGGTGACGGTGTTGGAGCGAGCAGGCGACGAGGAGCTGAAGAGCTATCTGCTGCAACTCGTACACGCTCTCCGCTACGAACGCTCTGACTTCTCCAACCTTGCTCTCTTCCTCATCTCCCGAGGTACGACTCTGACTGAGGGTTTAAACATCTAGTTCTTCATCTCCCAAGATAAGCATCTCCTTTTTCCTTTGTTCTTGAGTCCTTGTAACTCCTTGTTTGAATGATTCTTCCTGCCTGCAGGGTGCCACAACTTTGAGCTGGCGAATTTCCTCCACTGGTATCTGCAGGTGGAGCGCCAGGTGAGGCACCCCGTTCTGTAAACAGATGAGTCAATGCTGTTTTGCGCTCTGAAAGGAGGCATGTGCACGAAATCGATAATTGAATTGGTTCCAAGGCCGAGTGCTCTACCGAACCGGATGGACTTTAATATACTTGTTGCGGCCTTTGGCTGCCATGCCTTGTTCCAACTACTTGTTCATGGACCATGTCTAACTTTCATTTATCCTCTCCCGAATTAACCGCTCCCGCTTATTCTCTCCTAACCTTCTCAACCCATGCTGCTTCCACCACAGGACCACGTGTTTGCATCGCGCTATGCCTTCGTGCATGATCACCTCCTTGCCACCCTTCTTGAGGTCAGTCTTCTTACCCGTGAACATGTTTGCCAGTATCCCCTTCTTTCATCCACGCTCTGTTTCCAATGTCCCCACTCTCCTCACACGGATGACATATCACTGTCATGCATGGGTTAATTCTTGCATCTCCCTCTGCTGCCTCCCCACCTCCCACCGCAGTTGGGAGCAGAGGGAGCGGAGGTGCATGCACAGCTGATGCGGCAGTGTGAGTTGGATTTAGCGCTGGCGGGCACCATGCAGGCCATCAATGCTGTGAGGGGCAGCACCGCACGCAAGGTGGAGCAGCTGCGATCTCTGCTCTCTGCTGGCACTGACGGCAGCCTCGCTAACTTCGCTCAGGTGGGCATTGAGTCTCGCACGGCTCCATTCTATCCTGTGCTAGCTGACTAGCGACGTAAAGCTCTTCCACTGTCTCACTGTGTTGGCTTGATCTCCCAGCCTGAGTTGTCAGGCTCTAGCCATTCTGCTGCAGTGCATGCATATCAAAGCAGGCTCACATCACGTTCCTTCCCCCCACTCCTCCCCAACTCTCCCACAGCCGCTAGCCCTGCCAGTGGAGCCA